TAGCTATGTGGTAAGCAAGATTCTTTCAAAGATTTCATTTAAAAAAAATCTGTTTTCCTACGATGTAATAATCATCACGGAACGCTTACTCTAGGTCGCGCCTAATTGGCACTTTACGTGAAACAAAACACGAAGATCACAAACTTTATAGCAAATCAAGAAACAGTCGTCTCAAAACGTATACCACTGCATTTATTTTATAATACAAAATACATCCATGCACTTCCAAAGTATTATGGAATGTTGTCACATCTAAGGCGGTACGATAGCGCGGGTAAACTGTAGTAACATTATAACCACGCAATTAGGACCCAATCTATTTACTGAAAAATCCCGGTGGGTAAGCGTGGTAAGCGTGGAATGTTCAAGGGGTAAGCGCATAATTTTTCTGCTAGCTGTTAGTACAAAATGGTGGTCATAAGCGCGGAATTATGTGGTTAGCAGAACCAATTGATTGGGCCCTGCATGTTTACATTAGCACTTTCCTGTGACCAGTTTTACAGAACCGTCAACAAAATTGCTTAGTAAATTCTTGTATTAAACCAAAAAAAGCAGAAAACCTGTGAGCAGCAATGGACATCACGCTACATTCTGGTTGGTAACCCACATTTTTGTTAAGCAAAATTTGTGGTTGGCAACTCTATATAACTGGCCCCTGGACTTTGTACATAAAAACATGTTTCATAACGTGAGATCCCATTATTCAAGGACAAACAAATAACATTTCAGTATCTTTCAAAAATGTCAATACCTGTTACGCATTTATACACCGGAAGTGGTTCCTTGAATGTTATCAATTTACTTACGTTATTTTTGACATCATTCAAGTTTTCAGTGTATAAATATACTTCAATGCAAACATATCAACACGCACCGAGTCCATGGCTGATTACGTCTAACAACAAAACTTTAAGCAAAATGATGTGCTTGGCAATAACTGGCCCCCGGACTTTGTACATAAATGTTTCATAACGTGAGATCGCATTATTAAATGACATACAAATAACTTTTCAGTATCTTTCAAAAATGTCAACACCTCTAAACCACTTATACAAGGGAAGCGGTTCCTTGGATGTCATCAATTGACTTACGTTATTTTTGACATCAAAGTTTTCAGTGTATAAATATACTTCAATGCAAACAATATCAACACATAAGTCTATGGGCTGATTTCGTTTGACATCAAAACTTTGTTTAAAGCCCTGTCCGCACTGGACTTTTTTTGGTCAAACTAACCGAGACTATGGGTACTTTTCCCATTTTAAGTCCAGTGCGGACAGCCTAGGACGTTTTCCTCTCAGTTACTTTTCCTGAGTCCAGCGGTTACTTTTACTGGCCAACTGCTGCCCAGGAAAACTTCCCACGCGCCCAGGAAAACTGACCGAGTCGCTTTTCCCGAGACGATTAGTCCAGTGCGGACAGTGCGAGTCGGTAAAAGCGGCTCAGGAAAGCGTACATCCGGCCCGAGCGCCCTGTTATGCATACAGAGACCGCACGAACCTGCACGTGCAGTGGCCGAACATTTTGTAGAAACACGCTGCGGTGTATTATCAATTCCGAGCGGTAAAATCTCGTTAAAATATATATTTCAACGGACAAATACATACACAGAGAAGAGAGATCACATTCTGAGAATTAATTTGCGGAAATTCTCTTTCTCCACCGATGTATGTTATTTTCTACGATCCAAATTCGTCCTGATACGCTACTGTAGTCGTGCACGGAACATCATGGTCCGGTACCGTACGTAGGCCGCAGTCACTGGTTCCTGGCCCACATCATAGCTTCGATTCTGTAAGCATGCGATGGGAACCAACGAATACTGATGGCACTGCTGCCGCACGGAACATCGTACAGCGGCATGGCTTCGACGACGTGCATCACAAATGCGTCAGAATTATAGGCCCTTTCGTCAAGATTTAGCGTGTCAAGATGAAATAATATCGTGTTAACGATTATGTTATGCATGCAAATGGCGTGTGTAATATTACTGAGCGTATCGGTGGCTGAAAATGTGATCGGCAATTTGTTTTCTGCGTACGGTGAGTCATTATACTGACACTGTGACAGCTCGGTTACTTCTCCCACGCGGTCGGGGTAAAATTTCCCGTGTCGAAAGTCCAAGTGCGGACAGTGGTCACATTTGACCATTTTTCATTTTACCATCGTCTCGGTAAAACCTTCCAAAAAAAAAGTCCAGTGCGGACACGGCTAAATATGCCTGGAGCTGAAACACAGGCCGCGTGTGAATAACCTGGCTACGACCGGTGTCATGTGAAATTTGGACTCCTCTGAAATCTTGTCTCTTTTACAAACATTGTTTCCAACCCTCACACTCGACCTGTCACTGTTATTATCTTCACTTAGGCATGCGCAATACAACCACGGACTCCGTATTTCACAGAGTCTAAATTTCACACAACACCGGCATTGCGTGTCTATGGGAGAGGTTCAGAGGCCTGCGTAAACTTATACTCTTGTCTAATCACAAACATTTTGCATAGACGCCATCTTTAAGAGAGTGACTTTTGCAATTCAAGTTATGTGAAATGTATGCACAGTAGACCTATTCATGGCGCTCCTATAGCAGAACAAAAGAAGTCCCCACCAAAATGGCCGCTTATGCAAAAATTGTCTGTACCTCGTGGTCTAAATCATTCATCTGCGACTGCGTACTGTTGCTGTCACATTGTCATACAAAAAAATGTCCACAACATTTTCTTCAAGGAATAATACTTGAACAAACGTTTAGAACACATAATATAAATTAAGAAACAAAAAGTACTGCTGGTAATTAATTAAAACTGCGTTATCAGACTAAAGGTTCTACATGTATTTTACAGTATGAGTAATTACAATATAATTTTTTTCAAGAGTACCTTTCGTGGATCCATACTTATTTCAGGTCTGAAGTATGTGGTATGTGAAATTTAAGATTGGTAAAAATAAAAAGCATATGTTAAATTAATATCTACCCAAATAAGGCACTTCTAATCAGCTATTCGAAGCAACGAGCACGAATCTATTTAGCCCAGCAGACATTTATTTTTTCTCTTGCACACTAAACATATAGACCTATACATAAAATATACATCTTATACTATAATGGTACCTTTTTTAATACGTCATCTCTCATAATAATTATGGTTCATCTCTAAAACGCAAATCAACGCTCATGTGCATAGATTTCACTATTCTGGTACGATTGTCAGCACCACTGTTCCTGTTAACAATTACAAAACAAAGAATACACTGGACATAGTGTCTCTCGTGCAAGTTTGTTTATAATGTGGGAATAAATGTGTGATTGGGAGGTGTTAAACACTATGTTTAAGACTGGTGGGCGTCTGGAATGCTGATAATTACCAGAGGCGAAGCCCATTCATAAATACCTTTTCGGTCAAAAAATCAAAACTTTTCGGTCGAAAAGTCAAAACAAGTCAAAAATGACTAGCTATATAATAGAGTGTCCAGCTCGCGAGTAAGACGTAAACAACTCCTTTTATAGAGATTGGCGCACGCGTCGCGCGTACTGCGCGATGATTTACAGATGTAGCTGTGGTGAATACGTTGTGAATTTAGGACTATGAAATACTGACTTATTGCGAATGCCCACGTGAGATTGTGAACGTTCAACCAATAAAACGATAAAAGGCACTGGATTTCATGAGTCCAAATTTCATGTGACACCGGAAAAGTGTTTAAGACAGCCAGCCATGTCTTTTTCATCCGTTTAAGACCGGCTACGTGACGGGCTCTCGACCAATGGGAATTGGCAAACTGTCGTAGGTATTTATGAATAATTGCTAACAAGTGATTATGTGCAAAAAAAATCGATCCTTTGTGATTGTTTGTTGAATGCACCGAAGATAAAAAGCCCCCACGGGAAGAATGGCTTGAGGCAGTTGGATGAAGACACTATCTTGGCTGAAGAATTGACAAGTGCACCTATAATCTTCAAACGAACGACGACGACCGAAGATTAAAAGACTGATATCTGTTGCGATATCCTCATCCTTAACACTGCGCCTTTAGTAAAACATATCACTTTAGAAAGGTATCACAAAGCAAGCATAAACAGCTAATAACTTGATGTATCTGTTATTTGCAATTATACGTTACAACCGCCGGTGACGGTGTCCGCCACAAGCCCTCAAGGGTCAGCGATAAATTGGGATATCTTTGGCTATATTCAATCATGAGATATCCCAACATGTTTGTCACGCTATAATACAACGTCCAATCACAAGTTTAAATGTCATCTATAAATAAAGCTATGTAAAAAAAAAACCCGAAGAGATCAAGGTTTTCTAACGATCGTGCATCTTCCGGCTAAACCCGAAGGGCTCGTGATCAGGTTATTGCAACCGGGATCTTATGCAATCATGACATTCTCAGATGGATACGAACTTTGAAATATTTTTGAACGATTCATTTATACACATGTACAATGTAATAAGATATAAAAAAAAATGTCGAGGGGATTGATCTTTGGCTGTGTATATGTACTGACATAACCCTCAAAATCATCAAAAAATGCTCCTACATCGTTTGAAATCCCCTTCACATATTCTGTAAAAAGGCACACAAGAAACAAAGTCCAGTACTTATAATCAATGGCACTTCCATGATAAAAAAAAAACTAGGCATCAAGAATATACACATTAAATAATTTCATAATCAATCTACTTCACGATATACTTCAACAATCATTGGTCAAATTGTTCAGTCGTAGCTATAATACAAATACATATTCACAGACAACCAAACGCGCATCAGGCCAACATGCTTCAAACGACGCTAAATATTTCAGTTTTTTCCAGTCGACTTTAAGGCCGCATATCCAAGATGGTCGGAGTACAAGGGTATATAAGGTGGATGACATCTACGTGAAGCAGAGGTTGTAAGACACGTAGACGCAAGTATAGACCAATCCGTGTTGCCCATTTTTTTGGATGACTGGGCTGGCTTTCAAACACTACTGGGACGCTACACATTCCCCTTTAGTGATGTGTTTAGAGCTATACAGATCGCACATGTGATGGGCGCTGAGACAAGGAAGCATCCCAGTAATGACTATCAGAACGTCAACATAATTCCAAAATGGAATTGATGTATTCAACAAAACCTGGCATGTCTTGCAGTAATAAGTAAGTTTAAGAGGGTACAGGACGCCCTCTGTCGACCCCCGTAACATGGATCTCCATAGAACGTGTTGCCAGGCAACAACAGCTGATGCGTTGCTATGGACATACATCACGTGAGGCGATACACCTCTTTCATGAGCGGGCTGGGCTGGACGGGCAACTGACCGTCGAACATGCTAATGATGGCGTTGAGTTTGCTGATCTGCTCCGGCATGACGTCACGGAGTAAGGTCAGTAGGTTGAGGGCGCGCGCCAGGAAGTTCTTCTTGTGGGCGTGGTTACGGGCTAGCTCGATGGCGAGGGCGTTGACGAGCTTGATTTGGAATTTCTCGACGGCCTCCGTGTCTGTTAACTCTTCCCGATCTGATGGTTGGGATAGTTTGGATGTTGGAAATTGAGTTGGGATAAAAATGAGACAAGGATTCGTTGAGTAATCCAGGATTGTTCCATCTCAAATGCTATTGAACATTAAGCTTAAGTTGCAAAGTTTACCTGATAAAACATTAGCCACGGTTACCTTGTCTATCAAGTCTCAATTCAAGCAAATAACTGTCAGATAGTGATATTAACAAACCACAATTCAATGATATTGTGGACACCTATTCTGAGACCTCACAAAAAAACTTTCTAATAATGGAACATCAGATTTGATTCATGTCTAACGTAAAAAGAACAAAGATTCTTTATGCTTTGACTTTCAAAATAGAAGCACGTGGGTCGTTTAAATGTTAATGTAGGATTTAACAGTATCATTTTATTGCTGCAATGGCTCTATAAAAGTTCTCGAGAAGTTCTCGGTGATATTTTGGTTCTTAAAAACACACTTTAAATGACAACAAAATGTTGACTAATATACCAGTACTCTTTCACATAACGAAATATAGAATAGTTACTTAAGTAAGTTTGTCTTTGAAAATTCAAATAATTGACGAAAATAACAAGACTCCAAAGGTCACAGGAAAAAGTCCTGACTACATCCCCGACACAATATTTATACCAATCATTGTTAAGCCCTACCTGGAGCCATAAGAATGAGCAATGTGAACAGCGCCTTCTCCCGTCCACTCAGTTTCAGCGCATTTAACCTCGTGATGTACTTGATCTTTGGCTGTTGGATCTCCATGCGCATACAGATCTGTTCCATTCGTTGCTCTTGCACGTAGGTGTTGTTTTCAGGAAAATGGATGATCCCCAGGTGGTACCTAATGGGCAGGGAATTCATTATCAGTAATAATACTTTTGTTTTCAGAACTTAACTTAAACTACTTTGGTAAAACTGACAGGGTTCATTTTTCTTTAAGGTTGAACGATTAAAAACTGATTGCCATCGGGACTTAAAACTGCGACCTGGACCAACGTATGCTCATTTAACTCAGCAACTCAGCAATGACAGGTGGTATGTTTTTTGTAGTGTAGGTTGTTAAGTCTCGCCATAGACCAAGGACTATCCAACGTTATACCGATATATGAACTGTAAGTCAGATACAAGTTTTTCGGTTTTTAATTGATAAACCATCATAAAAGACCACCTCATTTAAAAACATGAGAACCATAACACAGACTAGTCCGCTTGACACTGGACTTCCCGAAGCGTGAACAAATCAAAATAATTACATGTACATGTAGTCTGAAAAACGCAGGATAATTTTAGAAAGACCAAAGCTGAGCAATCAAAGTCATATCCATTACAACAGATAGTAAGAACAGGCAAACACTGTGCATGGATGTATCCTGCTTAGAAAATATATCCTTTGAGCCTTCTTTGGCTACATGATGTGATGTAGGCTATATCACAATCATAGCTTTCGACAACTGATTGACCAACGATGGGCGGTTATCATTAGAAAAAAAGAAAAAATTTCACAAACTTTTGTATCAATACAATTTGGCTATCGAAGCAATAAACCTATCACAACCACTTTCCAAAACTTACATAAAAACCCTCCTCTTAAGAACAGGCGAGTTAAACTGTCGTTATTGGTACGGTGCTTGATGGCAGCTCATACCAAATCGTGCACGAGGCTTCTGAACAAAGAAGACTTACCTCTCTGCATTACAAGTGATTGCGACTTCAAAGCACGACTCCTTAAAGAGGATGAGCTGATCATTGGCAGACAGCGCCCTGAACTCCGGCACCTTCTTGAGGAAACTAGCCATCTTGTGGATGCCGATTTCCGAGGCGCAGGACAGGTGTCTACTGACGTGGAACGGGTTGGTGAGCTCGCGGGGCTTGCCGGCGAGTAGCTCCGGGGATGTACTCATGGGATGGATGGTGAAGACGATACCGGTGGGGAAAGTTACTTCCATCTCCTGCAGAAAGTACAACAAGAGGTGTACCAAGGAAAAGTTGCAAAATGCAAAAAATCATATTGTTGTTATTCCGTAGGCTTACCGTTTTTCTTTTGCAAGGTTTGGTTGAAAGATATATATTCCATTATCATGTTAGTATCAAAATCCGGACCCCAGTGCCCACTTCGAGACGATTACTTAACAAAACAAAAAGGTAAGCGATGTCCTTCAATGCTGATTCGAAATTCATCTCTAAGTTCTTAGTTTATAGCTTAATAGCAACTTACATAGAAACCACACCAGTTCATTTAATATTTGCTTATTATAGTGTATCATGTTCTGTTTACACATATTTTTGAGATAATTATGATTTGAATTTCTTGACTGTACTGGCGTTTCACGTTCAAATACAAGTCCGACAAAAGAATCACAAATACAATGTATTAACCAGAAACCATAATAAGTCTTGGGAAGCTGGATTTGTTAATAAGAGATCACAGCAAATTAATTCATGAAGTGGTGATATTTTAATGAAAACTGAACATCATTCAAGAAACTACACAATGTGTCTCCGGTGCCTACCTGATTGACATACATTCGGAAGCCTTCGATCTCCCGTTCCGATTTCTCGCCCTCAAAGTGGTCGGCGTAGTTCTCGTAAATCCTGCCCACAAACAGCCGATGCTGGCGCTCTTCCTCCGTCTCGTTCAGCGCCACACTGTCCCGGATGTGCTCCATCTCGTGCATGAGTTTTTCCTTTTCCGCGCGTGGCACGCGGCCCATGCGAACGGCTTATGAATAAAACAAGGTCATTTAAGGAACGACCTTCTACGTCATTATTTTAATTCACGGAAAAAGAATTGTTTCCGTGACACTTTTTTTTACTGTTTTCCTTCATTAGGCCTACTTCAAGAAACTTGAGTGACGTATGTTTGTTTAAGATAACGGAACGTTTACCGTAACTTATGAATTTATACTTGACTACATCACAAATTACTCCAAGTAATAAAAAGACGTTGTATCTTGCGGTACGAGACTTTCCCATAATTATAAACCTACACTCGATCGCACATGCACACCCACACATACATGTATTGGGTTTATAGCATTTAAACTGCATTGAATTGAACTGGGACGACTGCGTTAGACAGCAGACACCATTAAAAATACTCGAAACTCACCCCCTGTGGACATGCCCAGTCCAAGGCATTTTTGGAAGCGGCAATATTGGCACTTATTGCGTGATTTGATGGTGATGTCACATGGTTTGGTTTCCCAGAATGGACAGGGTTTATATTCCAGATTCATCCGCTGGGTCCGTCGGAAAAATCCCTACGAATCAACCAAACCACTCAATTTAACCATTTATTTAATTGAAGATTTGTTTACATACATTTTCATAAACATGCGTTCTTACCCAAATAACTAATATTGTTTTAAGATGGTTGTGCGCAAACGCCAGATTCTTTTTGCGAAGTTCCATGTTCTATTGTTTCACTTGTTATGAGCACGAAATACTCTTTACGTGCCCGGAATAAATTTCACGTCATTATAATGATCGCATAACTATAGGCCCACTTCCAACTTTTGTCTATTGTGTTTTGGTATCCTGTCTGATCAGGCCTGATCGCACTCAGTATTTACAACGATATTGTTACTGACTTTGGTCGCCCTTTGACCTGCGTTGCGTGATCAGATTGCCCTTTGGCTTACAAAACTGAAGCTATATATGTCACACGCAAAGCAAAAAAAGATCGGGTTATTTATCATCGCACTTCAAGGTTATAACCGCCTGAATGGGGGATGACGTCACATTTCTACAATTCGTGTCTAGTTCCCAGAAGGCGTGACTACATAACCACTTATGTTTGAATGATTGCATGCCTTTAACAAGCCTCGATGCAGTCTACATTAATAGACCTTTCTTTTGTTTGTAAACATCGGCGCCATTTTATATGGGCTGCCGCAAGCGCATAAATTGAAGCCGTGGTTGGCAACATATTTTTCACACAAAAAAATCACCATAACGCCCTCAATACATAGTAAAATGGCATATTCAGAAATTATGTTGTAGCTTTGTTGACAATGTTGAATTTCCAACAATCAAATAAATATTTCGGTTATCTGTAATAACTCTTCTTCAACTTTTTTGCAGGGTTGGACCTTCCATAGTTTTGCAACCCGTGGTTTGCAAAATATGCAGTTTGCCAACCAAGCGTAGAAAAGTCTATATTACAGTCAGATTCTACAACGAAAACAGATTTTGATGCACTATTTTTTTTAATGACGATAATTTACCTTACATCCTTCGCAGGAGTAGACACCATAGTGCATGCCAGAGGCCTTGTCGCCGCATATTTGGCAACGAATTATTTCTGGAAAAAATATATTACAAGGGAATATCAACATCAACAATACCTAAGGTAAAATCTTTAAATAATTATTCAGACACGTTCGTAATGATTGTGTCCTTCTGGGAAATTGGGTAAAAAGGCGAGAGAATATCAGAATTCCCTGTCGGTTTTAAGTTCCATAATTTCTCGAAATTACATTTTAAAGACCATTTTCCCTTTCGGCGTGCGTAATTGTTGTTAAGCAAATCAGAATAATTCTGGTCTTTATTCCAAGAATTCTCCGTCAAAGTTCCAGTTTTAATGTCACGTGGCGTATGCATCTATTCCAATCCGGTAACTGCTGAAATTTTTCGACGTTTACGTGTATTTATTTACCGCACATAAATTTGGCGGAAGGGGATATCCTTGTTATGTAGAGCACGACCCAGATATTAATCTATTTCTGCAGGTACTTCGTACGTAGGCGTTAGTCCGAAGCATGTAATATGGCTTTTAAATTTTGGTCCCTTACAACAGCAAACAAATACTGCAATTTAAACATGTGCGATCCCCCTGGCATGCTGGCAGTATTTATAGTCAGTTAGTAAGCACACTTTTCAGCGTACCTAACTAAAATCAACAATGACCTCATTTCACCCCTAGATGACCTTTGACCTCAAATGTCTCAAGTCATGTTGAGAGTGAAGTCTGACTTTTCATATGACAGCACTTCTCAGTTTACCTTACCAAAAACAACATGACCTCACTTGACCCCTAGATGACTTTTGCCCTCAAATGTCTCAAGTCATCTTAAGTCCCCTCTACCCAAAGATTATTGTCACCAAGTTTGGTTGAGAGTGAAGTATGACTTTTCATATGACAGCACTAAACTGTTAACCTAAACAAACAAAAAGGAACAGACGGACACACATACACACGGACACACAGAAGGAATATACACTACCGCAAGATCTCCCTTTATTGGCTTAAAAGCCAGGGGGACAAAAAAGATTAGATACTTTTATTGTTATCGTTTCTCATCCTCCTGATTTGATTATCTTTTTTGGCATAGTTGCAAATCACAAACATGTTAGGTTACGAGATACAAGGTCAAAGTTAAAGCCTTTGTAACAATGTGTTAATTAATAAAGTTTGTCAATGAGACTGATAACTCGTGATTTACTTGCGATTAACTTATGATCGCTTCGTGGTCATTTGTGACCGCTTCTGCTTATCTTGTGAATGCCTTAAGACTGCCTAATGACTGACTTGAAATTCACTTGTGATTGACTTGTTGTTGGCGTATGATTGTCTTGTGATGACTTGTGATTAACTTGTTGACGTACAATTGTCTTGTGACTGAATTAATTACAATTGACTATATGTGATTGATTTGTGAAGACTAGCAATGATTTTTTACCGCTGACAATAAAAATAATTTTAATCGACTCGTGATTGTATTGTGACTGACTTGTGATCAGACGTGTGATTGTCTTATGTTTATTGTTGATTGGTGGGGAATTTGGATGCTTGCAATGCTTGTATAATGGTTTTGGTTGTGTTTTGCACATTCTATTATTTTTCTTAACTCACTCACCACTGTAATTGAAGTTTTTACTGGTATCATCCGACGAGTCATCCGACAGCGACCCTAACGTCTCGGATCCTGACGGGTACGGACTGCTGTCCACCGACTCGATCTTGGCCCGTTTCTTAAGCGGTCCCTCCGCCTGCAGATAGGTCTTGAATCGGGAAGTTATGACTGCCTCTGCCTCCTCTCGTCGACAGTCGTCAATAGTTACCGACATTATCGTTGATGATTAGATTGCAGGTGGTTACTGGTAGAGAAAATAAACGGCTATAAGTGGGTTGGCCGGTGTCGTGTGAAACTTGGGCTCTTTGAAATACGCACTCCTGTGTTCTACAGGGTGTAAAAAAAAAGAAACCCAAAGGGCGCCCCCTGAATTTTTAAAGGGAGTTCTGCGTGTAGCGCTTCCCAGATCTAGGATGTGAAAACCAATTAATAACTTTCTTTTAGTGAAAGAATCATTCGAATCATTCATGTACTTTTCTAGTTATGGAGTTTTGAACACAAACACAGTTTATAAATTTTGCCCACGGATCACGTTCAACGTAAGAGATATTTCAGTAAAATGAAACCATGTCAAATCATGAAAACGATATCAGAATAATCCCATAAGTCTCCGGGTAGCCAAGTAGAAGGCAGGGCAAGACTATAAACTCTTGGCATCATAAAGCAGAAATATCACGTTTATAGAAGCAATTTAACACATTTTATTCCATTTATAGATAATAAAGATTTTTTAAACGTAATTCTGATTTGTAGCAACAAGCAAACGTGTGTCAGATTGTCAGTAGCCCAACTGGCTTCGTTGAAGCGCCCCCACTTGGTCAAAGTATGACCAATTTATTCGCTATTTACACAGGGTCGCAATGTTGGATCCGGAAAGCGAGGCTGCACTTGCAAAACAAAGTTTATTGTTGATCATGCTATACATGACGTAATTGGCATAGAAAACGATTAAGACATTTATAGCTAGCTTAATACCAGTATTGGCTACCACAACAACTTAACCGTCTATAGTCGAATAGTCCTTTATTTAAACAGCATCGCCTCAATGGGTAGGACAACTTGGACAAGGCTGTACTTGCAAACAAGACTCGGTGCACACAGTTGCTCCGTATAAATATAGAGACTTATATACCTTATCTAAATATTGACTATCAACTACCTGTATCACTAACGAAGAGTCCCATTATTTGGACCAAAATCTTTAACACAAAAGTATCACTATAAAATTGAGGGAAAAAGTTAAAGTTTTCTCTTTTTTAAATTAAACTACAGAGGGAAAATGACTACGTGCATTTATGTTATAATTTATACCAAAACAAAAGACCCCAAAAAAAGACATTGACAAAGTTGAGGAACCGCCAACAAAGGGCCGGATAGCTCTGTTGGTAGAGCACCGGAACGGTGATCCAGAAGTCGCAGATTCAAACCCCGTTCCATCCAGTCAACTTTAAAATTAAAATTGAAGTCCTTGTTTCTTCCGTAATCAGATAAGATATATAATAATCCTAGCGATAACTGGTTCCTGAAGAGATAGGACAAATACATAATATTCTAAAATATCCAAATTAGAAATATGGTGATTTTGTTAGGTCACACCATAGCAAATTCTTGTAAAAAAAAAACATGCCCATCGAATGCAAAACTCAAGAAACCCCAATATTTCCTATACATAGTTTACCTACACGTGGCGAAAAGGGGGTGGGCCTGAATCAACATTTCACGACACCAGAATATAAATATCCATGACCCCACCGTAGAACCAACACACTAGACGTGTAACAATACAGACATGCACATACCTTCATTTGTAATTCAATAAAAAGCGTCCAGTCACCCTGTGGAACGTAATCTGTAGATACTATAGTGGAAATATACTATGTAACGTTGACACAACATAGGCCTAATGTTCGTTCCTCCATAGAAATATTATCAATTCAGTACTTCACACATTTTATAAAAGATCCTGCCTCACAACACGCATAAGTCACATGATCATGATCTCGTATCTGCGTGTTGACTGTACACACGCACGATGGGTTACAAAGACAAATCACTCGTCGATGAACTTTGCACTAGATAGTTCCACAGCAACAACGTAGATTCCAAAGTACAAGTTTACGCCGGTAGTGGAAAATCACCAAACACAGGAATTACTCCTGCCTTTTTAGTGCAGCATACGGCCTGAACAGGCAAGTACAGTACATGTACATGTACATGTACACACAACCCCATCCAATGCAATGCGTGCAGTGATTTCAAAGCCTTATACATGTTTACTTTCCGGCTCGACCCCGAAGACGACCTACGGACCTACACGTATTGACCCAGGTTGCACAATTTACGTAAACTAAAACGATAAACACGATGTGAATAACTTGAACTTGAGGCGTACATTTAAGACTGCATGGGGGTCTTTTTGGAAGTTGTTCGGCACGCGGGACACCTGGGTGAGGCTTGGTCACAAGGTTAAGATCAAGGATGGGTTACCTCGACGCGACCCGCAAAATAACATCAATTACTTCATACCACACAAAATCTGCGTGAACGGCTGGCAATTATCTACTCGCATAGAACTTCTGTCTTTCTTCAAGCAAACTTTTGTTAAATCCTGAAAATGTATGGACCCATAAGGAAAACAATAACAGACATCCAGCATGGCTCAAAATGTCCATGTACCTTTCGAAAAACGGCAAAAATTTGCATAATTGAAATTGGCACATCTAAACTGAGCCGACTGTGAAATACACAATTATATTAAAAAATCACAAAAATCACCACCATTGTTATTAAGATTACCTAAAATACAAATAATTACTTTTTACCATAGACAATTTTAAATTATGCCCCTTAATAAGTAAACGTCAACAACCTTCTCATTCCTCCGGGCATACATATAGATATCCACAATATAGACTGTTTCACGGCTACCGTGATAATGTTAACGTGATAATCTAACGTGATAATCTCAGGGGGCATTACAATAGAAAGACGTCCCGTCATGCTCAGGCTACAAAGGCATGCTGAGATGCATTTCTATTGTAATGGCCCCTGAAATTACCAATTGACCACAAAGATGGCGGTGTCTGTGAAACGGTCTATGGAGGCATTCCTCCATGCATCCATGGAGGATTAAGATCAAGTTAACAAGGGATTCGTCAGCACTACAATGAGGACCAGGGCTAATTCTTTCCATAAATGCTGGATGAAGAGTAGGTCTGAACCCAGACTGGGACCTTGGCAATCAGGCCAACTTTGCTCACTCTTTAGCCAGCAAAATTCTCCAAATGTTTCATTGGGCAAAGAAAAGGTCCTCAGTATTTCACCAACCAAGTTTGAAGACTCAAATTTTCTACATTTTTAAAGGGAAAATACAACATTTGCAAACATCAAAAAATAAAACTACCAAATCATTTTGAAATACCTTGCTGGACTGTTAGTGAATGACAGTGTAAAGCATCCTGTAAAATCATGGCACCTGGTATACTGTCATTTTCAAGAAAAGTGGTATTTTTGTATCAATTTCCAACGCTGATCGGCCGATCAGCGTTGGAAAAAACTGGCTTTTTTTTTAAATACTGGCCCCAGTTGACCATCGCACTTGTTTGCAATCGATTACACACCTATGAACGGGTACAAGCCCGCTAGACTGGTTCCCTGACCTTACAATTCCCCAATATATGTAAACTGCTCTGTTTCTTCTTAAATGGAGTCAGGGAACCAGACTACAGGAAAATGATTGTTTTTCTTGGTTTTTATAGCATTTTCGAACCCAAAACCTCAAAAAAGTCAGTGTAACTATATTTGCTATATATTTCCAACCCCCAATTCCATCCATTTCTGAAAATTACAGCAAAAGCAAATGATGTATATTCCCTTTAAAGGAGACTTTTATTCAATATTTTGCACATGAGAGGGGAGTCAAGTGATTTCAAAATGAAGCTAAAGACTAGACTGCTACATGTCCAACTCTGGTCCAACTATTTGAAAAGACTGACCTCTTCATTCAGTGTCATTAGTCTAATGGCTGAATATGGAGAAATGTGTATAAATAGAGACTTGTACCAGACATTCCAGATGTTTCTTTTGGCACAGTTGATTGATGCAGTACTGAAGGGTTGTTGGACTGGTTGTTTCAGGTGCCAGTCTATTTTTTTGTATTGCATGTTGGGACTTTCATACACATAAGAGTTAAATTTTCTGACAAGAGTGACAGCTGAACATTAATGAAAAGCATTTAGCAGTAATCAGGCGATATTTCTAATAATATGCAGGCCTTGGTGGACGTGCTAAGTGTTACTTCCATCTGATTTTCAAGTCTGGAGTGGGCCTACCAGTACAAGCAGTACTATACGACAAAGTATGTCTATATGACCAAGGATGCTAGTAAAAAAAAACAAGCTTGATCGGATCTCAAAAGCTGCGGGCCAGCGAATGTGTGTTCACCTTATTTTGACCTTTGACCCCATAACTATAGGTCAGATGAAGAGGTCACCACAGACATTATTTTGACCTTGACCTCATGATGACCTTGGACCCCACTTTGGTCATATGAAATGTTGGGGCTTGGCTACTGATACTTTTGTAAAAAAAAGTTTGGTTGAAACATGGTTGAAATCTGTCAAATATGTAGGAGCAATAGACAATGTATGAACATTTGTTACTAACTAGGCCTAGTATTATTAGGTAATGGTATTACCTACGGACTAACGGAGAGACATGAGTACTTCTAGACCTGCTATTGTGCACAAACCCTTTGGGAGTGGTCTGAAAAATTCTAAGTGTTTTCTGCAGTAAATGCGTCAAAATTGTCCCTGTTAATTTGACTTTTTTAGGACATGTTATCGCTTTCAGGCTGATGGTTGATAGGTCTCTGCAGGGCCAGGGGAAAATTAGTGATGGCCATATGGAATTCTATCCTGAATTCCTCAAGAGTCACTGGACAAGTTTTGCCATTGTCATCAAAAGACACGAAGTCCTGCCTCATCCAACATTATCCAATATGCAATGTTATTCGAGCCGTTCCTCAGCATACAGCTGCACGGCAACTGGTAGGCCATGGAGGTAGGAAGTGCGTGACGTGTACATGTATCGATAAATGCGCAGGTCTAGTTACGGCCTAGGCCCTCAGTTAGCCTATAGGTCCTAGGACCACCACAGATCCGTTGGATCTCGCGATCTCCGAGTCGAGTGAACAGTGTTAGACTTGAGACATAACTGTATCACTGGAATGTCAAAAAGCGATAATTACCTGAAAGCACTTGTCATCTTTTCCGTGCTAACTAGTCCCCGGCATCTGCACTACACATTCATCATCATCGAGCCAGTCAAGATCGGACCATGAACTAAGTAATTAATATAAATGTAAACTGCATGCATTTTAGGGTGGTTTTTACCAACAATGCCTTCCGGCCTAGACTTGCGTCAGTAGAAAGTTGGATGAATACTTATTTTTCAATACTTTTTAAGTGCAGACACAGTCTGCAGAACGCCTTTTTTATGTGTCGACTGCAGCTGGTCAACTTAAAGTCAAACTTTGTGGATGGTACATGGGCAGTGGTAGGCTTGACCCAAGACGTCAGTGATCAAGAGCGATAGTTGCATTGTTGTGTAGCGCCCTTGCATAATATGTTTTGTACTTTCTCTTACTTTAATGTCTTGGTTATTTCGTAGCAATGGGGGCGGGGTCATTTATGTAAATAAGACCGTCTGCATAAATTCGAACAAACACAGTTCCTTTTTATAGCTCCATGCTTGCACAACACGTGAAGTGCATATGTTTACAACCGCTGTCGGGTGACCGTGAGCCTTGAACCTTTTTCTCGATCGCTGATTGGTGCCTTAGAAAAGCCTAGGGAGAAAATAAAGAAAAGTTAGACCGCTGAAACGAAATAAAATGGCCAAGACGTTAATGCAAGTAGGCCCGCTGGTCTAATTGTTGTGCCATTAGAGAGGGCGCAATTTGCACCACCCAATATCGATCACTAGCTTCTTGGGCTAAGACTAGGGCATTGAGTGGTGATCTTTTAGATGTTATTTTCCAAGAGCGCCCCCCCCCCCCCAAAAAAAAAAAAACAGAAAGAGAAAAGATTTTATCATAGTATAAACAAATTCAAGTCACTGGTACTTTCGCTAAAACTATCAATATTATTGATATCTGCCAAATTTTAGGGAGCATCAATAATTATTTTGTATAATAAAAGTTGTCCCTCAGACAGAATTAAGAATTAAACGTCGATTGGGTAAAGTCTAATCATAATCTCCTTTCACTGTATGTATTCTGTCCATTTCAATGTTAACGGCTTTGTAAACAGATGCACACGTCATGACGTCGAATGTTTTCTTGTGTTTTACTAGCGTTTACTGAATGGGTATGCAGTCTTTATTTATCGAAAAATAAATAGAAAGTACAGGTCTGTAACTTTCATTCTAGCTCTTTCATTCTTTAAAGACGTTAATGAGCGTCTATGATTAATATGATTCTGAAATACGTGTCGATTTTGGAATTTCCCGATGTGGTCAGGTTCCCCGACCCTGCATGTAACCTACTGATATTTAGTCTGGTGCTACGTGTAGCTAGCTAGCATTACGTCATTCGAATTTGTAAACAAACATTCGGAGATATTTAGTCGACAATATTGAAAGGAAGTAAATGTGTTATCCTTTGAGAATATATGTTTATTGATCAAGGTAAGACTTTAATTTATTGAATTATTCAACATGAGCAAGAACAACTTGTCTTCAACAATTCATTTCAATGATTTTTCTCTGGAATTGGAAATCTGACTGTTTTGTAATTTGTTTATATAGCTCCATGGTTATACTCACACCACCTACATGCTCGAACTCAATCAGTTTGCAAGAATGTAGTCTGGAATAGACCAGGACAGAATTCAAACTGTGCCGTTCTCTTGATTGTTTATTTTTTAAGATATTCTTGAAGATACTTGTTCAAACATTACAGGAGCGGTGAGCCTATACAGTAGCTTCGAGTTCGACTTTGTCAGTTTTCGTCCAATTTGAAGACAGGCAGTGCCGGCCAAGGTGCACCGCTAACCAACATGGCCGCCTTTGGGGACGATGACACAATGACGAGCAGCATGTACAGCTCCATGCAGGGATCACAGCCGCTGAAACGAGTCGAGCCCTCCATACAGAAATTCACCAAGATTGTCATTCCGACGGACTTGGAGAGATTGCGACAGCACAAGGTCAACATTGAAAAGGTAACGTAAATTATTAAACCTTTCCTTTTGGAAAACAAAAGTTAATTTTCAGCCAAGTTAGGCCCTATTGATTGCGTTACCAACTGCTAATGTTAACCAGCTGGCCTACCCTGGGCAAGCACAGTGATCAAGTGGTCAAATGTCTGCACATTCGATTCCCACCCAAGTAAGTAAACATGTCTGATAACACATCATTTAACCCTTACCGTATCTAGAAAATATCCGCTTATTTCTGTTTATGTTTATTTGCAATGTTGTGAACAAAATTCACTTTCATAATTTTGTATTAAATTGGATTGATTTCTCTACTTCAGTTTTTGGTTTACAGAAAATGATGTAGAGAAATCAATCCAATTTACTATAGCCTTGTCACGGACATCCGGGAATTTTTTACATTTTACATATCTAGCTCCCAGACCTATGTTCTTGAAACTCAATGGTTTTTGAGTCTGGAGTGCTGAATGGTAACACATAGCAACCAATGAAAAATGGTGTGTCTATGTTTTCAGCGGATTACGTAATCCCACGCATGCCAATAATATTACCCAATGCAATATGTTTGTTTAATGTTGAAAGTTTTTAAATTGCCAAATGAAATTTGTCATGTTTTTTTTTCAGTTTCAGCGGCAAAAGAATTGGGAAAAGCTGACCACAGAGCAAGTCAATGCAAGACAAACAGTACAGGTAAAATTTGTGCATTATTTATTTTTTTTAAGCTTGACTTGCACCACAGGAAATGCAGTGGCATCTTGAATATATTAGACCACGATCCATTTTATCCTGTGAAATTGTTGAAACCTGCATGTTCCCTTTTCAGAAACATTTCAGTGTCATGTTTATTGTATTTTCATTTTTGAAATTAAGCCATTTTCAGCTTGAGTTCTGATCGAGCTTGTCGTAGTTCTTTTTCGCTATTTTAATTTGGAATATATTTCAAAAACTGACAAGACTTTGTTTTTGTTTCGCTTGTTTATCTGTCTTGACAACCAATTCTCATCATTCTTAATTTCTTGTTATTTTAATCAAAAGATTTTTTAATCAAAGTTGTCTAAATTTGTCCACAGCAACTTAAAGCCAACATCCGGGAGATGGAAAAAACAAGGAGCCTCATCATAGAACCGGACCTCCCGGCTTTTGATAGTAGGGTGTCCCCCATCAAAGAAGAGGCCATCCATGCAATCGTGCAGTTCATCGAGATGAATGACATCGACAAGTTGCCGCTAGGGGAAGCACACCCTAGCCACTCTGGGCCAGAAGTGGGTTCCGGTTTGAGGAAAAGACACATTGAAAGCTCAGAAGATTTTGAAGGTAACAATTGATTGTGTAGAGCGTGCTTTAGGCTATTGCCAAAAATGAATTTATGATTGTAATATAGGCATTGTTGAGAAGCTGTTAAAGTGGCCCCCTGCTGTTATTGTAAACTCTGGTTAAATATGGAACTTTTCAACTGTGATTTTCATCTCAAACCCTGACTCCAAAGGCTTTTTTGTCTTGGAAACTCCCTGAACTTTCCACCACGACAACCGCTGGTACTTTGTTTCAGATCTGTTGTGTTAATACTTAAAGTAACCTAATCCTCCAAAATCTTCCCAAACCTGTTGGGTTTTGGAGGATCCAGGATTGGGTGTACTGGATATTCTTCTAGGGAGCATTCTAGATCCGCCAATATCAAACTCATGTAACACAGCAGTGACACTGACACATTCTTAATAATAATAATAATAATAGGTACTTACATGTATATTGCGCTATTAGATCAAAGTGCTTTACATTATTATTACCCCTGATTGTTGGGCCAATGAAACATTCCAAATACAATCTCAGCTCCCTGGGGAGTATACAGCTTGATGCTGCCATTTTGGCGCAAAGCTGCTGAAATCGATCACACTATTCCACCTGTGCCCTCAAAGGTGCCCATTTACTCCTGGGTAGGGAGAAGCAATGAGTGGTAAAGTATCTTGCTCATCTTTATGTCATAAAGACTGTAAAATGTATTAGCAACTGTTAATGAACTCTTTAACTGAGTTTGGTGGGAATGTCATTCCTTGCCTTGCCATTATCATGCTTTGAGGAAATTCCCAGAACCAATCACCATTGATCGTTATCATTCAGTGATCGGCACCGAGGATGAAGTTAACAGTGTTTCCGAGGAATCCGAGCAGACAAAAGAGGCAGAGTCAGCCCAGTTGATGATGCAGCAACAGGCCCAGCAACAAGCCCTGCTACAGAGTAAAGAATCCATGGAGTCGTGGGAGAATCTACAGAATGACCTCATGTCCTTGAATTCAGTCGTACACCAGTTTGCAACACATGTCCGGGTAATCTATGGGTTTTACTTTTCTAAATTGATATTCTGCAGACCCTTTGCATGACGGCCATCTTGGAGGTCCATTATGTATGTTCCATGGGATAAATGCATTCACTATGACTGAATTAAAATTACATAAACAGCTCCAAGATGTCTGCTGAATGCAGGTCTATTTAGGCTCTGAAAGCACTGTGGTGATTTTAGAACGATGAGCTTTTTTAAATTCCGGTGTTGTAAACAAACTGGAATGTCCTGAATAAAGTTTTGCAATGGTATGGAAAAAGTCAGGATAAGGCCCAAAAAAAAAGTCTCCGGTTTCTGGTATGGAGCTTGCCCCAAAAGTGGTGCGGCGACGCAGCTTTTTTTTTTTTTTTTACCTGATTTTTTTGCTTCAAATGTCGGCTGATGACTGCAAATGGTGCCCGACTAAACTTAGTGCAAATATATGGGAGTCCAGAGAGGCCACATAAAGCTTATTCTCGACCATAACCCAATCTAAAAACACATCAAAATTGTGCAGCAGCAGGATTCCAGTCAAATCAATGAGTTTGGCGGTTTTGAGACATCATCTTTCATTGAAAAAAAAAATTGGCGACGCGCGCACATACCAGAAACCGGAGACTTTTTTTGGGGGGCCTAATGTCATGAATTAAATTTCCCATTTCCGATGAAATTTGAATTGTCAGAAAGAAAAATGCTTTGTAATAAACAGAATTCTTTATTCCCCTGAACCTGAAAATGAGATCCAAGCATGTTGCCTCTATCTTTTCTGTATTTGTTTTAGGCACAAGGTGAAACTGTTGACAATATTGCTGACAACATTGACAAGGCAGAGGAAAGTGTCACCGCCGGTCGAAAATACCTGATCAAGGTAAGACTCGTTAAATATAGGCCAGAAATTCTTATGAATAATGAAGTGAGGACTTGTCATTAGTTGTGATGGACTTTTGGGGACTTGTAATTGACTTGTCAGGACTTGTCATGACTTGTGATTGACTTGTGAAAACTTGTGATTGACTTGTCTTGACTTGTGATTGACTTGTGATGACTTGTGATTGACTTGCGATTGACTTGTGATGACTTGTGATTGACCTGTGGGGACTTGTGATTACTTGTGATTAACTTTTCAAGACTTGTGATTGACTTGTGAGGACCCTGGAGGACTGTGATGAATTGTGATGACGTGATTACAGCTGTAGAATAGTTGGCATACACCCTAAGAACTCTAACCAATTAACACCACGAACACACACATCCATTAATTTAGAGATGTTTGCACGCTATTAGCACAGCCTTTGCATTGACCTGTTCATTTAGTACACTTTAAATAGCAGTGTACTTGTAACTTGCTCAGAATCAGAGGATAAAGATCTGGCAACAGCGCCACCCTTGTCATTACATTGCACATCGATCTGTGACAGCGCCACCAATAGTTGACATATTAAGTACTAGGCCACTTGGCAGTTTGCCCAACGCCACGTGGGCAGTGAATCTGAGTGGGCTAAACTGTTTCAGTCCCCCATGTCCGTACCCTAAAGCGTGCCAGGATCTCTTACATTCAACACGTCGAAAATGTGATCCAAATGTTAACTGATATTCCCTGAGTTGCTGTAGTTTGGTACCCGAAGTCAATTTATCTGTACGAGGATTATTTTCTCTCTCTGCTTATATTATGTCCTTATATTTTTCCGATCCAACATGTCAGCCCAGGCTGAGGCCCGCTGAGCTGAGAGGCAGTCGGATGAAAAATAATGGACACAAAAAACATCGCCAAATAGTTCTTGCCTATATCGAATTTCCCCACGACTTTTTGGTATTTTTATACAGGCTTGTTTTTTTCTTATTCACTGTGTCGATTTTTATACTGGCATATCTGTTTTTGACGAATGGGTGATGATGTTGATAGTTCTTTGCGAAATCGAATTCGGTTGAAACTTTCAGCTAGGGGGAGGACCGAAACAAATGTCACTCTTCCCTTAATTTCACGTTAAGTCTGCTTTGGTAAAATGCTGCCAAAACCAGGGCATCTCGGTACAGAGTGATTACACAAAAACTGATTCGGTTTAAATAATTTGCATCTTTTATATTTGAACTTTACCAAAATGGTATTTTGTGGGCACATCCTTCCCCACTTCCCGAAATAATTTAGCCCATACGATTGTTTTGTAATATAATATTGCTATTTTGTTTTATACAACACCTGAATAAATCCCCGTCATCTGATTGGTGAATTGTAGATCACGTGACATATTATTATTCGGTATAATGCACGGTGCGACCATGCGTTATACCCATGCGTTATACCGTTTCACTTTGCGCTTGTTCCATGACGCGGTATTTGCATGCAAAATGCATGCTGGTGTGCGCGTTCAGCGTAGCGCGTATTGTTCCAAAGAGCCAGCGCTACAGCGTTGGGTTCAAACATTTTCGTGAAGGGGTAGTTCAACATCTTTGCAATCAAAATAAATTGTAGTTTATAATTTACCAATCAAATGACGAGAATTTGTTCAGGTGTTGTATAAAACAAATAACGAATGTTTTACGTTCGTGCGATGGAAAGAATAATTTCATTCGGTGACAGATTGAATGTTCTATTCCACTCGGCTTCGCCTCGTGGAATAGAACATTCAATCTGTCACCTCATGAAATTATTCTTACCATCGCACTCACAAACAGTCGTTATTTGTATAATATGTGTGTTAAGTTTGCTGTTTCCATGATTATACGAAGTTCTAATCGATGTTACTGGCATGTATTATTCCTTGGTCCAATATGCTTGACTCGCATGTCGATGTCTTATTTTCCTTGTTTTTAGAAAGATTTTTTTTACTGCATCCTTTCACGTCTTTATTCTGTACACAGTTAAGAAAAAAACTCGATTAACAGCTTTCTAGAAAAATCTAACAAAATCTTCATCGAGAAGCGCAAAGTCAGAGATGTTTTCAGCGTCGTTTTAGCCCAAGGATATCCAAATTTTGTCCTCTGAAATGGTGACTGAATTATAACGGAACTGCTCCTTTGGGAATTATTCATTTCGACAGAGGAATTAGAGACTTTTAAATTGACCCAGGCGTTTGAAAATATTTGTATGTAAATGTTTTCAAGATTGAAGTAAAGCCTGCCGCACAAAAATTGACTTCTCAGCGATGCAAAGTTCCATCGACAGTCACAAAAAGAGAGATCTATTAATAAACCTGTCCAAGCCTAGCTTAAGGTGAATTCACGCTACAACAACAAAAATTGACATCACGCCGACGCAAAATTCCTCAAAAGAAAATTTGTTTACAGATTTACTTGAATAGATTGTTGTTTTTCCTGCCTTTAGGCCTCGACGATTAAAGCTGCCGTTTTGCCCGTCGGCGGGGCAATCATCGGTGGCTGCCTCGGCGGGCCGATAGGCCTGTACGCCGGCCTGAAGATCGGCACCGTGGCCGCTCTCGGCGGCAGCGCGCTGGGCTTCGTCGGTGGGAGATTCTTGAAGAAACGCAAGGACAGACAGGCGAGCTTGGAGTTGCAAGAGATGGATAGGACGCGGGTTCGGCGAGCGTCTGACCCGGGACCTTCCAGCGGGCAGAAGAAAACGAGATGAAGCTCGTGTACACATTGCGGGGAAAGAGGAGAACAAAAGTGCTCAAACAGAGGAGGTTTTCAACTAGAGATTAGGACTCCATGGATGTTGGTTGGCTGCAAACTAACAGTTATGTTGGCAATAAATAAGGAGTTGGGGTAAGGGTTTCGGCAGTGGACCAATTTGGTGTGATGGGTTGCATCTTCACGTCAAAACTCCGGACAGACTTGTTGAATGTAGCCTACTCTATTGGATTCGCACCGTTCACAATGCAGTGGATTCCATGTGCCCCAACTGGGAACGAATTGCAGGACCAAATTGGGGAAACTTGACATAAAGACTCAAACACTTACTTTGTGAATTCATTTTAGATTTGTTCTTCTTTGTTAACCTTTCTTCCTCATGAATTTAGAATCATTCCTGTTAGAGATAATAATTCTTTTGACGCTGAGTAATCTTTAGTTGAATAGTCTGGTGCTGATTTCACATAAACCATCCTTACAAGTGTGTTTACTAAACATTTGTTATTATGCACCAAGTCATTGCCCCCTACCCCTTCCTCCCTGGGGCTAGCGCTACCCTTCCCCAGGGGTAGGGATTGTCATTGTCAGAATGACCAAATCCCCACCCCAGGGTATCTCGACTTAGACAAATACACAGGGGTGTTTTGTACCGAAAAATGTTTGCCCTAAAAAGAGGACAAAATCCCCACTCTGGGGCGTTTGTTTAAGTGGCCAAAACCCCACTTCAGGGGTATGACAACATCAGGCGAGAAATCGGAAAGAAATTGTAATGTCCCCCAATATGATCACAAATGTACTCTTAAGAATATACCGCTACCAAAACCAGGTCATTTATTTTGCATGAATTTCTGACAAAAAGTACAGTGTAAAGAAAAAGCATTTCTAATGTATTTTACAAAGACCGAATTTGTGAACTTATAAGTCCATGTATGGACAATAATTATTTATGTAAATACCGGTTTTGGCTTTGTACATATTTTTAACACTTAGGTCAGCCGGTCAATTTCTATGAATTCCAGCACTTGTCCAAAACTTTGTTACTTGCCTTTTAAAGTTACATGTATGAGTTTCATTTGTTTGCTTTGGGCGCCATATTGATGCAGTTGGTATTCATTCGGTCTACTTTGGGTTTAAGGGTACAATGTGTACTTGTAACCTTTTGGCAGGTTATTTAAAGAAATAATTTCTTGGACTTCGGCCTACTTTGTCATCCTAGGCGAAAGTGGGACTTTTCGTTTTCTCACACATCCTCTTTTCGTTTTTATTTGAACAGTTTTGAGCCCAAAGACGCACCTGGTGCGTACAAATTCAACTTTAAAATATTGCTTTAGTGACAAAGATATAAAAACAAAACAATCCTTCTGATTTGTATTCATATTCCTAACTAGGAAGTAAAAAGAAAAGACGGAGTAATATAATCCAATGCGTACATCCGTCAGTTATTAAGACACGAATATTAAAGATTCAACAAAATATGTTTATCGGAATACGTCTTTTGTTTGTTGTGTTTGTTGAGTTGTTTGCTTTTTGTTTGTTTGTTTGTTGTTTGTTTGTTTGTTTTTTGGTGGAAGTTTTTTTTTGGTCAGCCTGCTTAGTCCAAATTCGTCGTACATTAATTAACCAAAGTATTTCTAACAACCACCCCCTCATCGGTACATCTACATTACCTCATATACCGTTAGCTTGTTGGGTTTACCTAGAAAATATATTCAAAAGAAGCGATAGGTCACGTGAGGTTGGAAAAATGTATAATCGCAGGCGCTTGGTGGCGCCCTAACCCCGCACATCCACTAATAATCTTGCGTGTCTGTGCCCTGAACACTTTTGATTTGTACAAACCCAAAATGGTTTCAATAATGAATGAGAGAAACTACAAAACTTCAGACTATGTGTATTGCACTTCCAGCTTTATTTCTCAGGATTCCACGAAACAAAATAGGCAAATTAAATGTAGTTATCGACGTTCTAGTTTGAGAAAAATTAACAGAGGTTCCCACTGCAGTGCTGTGTTAGACACAATGTGCTCGGGCAAAAGAAGAAATGTACCAGAATGCCTTACTGTCTACAAGACTGTACTGATAACAAACCTTTAAAGTTCTAATATTTCTAGTTAAGGAAAACAACCATGATATTTAACCATTGGATTTTGTAATAGTAGCCTACTTGCTGTGTGTTTATAAAAGACATTCGGTATCTTTGGAATTTAGACAAATACCGTATTACATGCATACGTAGTGTATTAATGTGTTGCGTAGGGTATTTCATGTCTTCATAGGGTAGCAATACCAATGTCTAAAACTCAACATGCCAACAGGTTTTTATTTCATCTTGGACATTCGATCCACTTAACATTTTTCCTTCTTTTTATCGTTATGCATAACTCTTTCTCAAGTAGGCTTACATTATTTTTTATTTTCCAAAGCCCCAAGACACCCGGCAATCAATAACTATGGCAAGCCAATCTAACAATATTAATAACACATGGAACTGTCGCTTTAAATCGATCGTCGACGTCAATGAAGAAATATTGTCTAGGTCGTCTTTATTGTTTGCATGCAAGCGATTAATTTTTCATAGATATAGTTTATATACAGATCGTTCGTCACTCGCGTTCATAATTCATGGCATGAGCCTCCAGCGCAGTGACTGTATAACATCTTTGTCGTACGGCCCACAATTTTTTTATTTTTTTTACATTCTTCTTATACATTCCTCATTTTACATTCCTCCAATCTTACATAGAATTGAGGTGACTGGCGATTCTTATATTCACGATACATTCGTTATCAAACTTATGGACACTTGTGCTTTCCTTTAATCTATTTTTAATCGTTTGTAGGGCGCCCTGTCTGGAGAAACCTCCCTCCCATGACTCTAGACTACGATACGTACCAAAATGTTGAATTAGTAATGGCTACACTTCTTGTGATATAATGTAGTTTTGTGCTTGGAAACATTAATGTATGTAATTGACATTTAGGTTGATATACAGTGGCTCCAATGAGCCATTAATAACACCAATTTTGAGACTAAGTTTCCAACAAGTCTCTGCCATTAAATGCAATGATTAGGCCCTATTCCCCTGTAGTGAAAGTTCACACCCATCGTACCGAATGAAACTAGTGATCAGACGTTTTAGAGACAATTTCATTCAATCGAAAAGATCGGGTTTTTTACTCCAGTTTCCAATGGATTGATATATTTTCTGAGCATTTCTATCAGATGTCAATGCAGATTTTCACTCCACATTGCCTTTAGTCCCTATACGTCCACTCCTTGGAAATAGGGGAGCTTGAATTTACTTCTAATTTTGTATTTTAAAAAGACCTGTACCAATACATACAATATCGTTAATTCTGCTGGAATGCAATTAACACAAAAATTATGCTTTCTTTTCCAGTCCAAAAATACAATATGCACATTCTTTAAAGTAAACAAGTGCAAATCTACGAAGATCTGAGGCGTTTCGCAACAACAGCCGATGCTTACCAATCTATCCTACTACCAGATCTAGCTCCATTTTTCCACCTAGTGAGTTTACAAAATCCGGCATCTCGACATCTCAATTAAATATGCAAATCGTTTTTCCTCCGTCCTTCTATAGTTACAGGAATTCTAATACATATCCCGGTCAATATTCAATTTCCTTACAACCGCATCTGAATTTTCACTGTAAACATTATCAGCTCGAGGACATAATTCTTAAGATAATGTAATAATATTTACACCTACATGAAGAAATTCAATAAAAAGAAGTACATGTTTTAAAAAAAGAAGAAAATATATGCGACCAGTTAAAGAAGTCAAAAGATATCGAATTGGTTTCCTTTTACGTTCTTGTTCTACATGTACTTTCTCTTCCTATATTTTCTGGTTCTGTACTCTCTTTCTATCGAGGGTTGGACATCTAATTTTTTAAAATTACTCATTTGGTGAGGGAATGTTTTTTGTATTAGTTATATTTTTCGAAGGGTCTATCAGTAATTGCTCTTTTATTCGCCGTATCTTCTTGAGAGGTCGATGAGGCAGGAAGAAGTGTTGTCGCTATATTTGTCGGAAAGGTTGTATTGAAGTCCTCGGTATACTCAGTCACGTTTTCCTGCATACAAGTACAAAAGAACGTACAATTAAGAATAAATGAGGGCAAGGTCGCACAGAAGTGCCGGGTTCAGATGACGTGTTTCATTTGGCTCCATCATGATGACTAATTATACCAAACTGACGAGCCAAAAAAAGGTGTTAGTGCATAAAACCTGTTTGGAACTCAGCACTATGTGCGATTTTGTTTAGTCCTAATCGGATAACTTTGGGAGTTTCGACAAATTCATTTCGCAAGATTAATAGGGATTTACGGCTTCTGACCAACGCTGATTGGACAAATATATTGAATAGTTGGCAGTCCGCCAACATAGACCGCTTCACGGAGTACCGCCATCTTTGTGGTCACGTGGTAGTCTCAGGGGCATTACATTGAAAATAAGTCCCATCATGCCTTTGTATATCCTATGCATGATGGGACATATTTTCTAAGGAATGCCCCCTGAGACTACCACGTGACCATGAAGATGGCGGTACTCAGTGAAAACTGCACATGAAAACTGGATAATTATAGTTCGATGGGTTGAGAACCGGTACGGTGTCCCAGAGATAGCAGGTTCAATTCCTGGCCAAGTCAATTTCTATTATTGGAGAATTGAAGGAGGTTTTTTTATGTACCTCATAAATGTAGTGCGGAACGTAGGTTGTGCAACCTCGTTCTTCGCTGCCGTCATTGCAATGCACCTCCCCATCACATAACCACTGCTCCCATATGCACTGAGACCTGTCCTCACATTTGACTTTGCGGGCGGGGCACGAGGTTGTCACTGTGATGGATCAAACACGCAAGAGTGATTGTGAGTGGGTTTTTAAGGTTAATTCAGCCAAAACGTACGCCAATGTATCAGTTAATAATTTATATGTATATTTGTGTTAATTATTCATGCGTACACGTGTTCTAACCAGCTTTTTTGTCATGCACGGGTTGTTTTTCCGGATCGTCAAACATGTTTTTTTTTTCTTCAAGGGAGTTATTGAGTCCATTGATGTCTGAGTGCCTTTTTGGCAGATTTTATTGAGGAAATGATGTAGATAATGTTGATATATGAGTCAGTACTGGTCAAGTTTAAGACTAATATCGTGCATTCGATCGCAACCAAAATGCAGATTATGTATCCAAACTGTTTGTCAGGGTGTGAGACTTTTGTCATGAAAAGAAATGTTATTCAATGGACGAACACTTACATGCGGGCTTAGATCCTTCACATAAGCAACCCCTTACCAGCCTGCCCGTAACATAAATAGGAACCAGTCTAACGGTAGAAGGTAATGTAGTGTCCAATGCTGCCTTGAAATTTCTCGCCGCACAAAATCAGTACCAACCATTTTGTACGCATGCTTACTGGAACCAACCGGACTGATTTCATATTGCCGACTGAATACCACAGCACCTTTTCGTGAATATACAGCAGTCAGGCTGAGTGATGGAGAGTTCATTGCATGCTTCTGTGGCATTTTATAAAACACCGGCATCTTCCCAAGCTTCGGATTTGGGACACTTGAAGGCACCATACTTTTGGGGACTCATGTTCAGTTTTGTTTTTGATTCAAGAACATCAAATCATACAAAAAGGGGTCGGAGTTCAGTTCATTGTTTTGGACATTAAATATTTCAAAATGTTTTTTTGAAATTAGGTGTAAATCCGAAGCTGAAGACGTAGCCCAGATTTGGCTAAAAAAACTAGACTTACCACAGTCCCACTCGTCGCTTCCGTCGTCGCAAGCGGGAATGCCATCGCAACGCAGGTTGTTTAGATAACACTTGGAACCGTCTGCGCATGAATGATGCTGGCAACTCCACTCTGGTGCCCCTGAGAACGAGGTGTTCGGTGAGGCTAAACGGGGGTAGAAAGCAACAGCTGTTAAGAATTAGGATTCTTACCATTCATGGAGTAACTAAGCGGCGAAATTATGTTGAGCAAGAACCAGTGACGGATCTACGGAACCTGGATTCATCCTGACAATAGGCTTCTCGTCCAAATTCATGCCATGTTCAAGGCTTTTGGTAAGTCTATGCGCAAAGGTCTAGATCTATGGGGACAGATTTGGCGATTAATTATGGGGCCGTATCATAAGTCCGACGCCTCATAGATCCGACGCCTCATGCGGACCTATGAGACATAAATTCCGCCTCATAGGTCCGACGCCTCATAAGTCCGACGCCTCATAAGTCTTACAATGGACAAACGCTGTTTCGGACTTATGAGGCGTCAGATCTATGAGGCGTCGGACTTATGCGGCGTCGGACCTATAAGGCGAAATGAATAAATTGTATGAATAAATTGTATGCCCCATAAGTCCGACGCCTCATAAGTTCGACGCCTCATAAGTCCGAAATTTCGGACTTATGAGGCGTCGGACCTATGAAGCGTCGGACTGATGAGCGGACCCCATTAATAATTATGCAAAAACAGACTGCGTCTTGACCTCGAGATTCTGACCATTCAGCGGGCGCTTTTTATATCGGGTCTTCGGTAACCCGTTGTATTACACAATGTCAGCCAAATTGACCAATCAACGGCTTAGTCCACATGTGATCAAAATGACATCACAATTTCTAAAGTCGACTCCGATTGGCTGCACTTGTGTGCGGGGTCGCATAAAATGTGCATGCTAAGACATCAGACGTTCGTACCGTGGCCACTCTGCACACGTGAATATCTGATCCTCATTATACCAGGCTTATGACGGTTTCCCAACCTACTTTTTGCCTCAATGTAACGTAATGATTTTTGATATTGGGCTATTGTCGGTAATGCCCCGGTATCATATTTACTGACCACTATTGTTCCCCTGGGCCGGGCAATTAGCTTCATCGCTCCCGTCCACACACTGAGCTATGCCGTCACACTGCAGCGACGTGTTGAAGCATTGTAGGCCATTGGCGCACTTTCTGAAACCGCTCCCGCACTGGTACATGGCTAAAACAGGTTCAAGTGGGAAAGGGTTTAGATGAAAAGAAAAGAAAAAGTAAAAAACAAAAATCAAAAAGCTCTTTCTTAAAAACATGATGTTAAATTGATTTTGTTATGTTTCACATTCGAGCAGCATTTGGCACATATTCAAAAAAAAATTCACAGATAAATGACGTTTAGTGTAGACTAATTTTGTTACCTCAATAGTACGGACTTCCACAATGAATTTAAGCCATGCTTGGCAAAAGATTTTGACCCCAAAATGCATGTTTACACCCTCATTAGTTAAGGAAGAGGCATTTATATAAAGTGTTTGGTAGCGTTTGTTGGTTTAAAAACATAAATAACTATTCTTTATTTTTGCTATGTTGGGATTCCATAGTTTGCCAGCCCATAGAAAGAGCCATATCTGCACGGGTTGGAAAAGAAACGTTAACCCTAACTCCCTAGGAGGTGAACAAATTTGTATTGAAATCGGAGGATTCAGGACTGTTACGGTTAATAAAGAAGCCATTAATACGGAATCACGCTCCGCACGCGCTCTGCAGTGGTATGCGCGCGCTTAATACTCCCTCGATCGACCAATAGGGTCGCCGAAATGCGCGCGCGTCCTTGAAAAGCAGGTGCAACATACGCGCGCGCGTGGTGCCACCCCAGGAACGGCTTTTCAGCAGGGAATGCACAGAACTTTACAAATCCCCGCACTTTGCTGTGATACAAGATGGCAACACGTACTCAAAGTACCGCTGTGGATAATCCGTGTTGAGGAAAAAAACCTGTCTTGTTTTCTGTTATTTGAAGGAAGGATTATGTGTTGGTTCAGGGTGGACTAGTGGTCCGTTACTCGTCTTCTGCCTGTGAGACCAGGTTCGACTTCCACCACGGCTGACAAGTAAGCTTGCGCAAAGTGTTTTTCTACATTACATTACATGCCTAGTCTGGGTATATGTTCAAAGTGTTTGTGGGGTTTCTTGCCGCCTCTCAAACATTGGTACACATGATACAGATATACTTTAGCACCCCTCTAACTCTAACACAGTTCTAATTGCTCCAAAATTACTTCTGCAGCTCAAGCAATCTTCCTTTTTTTTCTAGTTTCCAAGACTTTCAACAGTTTTGTGACAAAACATTACTTAATTAGGCCTATCCATTTTTTTTTAATCAGCTCAGTTTGTCTTGGCAACAGCATAACACATGAGTTGCACACTCTCCATCTTGATTTGCGTGCTGTGTTATGTCGTTTTTTTCATCGGTGTACCCAATAATTTCCTTCTTAACCTATAACCATGCATGCCCTCATTCCATGAAATTCCTGTTTTGCTATTTTAGTGAGTCCAATAACATAAAAGCGGATAATAGTTGTCCAGTACAGAAAAAGGGCACCAAAGTACACTGTTTCCGAAAAATTATCTTCTTCCGTGCTACAATTTGAGTAAAACACCAGGTTTAGTTGCCAGAGACACTAACGTAACTTTCCTCTCCAGTTTACAAAATGAGTTCACCTTAGTACTCGTGGTTTTTTTTTAATTTTCTCTCAGTGTAATAAACAACCGGACTTACAGCAGTTATTTTCGTCCGTGCCGTCAGTGCAATCTATGATGCCATCGCATCTGAAGTCTGCCCTGTAACACTGCTTCCCGTCACCACACTTGATTTGGTCCAAGCCAAGACACTCCCTGTTCCCTGTATGGTACAAAGGTAAGTCCGTAAGTGGGTAACGACATCTTGTCAACCACCAACCAAAAATAAACGATTATTATCTTAAATTATTGTGAATTATGTTGTACAAGTGATCGTTACAGTGAATGTAAAATTTATTTTGAAAGGGCTGTCAAATTTGCGGCTTGGAAAGTTGGATGACGACTTTCTAAACACTTGTGGTAAAAGAGAATGGTCAAAGAGATTAAGCCGGCATTAGTTACCTTAAGGACCCGTCTATGTTTTTGGTTCGCTCGATTTGTTTTTAGCTTCTCACAAGGTGTTTGTTATTCCAGTTTCCAAATCACCTTTCCAGCCTGAGGCAGTTTTTTTTTATTTGACGTGGAATTCTCGTATCTTTGAAGAAAAATGCTATAGTGTTTTGTATTTTTCCATTCTCCTTGGGAAACATAACCATTGTGAGTTAGGCCTATCTTTATTTGTGTCGAGGGAGGTCGTTCAACACTAAACGAAGCGTTTAATAACAAACGTTTAAAAACTCTTTCTGTTTAAAAATAAACATGGAAAATCAAGTCAGATGAGAAAGGGCGTTCTAAAATAAACCATGCGTTTAATAGCAAACGTTAGAAAACTCTTTCCGTAATAAAAAAAAATAACACGAGAGAAACGACTTTCGCGTTTAGGCGTTAAAAAATCAACCTTTAGCGTTCATTTACCACAGTTCCTCTCGTCCGAGCCGTCCACGCAATCCACCAAACCGTCGCAAGTATGTGTTGCGTCGAAACACTGCCATCCGTTGGCGCACTTGGTGTATCCTGCGGCGGGGCACGGTGTAGAGGCTGTAGATCGGGTGGATTTAGTTGAAAAGGTTAATCCTAAGAGATCATGATGTTTTCACCCTGTCTCGTCCTTCACAATGTTTTGGAATCGTGTTGGAGTGTTAGTATTTCGGGCATTCTGTGGGATTCTTGAAGATTTTCAGATAGAACTTCTACAGACATGGGTAGATTAGGTTGGTATAAGGATTACGAGTTCAGTAACTCGTAAATACTGTAGTATTAGGCATCCAAAATGACAAAATATTGCCCCAATAATGCATTTTTACAAAAGTAATTTCCAATAACAAGACTTGACCATGGTCTAGACGTTGCGAAGCCTGCAATTACGGTTTGACATTTGATGGTATCTTCCATGAACTCATCTGACACTGAAACCAGAAAGAGTGTAGATTATTGACATCGATAGTGTTTTTAAAGGCATAACGTGATTTATATAAGGATTATCTATTGAGATAATCCAAAAATCCCATTGATCTAGGTTTGATATAACCTTTTGTATAAATGTTGGAACATACACGTTTTTTTTATCAAGAGCGTTGGCAGTGATGTCCATCATGACTATTGGCATATGAGTAAGTTTAGCTTACGTCCGTTACGACACCGTGTCCATTCTTACCACACTCCATCTCATCCGACGCGTCTACGCAGTCGATGTACCCGTCGCACGCGTAACGGCTGTCGTAGCACTGCGTCTGCAGTGCGCATCTGGAATAGCCCACTTCGCACTGCTTGCTACGTGTAAACGGCCCTGCAATACGTAAGCCGTATATCAACTTCTGTACGCAGTCGTGGAACCGCTTGAGTTCCTGTTGAGCGGCGGCGTGGCCAGCTATCGGGTAGTGGGCCACCCGCCGGTCGCTTGGGGGCGGCATTTCTCGTCTGGCGGGAAACTCTAGAGGATGGAAAAGTAAGGGGGAGAAAAGGGGGCGGGGAGGGGGAAACATGCTTAGTTATGTACATGCATGTCAATGGACAATCGAACATGGCGAGCAAGGCAGTCTAGGGAAATCATTCCAACTCGGCAACAGACCTATTACGATGCAAACACACTTTTCGGGAAATTAAATTGATACAACTGGGCCTTTAAAGCCATGCACCGATAGAATGATGTTCTTGGTTAGTATAGGCCCATCACACGTGCTGTGTTTGCAATGACTTGGATCTGTGTATGATTTTTATTTTATTTTTGGGTTCCTTGGTGCCGTGATCTGGCAAAAGATTCCCCTACGGAAATCCTACTACATCCAGTTAATAATGTCAGCATTGTAAATGGCAGTACGGGTGTATGTTTGTCTGTTTTCCTTGCCTTGGTGAATTGCCTTATGATTTCCCGTGTGAATCCACAAGTTTTACATTTTGCTTTCTAACTTTTATTTACGTCGAAAACCATGTCGTTTGCATAATGATGTCGTCTGTGTTATCTGAGTAGAACAAAGTGGTGAACGAAGAAGACGCAAGCTTTAGTGTTGAGATGATTTAGAATTTAACGACTTCAAACCAGTGCTGTAACCTGGATGCAATTTCTTTTTTGGGGGTGGGGGGCTAAATTTCTGGAGGAGGGCTCTCACAATAAAATTGTATTTTAGGCGTCCCGGAATTCTGAGCAGGGGGAGGAATAAGAGGAGTCAGGCCTCAAGTGGATGGGGTGGCGAAGAGTTTTAGATCTAATATCACTCTTGTAATGTAATAATTTATAGAAATGGTTAGAAAGTTCTTCAATGACATCACAATGTGTAACTTGTGCGTTAAAGTGATTCCGGGTTTGTTTTTATGAACTCCTTCTGCACTGTGCCTGGGAACATTTAAAATGCATCAAATAGTTAGTGAACGAGGATGGCAAGACAAGGACGCGCATGCTGAGACAATTCAGGCTCTATCAATCTCATAATGCAGATGGACTTAATTCCAAACAGATTAATATCAATACTTATTTCGTTGTGAAAAATGTCTAAAGTTCTGACTTTTGGACACAAGTTTGTCGTTCTCAAAGGCAAAATTACAGAGAAACAAAAATTAGTAAACAAGTTCAGGGTGAAAAAGAATGAGAGTCGATTGATGTTCGCATGCGTTGTCATGCATAATCGTGATTTCCACCTAACCCTGTTGGAAAAAGTTTGTTAGCCCTTAAAAAAAAAAAAAACAAGTATAGATCACTTGTTTTTGTAATCCTCACACATCCTGTGATGCCATTTTTTTTACCAGTCAGTGGGGTATTTACTTTAAGAAAATGAAATGTGGCAGAAATGGGAGTTCATGTTGGTTCTCTTCGACGAGGGAAATATGCCAGCCCGGCACTAACTCGGTTAGCGCATTCATAACTTGTAACTAGAGGGACGACCACGAAAGGTCAACACTTTAGGTAAGCGATTGACTTGGGACACTCCCTGAAAGCACATGACACTACGCGATCTCGCACCGTTAAAAGGGTTTTTTTCTCTAAGATTGCCAAAGGCTCTGAATAAGCTAAGTAAACGTTGTTTGTGCTGAAACTTTCTGACTTTCTCCCAAAGGAGGGCAAGGCCCGCTCTCTGATGCAATTTGAAAGTAGTTTGGGTCTGCTGTTAGGTAAATTCAGTGGGGTGAAAAATAACAAAATGTTTGATTGCGAAACAGCTTTTAAGAACGTGGGTACTTTCTGTGTACCTTTCGGCCAGAGTTGTTTAGCCTTAACAGTTTACGGTGCATGTACGTGTCATTAAAAGTGAATATAAACGTCTACTTTCTTAGCATGATAATTTTGCAAGTGCTAGCTGGAGGGTAAATCATTGTGAATGTCAGGCAGGCCTTCTTGTGCATGTTTTGAAAGCAACGAGCTAGCACAGTAGGTAAATTGACTGTAACAAATCTCCCAAATTTTGAGAGACTTTGCGAATATTCATAACTACATGCCGGTGTTTGGTTCCCGGACGATGAATTGAGAAATATAGACGTGGATCGATCACTCTACGTCTGTGCACGAACAGATCAAAATAAAAAATCCAAATTCCGGTTTGGTGCTTCTTTTCCTCCATAGGGAAAATGGCCAGTAACGTTTTAATTCCAAATTATCATATATAAGTTATACTTACGGCACTCCTGTTCGTCTGTCCCTTGCGGGCAGTCTGGTACCCCATTGCACTTCAACTCTTTAGGTATGCAGCTTCCTTCTGAACAGCGAAACTCGTTGGACTCACACTCGGCGCTGCGTTTCGTAGTGCTCGAGCGGCCCTTTCCTGGTTAAAAAAAGGAAGAAGACTTTTTCAAATTTTCTTGAATTTTTTTAAAATTGGGTTATAACGATTGACATGGGAATCTAGTGTCATGAAATATCCATCGGAGTGGTAGGCCCCCTATCAAGTCAGCACGAGTCAATCCCGTGTCACCATATAGGTATTTACAATCATAAGGCATTGCGAGTTAATGACATTTTTGTCACAAGTCCAGTCTCGAGGCAAGCGACAAGCTATTCCAATTAGTATTCCTTTGTCATTGTTCATACGCAGTTACTTGTGATTTGACTTTTGACTTACTTGTGACTGACTTGCGATTGACTAAGATTGGCTTGGGATTATTGGTAATTTGACGTGTGACTTGACTTGCGATTGACTTCTGTTTGACTTATGATTTGTGATTGGGCTTATGACTGGTTTTTGATTGACTCATGGCTGCTTTGTGATTCATTTGTGATTTGACTTGTGACCCAAATTGTGATTGATCTTTGATTGATTTCTGAATGGCTTTTGATTGACATGTGTTTGACTTGTTTACTTATGTCTGATTAATGATGACTTGTGATTAACTTGTGATCGTCTGGATTACTCAGCTTCAATGACCGATAACAAAAGTCGCAAGTGCGTATTTTAAACTGTGTCATCGAGACCTCAACTCAGACACAAGAGCTTAATACAATCCTTTTAAACATTATTTGTGAAAAAAATGGTCGAAACGACAGAAGAGATGGTTCATCATACTTCATCGTGCACGATGTTGTCGACCTGCCGATTTTTGTATAGCGACGAAATTAAACCTAGACAGAATGTTTTCAAAGGTTGATGAACCTCGATTTCGAGGCTCAAGCAGTTTTTCACCCTTTGTGAAGACGACATAAGTTTGAACAAGTACGCCGTCACGCCAGAAATTCGTAGTCGTTTTCCCTTTTGGGATTTAAGGTTTGGGTATATCTGGAATAGTAGGTCCGAATCAAGCTGCTCCTTCTGTTAAAATGTCATCACTTAAAGGGAAGGACGGAGAAATTTCATGTGACTTGTTGCTCCCTACCTCCAATTTTGCGCGTAATAATCTTGCGATGAATAGCGAGCCGGGAGCATTCGACAAGGCCCGTCTACGGACGGTGAAGAATTAGCGCTCACCTCGCCTCCGCGGCACAAATTAAATTTGACACCGTACCTCGCCTTAGGTTTGGATCACCACATTAAGCCCCTCTACCTCTTTCAGAAGATGTTTAGAGGGGGAGAAAGTAAAGTGCCAGGGGTTGACGTGTTTTCTTCTCTAATGCCCGGCGTATAGGCTTGACTTCGCCGGGGATAAAGGAGCAAAACTCCAGGGAAATTGGGATGAGTGCCGCGCTCTGACAAGGTAAAGCCGGGGATTAGGCCTGTCATTCCCCAGGCTTAACAACCACGTTGTAACAACCTGTTGGGAAGAGCGCAAAAAAGGATAAATCAAAGAATCATCTGCGGCGATAGCTTTGGATTTCCGACGTCAGGAGTTGGCAAACAACCGGACAATGAAACACTTAAGCGTCTTTACCGGTTTTTTTTTTCATTTTTCCCATCCCAACGTCCTACACATGCCCACTCGGTCATGATCGTTATACTGCCCGTGGCTCACGGCAGAAGCAACCAACAATTCCACCTCGTAATGTTGCTCTATTTTCTGGAAAATTATTGTCCGCCTCAAAGTTTGATGACAACGTTTACGACGCTTAGACGAAGCTAGCGGAAGGAATTTAAGTGAATTCGTGTACACATGCACTTCTTGTCATCCCATGGCCTTTAGGTCATGGTTTGTTATGGATTTAGAGCATGGACAAAACTGATTGATATAATGGCATAATCCTCGCATCTCTTTGAATTGACAAGATAATTATGGATAACAGCAAAATGAACCCGGCAGGAGCTTAAACGGGGAACATAATTTTATTACCATTTTAGGATCATTTTTAGTGTATGAAGTGAAACGTTGTTGGTACAATCCTGGTGGCATCTTGACGTGACGTAATTGATTACGTCATCTGAGAGAAATTATCATGTCATTCTGAAGAAAAATGTCTTTATGCTAAAATAGTAAATCTTGTCATTTAAGACTTAGGCCTAATCAAAGAATAGCGGTTTCTTGGGGAAAAAAAGCGTTAGTGCCGATACGTTGTGGTAGAAGTTCAACATAATGCTGTATTTAATATCCCTTAATCTACCTGGGCGCCCCCTTTAAAGTGCCTTGCCCCCAAAGTCACGGAATTTTAAACACAAGCGCTGTTTTAAGGTTCTGTTCACGGATCACAAAAAGTTCAGTGTTCTTTCAGCAAAACGAAAACAAATCACACAAGGATGTGTGTGAATTATTTTCGTTTTGCTAAGAACGCACACCTTTTTGGTGATCCGTGGACAGAACTTTAAAACAGTGGTTGTGTTTAAAACTCCGTAACTTGAAAAGTACATAAGTGATTTGAATGATTCTTGTACTAAAAGAAAGCTTATGAATTGGGCTTTCATAAGTCAGATTTTGAAAGTGCTACATGCAGAACTTCACCAAAAGAATGGTCCAGACATTTTGGTTCGTTTTTTTTTTTTTGGGGGGGGGGGCTCACCCTGATTTTGCCCGCAATCGGGGACCCCCTATTGTCCCTCTTTTGTTTGTACTCTTTTAGGAAGATCTCCCATATGTTTTGTACATGATCGTCAATCATGGACCTTCGGGAATTGTCCTGTATTGTTCAACATTCCCTATTTGAATGCAAAAGAAACACACACACACCTACGCATAATCAGCCAGTTTTATGCAAGGATCTAGTTACCCTTACAGTGGTGCTTAAATGTTTAATTTGTTTTCTCCTGAGTGATCTGTAGAACACTTCTATCAATTGACCAAATGGGCCGAAACTCAAGATGTACGAGACAATCCAACTTTAAGTCTACTTCATTTTTTCCTCGTTGAAAATGAAACTCCAGTAAATAATTCATACAGTACGACTTCACAAAATTATCAATAATTAATGACGACGTGGAACAGTGTGTTCGTTAACGATTTTTGTGAATAATTCACAAAAGGGGATAAAGAGCAGTGACGGTACCTTTTTTTAATATTTGACCCAGTGAGACAAATTATTTTGTTAAAGCTTGGTTTAGAAGGTGTATTTTTATTGGTCCAGAACGGTCATGTGCCACATTTTCAACGACTTTTCACACCAAAACGCAGCTTGAGTCCCATCTTGCCAAGCAATTACGTCATTAATTAAGTACATCAATGGCGTCACCAATGTACAATTTTTGAAGTGAGGGATTTTGTTGTCTTTCCCTCGTCCGAATCTATACGCCATTGATCGTCAATGAAGTCCTCCCTTCAAATCCATTGGCAACATTTCGAAACACGGTATGCGCGTATGCTCCGACCAATAGCGCATCTATAATTTAACAACGCGTAAACGACGCGCGCGCGAGTTTTGCTGTCCCACCTTAATAATAGGGACCATTATTATGTCTTTCAAGCGTGATCTTGGGATTAGTCTAAAGACTGACAACTTCTCCTACAATCCCTGGGCTTCGTTGAAGATTAGCCCAGAAGGCCGACCAGGATTTTTTACGGTAAAATGTCAACAGCCGCCCTGGGGTTTACTGATACATGCGAATGATCTACCTAGCCTTTGATGTCCAGGATCGATGGGATACAGACGGAAACTTTGAAAATAGATCCGTTCTCATTCAAACAAAGGTCGTGACCGATTTGGGATTTTTGCGCCGTAGCCAACAGTTCCCGTTTTTCAATATGGCCTCATTTTCGCTAAATTCAGTCCACAATATATAGAGCATGCATGGCAGTCTTGCCAGTCCACGTTCACATTTTTGTGTGAACGTCTCGGTACCAAACACTGACTAGTCTAGTCTCAGACTTCCGTGTTTGAATTTACTCAATCGGTTGATCGGTTGAACGAAAGCTGACGTCAACATTTTAATGTTATAATAGTCATCAATGCGCAATGCATTTGCAGTTTCAATATGTTGTAAATTACAATGCTTTCTTTTCTTTCGAAATACCCATTTATTGCCCTGGTTGGGATGGGCCCAGTCAGGACACAAAATAAATGCAAAAATAGGACGTCACGTAAGGTTGTACATCCTATAAAATGGTGTCCAGATGTGCTGGATATTCTCGTGAAATCTCGCAGGTTGTTGGTATCAACTTGCACGTTCTATAGCCTCTCACTCTAAGGTCTGGCACACTCTACCCAGCATGCACTGAAATTGTTTTAAAGAAATTGACAGCAAACTACCGTTGCCACCTCAAAATCTCTAAAACTCTATACATCATCAAGTGGCATTACTTTCTGTAATGTTTTTACAATTAACACATTCGTGCGACAACAACGGACAGAGCCCGGAAGAGTCAAAAGATATCGAGCAACTTCCAAAATATCCATCGCATCCCTCGGAATTTGGTTGTTGTTCGAAGAGTAAAAACACTCAGCCTTACCACGAAACATTTCCGATCCACTGCAGAGGGTTTATTTCGTCAGTAACACTGTGACATAATCGTCTTCGACTCCGACCCACGTTGCCGAAGTTTCACAAACACTTGCAGGAATACGGATTTGAGCTTGAGGTCTTGTGCCCAAGTACTTTTGACAGGCTTGTGACAAGTGTTATCACCACTGATTTTGTTTCCTGCCTGAAATGCCTAGGCTCCCTCCTTGGATGAAAGATGAAAGAACAGTCCTAAAACCTTTATTTGTCATTTAGGGCGGTGTTCAAAGCTTTGCGAGATAGCCGAGTGAAAATCCGCTTCTGTAGCGTGACAGATATTGTTTCCAAAATAACAAACTCTGTGTTTCAGGAGAACCCCACAGTAATAAAGGCGGTTAATTGGTTGTAAATATGCTGCTCTTAGTTTTGTTGACATGACTCAATTTAGAATTTCGCTTTGAAAATTTACTGACACACCATATACATTTCGATTCAGTTAGAAGCCGGACTAGTAATCGGAGACAACGTTTCGCGCGCGCGGGACCTGTCAATAAGAATGATGCATTAATAAGCAAAAAACATTTGTTTATTTCGAAAATGTTTTCCTTCTTTTTCTCTATTCTTATAGGAAAACTACGTTTGAGCATGCTTTTGGCAAGAAACTTCTACTGGAATGTGTTGAACGTTAGAACACGGTGTTGACATACAATCATTACAGTGCAGTTATACCAGCAAGCAAGCCTTTAGGTAAGATTTCTTTATGGCTGTTTCAATTTTGCTGCAAAAGTCCTGCATCAAATTAGTTCATTTTACACGTTTTCGTGCTTTCCTCCAATTTCTATGCGTGTTTCAACCAAAACGGCAAGAATAGCATTGTTTCTCTGCATTGTAGCTTTCTAACTTTTACCGAAAATGGTACCTTAGAGAGTCGTTCCCATAGACATGTGCACAAGCAAAAACATTCAACAGCCCCATTTGTAAATACTCCCGTCCCCAAACTTTATAATTATACAATTCTCGACCAAGGGAATCGTTTTAAGCAACTTGCGACGCTAAAATTCGTCGTAAAAATGGTAGTTAAAACCTAAGGAGAAACTGAAATGTCTCCCTAATGAAAAATAATTTACCAGTAAGTGCGTCCCAACGGTACAATTTGTTAATCAATGCATGCAGCATCTACAAAACCGAATCAACTGCCACTGACCATTACTGATCATTCTAATAGAAGAAATCAATTATTTTTTTCTTCAATTTTTTGATCAAATACAGCTTATTTAATACCTTTTACAAAACAAAATTCAATCTTTTACACAACTACTATATATTTCTTAATTAATATACGTTTTAGCTTCGCAACTTATAAACGGAAATTTCACTCTGTGTCGCATACATTTTGAGGAAAATGACCAAATGTTCTTATGCAAATAATTATTGGCAACATTTTTTTAAATTCAGTATACTCTTTTGTAACGCCTATCATTTTACACTATAAAATCGTGTCCATTTTTTTCCTTCTGTTTTTGGTTAATAAATGTTCATTTTCTGAATTAACTTCATTAAAAACGCGCTACCTTGCTTTCTACCTATAAAACTTGAAACATCCTATTTTTGATACACGTACATTATTCAACACAAGGTTTAAGTGCAGATTTGTTTTTTTTTACGAATTACATTTTTTCTTTTTTCTTCAAACATCTGATACAAAGTATGCAGCAATTTGCCACAGGGATGAAGTGAATTATATGTTTTATCCAGTAAAGTCTGCAAATCTGCAATTTGTGACCGGACGCACATCGATACTTAGGCCCATGCCGTACTGGTAAGCCAGCCCTCGGTCAACTCTTTGACGTTCGCTGGTCTTGGCGGCTTGCCACAGATAGTTTGCCCGGCGGCCGAGACAATAATTACGGTAACAGACCTGCTAATAGCAGGCGATGCGAACGTGAAAGCACTTCTCTTTGGGCCGTTAACATATGTTAAAACTTGCAGGTGTATTGCGGGAGACGCGTTCGTTATTTTTTTTTTTGGATACTTTTAAAATCCCCGCTTACACTGTTCTAATGGTGTAGAATTTTCTACCAGTATTTCTATCTCATGCAACATTTAGAACAAATAAATAAATCATCTTTTGGGGCACAACATTTTTCTAAATTCCAAAACAACAACAAGTTAATTTTACAATGCCCACTGCCAGCGTAGCCACTGTGCTAACAACCTGTTACATTTAATGCCTGACATAATAACTACTATTTTGAGAGAAAACGGGATTTAAGATTGGAGGTTCAGAGTTTTAAAATTTGAGTAAAAACTATGAAATTCTTTACTTCAGTTTGAGATGTAAATATTTAAATATTTCGCAATTAAGTCTTATTGTTATACTAAGCTATTTCTCTGATGAGGATGAAAACAATCACGTTTGCATAAAAATTGAAAACTGAAATTGACCACTGAACGTTATCATCTCCTAACATGATGGTTTCACATTATTTGTTGTGGTTCATTTCCTTTAATGTGGTTTGTTTCCGATTAAAAACCAACCAGGTGCGTTGGTTTGTCCGACAATAATATATGCCAAGATCGCATTATTATCGAAATCATAATTACCGAAATAAATTTGTACTCGCAACACAAACTCGCTCGAAATTGTAAACTCTAATCGACTAACCTCTGATCAAATTGAAGAGTACCTGGGACGAGAGTTGCCCATTTCGCTTGTCATCCTCTTCATCTTCGGTTGGCCAGTAGTCCCGGTCCACCACGGTGTCCGGATACTGGGCCCGGTCTTCCAACCCCACCTCCACCTGCGGTTTCACCCAAATCGCCCGGTTCCTTGTCCAGCCTTCGCCGGGCCGGCCGAACCATATTGCGCTGACCCCGCCGCTACATAGACCCGCCAAGACCAACCATATAGACGCTAGCGATAGCGTTCGCGATTTCAGGACATACCCACTCATCGGAATACGTCTCTTAGCTCAACGAAGGGGAGAGAAAATAACAATTGTCAGCACTTCTCAAGTTGTCCGCGCGAAGTCTCGCAAAAGCACGCAAGTCCTTGTATCACTGACGAAACTTGTTTCGTTGAGCGAGCAAAAAGTGAACAACTTTTATACCGACTATCCGTGATGTGACGTCACAATCGTTGTCGCCCAAGACTCTCTCTCATTCCCCATGTACGGTAACACCAACAATTTGATCGATATAGTTCCCTGAAGGAGGGGGTTGCTCTTTCCTAGTGGAAGTCGACATCACGTGACCAGAACATAATCATCACGTGACCAGAACAAACATCATAAACAAGTGTGACGTGGTCTGTACAGAAGCCGCTTTACCCAAGCGTGAGTGATTTATTTTGTACACGCGGAAGGATATGCCACGTATTCATTATTTACAACTACATGTATGCTATTTTTAATTATTTTTTTTTACATACAAAATGTTTGCGAATGAAATGTTAATCAGATCTTTATACTCAAACGAAAAATAGAACGGTGCAATCCAAAAACTGCATTGATTAAAATCTAATTTAATTTTAATGAATGTCTTTGCATGAAACTATAAAGTGGTTTTATTAGTCGAAAAATATAGCGAATGCTTCGGGTAATTTCCGCAATTTAAGGAACTGAAGGAACGATTTTTTCTGATGCAATAACCTCATAAATTTCTGCATATTTTTAATACACAATAAGGTTCAACTTGGATCGTTTTAGCCTTATGAACAAAACAACTTACGTTTTCTTTCACAGGATTGAAAAAGTCTTCTTTTTTAAATTCAATTTCAGTTTGTCAAGATAATCTTGGCATAAAGCCCAGACGACTGCCCATTTATGCGTCATTAAAAAAGTGGGAGATATGGTTTGCATAAGAATGCGTGGGCAGTTAAAACCACAATTTCTCAGGACTGTCTCATTTTGTGCAACAAACTGGGAAACACATATTGCGGATGTTAAGGCAACAAGTAGAAAAACAAATTTGTTGCTGTAAGAAATGAAACTCGAAACTGTTCCGTCTGTAAATGGACACACGCAACCGTGTCTTTGCATCCAATTTATCGCTTTTTAGTGAGTAATTCAATTTTATCTCTCTTTCAAAATAAATTTGATTCCTATTTCATCCAGATCAAGACCAAAGTTTATCAAATTCAGGTTGCTTATTTTAAAGTAATAGCAATAAAAACAGAGTTCGTTAACACTCCTGTGTGGCCATTCCAAGAAGTGAAAATTGAAAACTAACTCCAGGTCAATCCTAGTGGGAATCGAACCTGGGTCAGAGGAGGAATAAGAAGTGAGTCGGAAGCGCCAAACTGGCACCTCAGAGTTTATCCATTGGTTCTAATTAAATCAAAGATGAAGAGAAATCTCGCGATAATACGAAGGACGAAGAGGTACACTTAACAAGAAAATATTGATATAAACTGCATTTAAAATTGAAACCTCCGATGTAATCGCAAACCTGTCATTGTGTTGCGCGTTTCTGTTTGTATGAAATTGACAATGAGGGCATTCGCTGTTGTACATTCATTAAGGATTTTAAAATATTTAAGTTTAAAAAAATGACTAAAAATTTCTATCAACAAGAGTAATATTTGAGACAAGAGTCAGTCAAGTATGTTGGCATTTTACAAATTCGATTTCTTTCATTCTTAAAACAAAATGTTCCATTCTCACTTAATTGTGTCATTGATCACAATGATTTGAAAATCAGAAATGTGGTTTAGAAAAGCATCTCTCGGACTTTAGTGAACGTAAACGCCCTCCCACACCAAGGATGTGTCTGCGGGGTAAGGGGCAATGACACTTCGCCCACTCTTTAGGAATAAATGAACAGACAGTGTGTCCTTCGTGGGCGGGACGTAACACTGGCATTAATTTGCTCTATATAATGCCACTATTTAGAAGTAATCATTTTAGCCCCCCCCCCCCACGCCTCCCGCTTTTCAAACATGTATTGTCGATCAAATTTCTTTAGACGAGAGATTTGATTTGCTCCTAATCGTACACCGAAAAATTGGGTGAGTTAATTAGACCTAAGAAAGGGTGAAAAATGCAACTAACCAAAACTGGGTTATTCTTTTACCTATTGTTTGGTTAGAATTTCTGTTGAAATTCAACCAAAAGTTGTAGTCATACAAGGTCTGGAATGACAGCAGGATTTGGTTGAATTTAACAGAAATTATAACCCAAACAATTGGTTATAGAACAACCCAATTTGGGGTAGTTGCAGTTTTCACCCTTTCTTGGGTAAAATTAACCACGGTGCACTGCGATACCCGTAGATGAACTCTGTGCCAGTATTCCACCGTTCTTTATTTTAACATAAGGTGGGCTCAAAATGTTCCAGACACATATAAACCATCAAGCAATAAATCACATCGGACCTTTTAGAAGACAGTAATATTTGCCGCGGGGTAAAAAAAAAAAGAGTCAAACTCGAAGGATATGCAGAGAATTGTCGGCCTAATCAGTGAAACGAAATCTTTCCCGAGTATGTCATCAAGACGATTTTACAAAGGTAGGACCGGATGTATTACAGTATTAGAGAAAAACAGAATAATGAGTTTGACCAGTCCCGTACACTTTCTCCGACAGTTTGAGATAATGACTGATTTCATACAGGATACATTGTATAGACGTACTTTTGGTAAAAGACATTTCGATGGAGTAATATATTACCTCATAATTTATATTCGACGTTATCACTGTGCTTTGTTCCCCATTTCTTTGTCTTGTTCAAGTTATCTAATGTTTCTGCTCCTTGGTATAAGGTCATTATGCAAAAAGATACTTTCTTTTGCTCTAAGAAACTACAAAAGGAAGTGCATTTCATATACAGGGTGAGTCAAAAAGAAAGTGACCCGGATTAATGATTTGTTTTTTTCTTAAAAGCAATCAAATTTAATAAACCCATGAAGTATGTCTTAAAAGAGCATGTTCTTGCACTCATCTAACAAAAAAAATACTGAAATTGATCCATGCTATCAGAAGTTATGCATGTTTTACTAAAATGACCCATTTGTATAGTTGTCCGTGGAATGCCATTGGAAGTTATTGAGCTGAGTGAGAATTACAGATTACACACAGGCATTCAAATAAAAACGAGATTTTTAATCTTTTGAGTCAAGACTGAAACATTATTTTTACTGTCAGAATTTGTGTTTTGAATATTAGGAATAAGTCAACTGTTTATTTTCCCTGAAATACTGATGGCGATTTTTGTCTGTTTTCCTTTGCAAGTTTTCGTTCATTCATTGACGCGAGAAAACGTCCATGATTCATTGTATCTAATGGGTATTCATCAGTTTGTAGAACAGTAAATGATCGGTGGAAGACAGCTCAAATGATCTTTTTTTTTTTATTACAATATACATAAGTTTGGAATTTCACGCAAATTACGTGAAATTTCCACAGTTACTAGCCAATAACATATGTACTTTATCCCTTTGTTATTTTTATTAAATGGAGCGAGCCACATATTGTTTTCAATATCTTTTTTCTAGTACGGCCACGCTTTTTTACTCGCCCTGTATAGATTTACAGCTTGATAGTAGGCCTACGTAATTTTGTGTAACAAAAACCACAACCCACATACAATTATGCTTGAAAAAGAGGTATATTAACACAAAATGTGTAAACTGTTTTGGTACAGAGTGGGAATATATACCCTGGTACTGCCGACCCTTGAAGCAAAACATTCGTTTAAGAGAACGTTTTTCCTGCCGGGCATAAAGGCTATGCACAATCCCTTAGTGAGCAGAAGCATTTAGGGCCGATTTGTAAGAGAAAAAATACAGTGAACATCATCATAGAGTTTCCACCTATGCCTGCTCAATCTCTAGGGCCGAATCCGCAAATGCAAAAATGAAAAACACGTTTGTTTTAATGGTTTCCAATTTGGGTATAATATTATTTTTCCACAGTTCTCTCGTCTACGGTTTCACCGTGAGTGACCGGCGCTGGATGGCGAATCGCCTGCGGTGATCCCACGGCGTAGGAACAGGGCTGAGACCGCTTAATACTCACCTTTCGTTCAATAAGTATGCGGCTTTGGTAGGATCAAGATTGCGCGGCTTATCTGCAGTGTTTTTTGAAGCCATTCCTTGACAGAATGTACCACATCTTCCCCAATTCTGATCCAGCAGATGAAATTCAATGCAGCTTATTTCTGTCAGGTGTAAATCACTATTTTGAAAAGCGATATATTCATAACATGACTTTCTTGAAACGACACGCCATACGTAAAATGGCATAATGTGAAAAGGCACAACTGACAACGGCCGGAAATAGGCTAATGAATTCTCAGGAATTGGAAGTGGCGCGCAGTCTTTAACTCTGACGAAACACTTGTCATTGGTTGTTAAGACGTAAACGTCTTTAGGACTTCAACCTGACATGATGGTTTTCAGGATTCGTTTCTCACGACCGTTCCTCTGTCCATTGCCTTTCTCTTTCTCTTCAGGCTTCCGAGTTACGGTGCACGTGCACTTTTGGTAATTTTAAAATTACAAATTAAAATTGTTTCATTAAAGCAGACTGGAATTAATTAGGAATTAACTTGTTTTCATTTCTCTTCGCAAGTTCCAAAAAATAAGATGTTTTCCCCCACTTTTAATTCAATTTGGCCGACTCTATTGGGAAAAATTATGCGTAATTATGTTACTACTATAGTAGTAACATAATACTAATAATGTGTATTCAAGGTCCAACACACTACTCTACAGAATATATTTGAGACGATTATATTCATCTTGAGAGATCCATAAGTTTATTGGACGCTGCAATTTAAACGAAAATTGTTTTTGTATATCTTACACTGAAAAAATATAGTACACAGTAATTAATTAAAGGCCTCTTCGGAGAAATAAATTGTCACCAATTACGTCTTTCTTTCTTTTTTTTGCTCAGTCTTTTCGAGCAATTTGTTGCAGTCGGGGAGATTTAACTGCTTGCAATTTTGCAAGAAAAAAAGCGGCGGATTACTATTCCGCTCACGCCCACAGCTATGGTCGGACGCAGGACAGGGATTTGCCAGGTACCCTAGGGAATAATTAAAGATTGATGTAGCTAAGTTGTTGAGCGGGAGTTATTGGTCTCATGAGAAATGTTGCCTGGTAACTTTTAAGAATAAGAAATGGGTGGTTCATTAGAATGATTCCTCCGAGATTTGGCTTTTCTTCCGGTGATGCAAAGTTGAAAAGAAACAGCCCGTTTGAAGTGTTCTCCCAAGTGTACGGACTGTTTCCTCTTTAGTATTTGTGTTTGCATTTCAGGTGCGTGGTTTCTTCTAGCATGGAGAAACCTTGCGATTTTGGACAACAAAACGCGCACCTCTTAAAATTACCCAGGTCTGATTTCTCGGTACTTTCGTAACAGTGTAAAAATAGTGGTTTGCGTTTGTCTTTGAAACAAAGACATGGTGTTGGGACGCGGACTTTAACGCGGTCGTTAACTCATATGCCCATGCAACGACAAAACGATATATATATATATAAATGTATTTTAGCGATATGCATATGTCGCATAAACTCCAAGGACGTTATATGCTCAAACTCCATATTGAGGTTTACCGATACTAATTGTTCTATTGTTGAGTATAGCTCCGTAGCACGAGAAATGCGCTTCAAAATGGAGAGCATGTTTGCCATGAATAGGCCTACATTTGCCGAGTCAGCAACAATATGTTAATATTCATGAGTATAAAGCAGGACGAATAATTGGCTTGAAAGCGTTTTCAGCAAAGAGTTGTGGACAACTCACCATCTCATTTTCAACAGGCCTCCCCCTCCGTGTTGTAAAAAGTATGTTGTTCTTTTTTGAGAAAATAAAATATTCAATGGCAGGAGCCAACGAACGAAGAATTAAGGGATTAATATTAAAACAAACGTAATTTCTTCCAAACAGTTCAAGGGAGTGAAGATGAAACCTTGTACAAACATGAATCCTTGTCCAAAAATGTGGAATTTGTTTTGTGACGTCATCATGACGTCTCATGTAGTAAGTTACAATCGATTTCAGGTCAAAAATTGTACTCTCATTTTTAACTTATGAACTGAATTGAGTGTTTGAGCGTTTCGTGAGGTGATAAAATATTGCCTTGGGCAAGGCAAGGACAAAGTAAATAATTTAACTCGAAAATGGAACCACTGATTTTATTGTAATAAAATAATCTTATGTACATGTTCAGTCTGGAACGCTCAACACAAAGACGTCATGATTACGTCATCACTTGAATGGTCGCGCTCTTGTGATTTGCTTGTTTGAAAAGCATTTTCCAAATTTTTGCTTACATTTCCAGCAAGCATTCTTTGGGGAGTTACAAATTAATTTGCAAAGTTTTCAAATGATGACATCATCAGACCGGAATGAATTCTAAGAACTGTCTGAAAATATTCTTTTTTATTTCAAATCTGATTTTGGACAAATGTTGATAGGCCCTTTCATCAACATTAATTTTGTTATTATATGCTGTGACTTTCAAAACTAATCAATAAATACAAATAAATGTTTCAGTAATTAGAAGAAAATATGTTGTTTTCACTGCCTTGGGTCAATGATAAAAATGCTTCAAATGATAAATTAATTCGAGATTCATCATTTCTGTCATTTTAACAGTGAATTTCATAACTTTCAACAACGTTCAAGAAATAGTGTCACGCCCCATCACCCTGCGTTTGGACATCAATCCTCAGTGACAGCGAGGTCTGCATACACGTGTGACGTCATGATGATGTCACTAGGTATCAAATCAACCTACTTCTGGAGTCAATTAGGTGAGTTCAAATACATGTACCAAAAGAAGCGTGAATATCAAATCAAACGGGATTTCTTCCTAACGGGTCACTGAAGATGAAACTTTGTACAAACATGCACCCTCGTCCAAAGATATTACAAAATTGTGACGTCATTATGACATCAATCTATAACACGTATACAGGAAAGAACGAAGACAAAACAAAAAGGTGATGGGAGTTCAGCACCATCACCCTATAAAGTAGTGCCAATCAGTTACTTGCGGGGGTTTTCCCCTACACATTCAATCCCATAAAATGAAACTAATACCCTTTAACTACTTGCCAATTTCCCTACTCGACATCCATCATCGTTTGCCAAACCCCGGGCACTCTACTAGCCGATGAATGGATAAACAACTTTGACATTTCTTCATTATTCTGTCATTCAGCCTTTTTTTCTCTAGACTTAAACACCCGAAGGTTAAACGCACAATGAATAATTACCATAACTAAGGAACAGCCCAAGGCACCTATTGATCTGTAGTGATCTTTAAAATAACCCAAGGGACAATTAAAGAGAAAAATCGTGTATTTTCTGCGTCATAACACTCCCCTAAAAGCGACAAAACCCCGGTATGTGATAGTCTCGATTCACGCAGAGAGTTCCCTACAAAATGATTAATAAGTGCAATGGAAATGAAGTTTTTGAAAAAAAATGTCAGTTATATTATGAGCGGCAGTTAGGGGGGGGGGGGGCAGAAGCTTTGGACATATGCTGGAAAGCAAGTTTGTAAGGGTGAGGCCGGATGTACGTGCGCCACGTGACATGGTGAAATAGCTGAGCGATCACAATCTTTGAGCTACTTTACCTTGGGGAAAAATTGTAGAGACTTGCACTTGCTGAAAAGAATGGGTTTTGTGGGGGGGGGGGGGGGTGCGTTCGCAATCAGCGATACGCCTCCCCCGCCCTCCCCCGGCACGGGCCTGAGGTCAAGCCATAAACCGAGATGTGCAAAAATCGTACAACACTATTTCGAGAAACAATTTTGGAATCACTGGAAACGTGTGACATCTACGGCACGTCAAACGAAGAGGATACTCAAAAAAAGAAGAAGAATGAAGTCGGAAGTGACAATCACAGACGCAAACATCTTCGATATTCCAGCTTTTTATTTGTCAATATCAAATTATAACGCAGCTTTACCTCTCGAAGCTTTTCCTTATTTAATCTTACGACAAACAAGACGGTTAGGCCAAACAAAAATTTAAAAAAAAATTTAATCGGTCGACCTAAATTGACGTCACACACAGACAGTATCTGACTGCTCTCACAAAAACATAAGGTAACATCGATATTTCATTTGAAATTGAAATCGGAATTCTAGCAATTTGGCGTGTAACAAAATACCTAGTCTCGAATTAATATTCCCAGGTGGAAAAAAATAGGTTCCCCTGAACTTTTGGTGAAAGGAGGGAAAGTTTGCGAGAAACTCTCCCGAAATAATTTGCGTCGAGACCTCGCAACCCTTACCTCTTACAAAAAAACACAAAAATCATTAAAATAAAACTTGAAATAAAAAATTAAAATCAAAATAAAACTAATCATTAATAAACCAATGAACTAAATTTGCTGAAATGAAATCTCGGCAACTTCAAATTTGCTTTTGCATATGGAAATAAATCATCACAAAAATAACGCAACTGCTATTAAAACAACCCGTCGGCAAATAAAGTAATTTGAATTGGTCAAAGGTACGTTTTCTTAATTAATTAAAATTACAAACAACCATTACTGCACATAAACAAACGTTGGAATGTCAACTAATATTACTTCTTTTCGAAAATAAAACAACACGGTGGTCCTTTTTCTTGATAAAAAAAAATCAGCTCAAAAATAAAGCGGCATAAGGGTATTTTTTTAGTTTCTCTCCGTCTTAATATGCTGTTTTCTATATACAATGTTCCTTGGGGAAAAAAATACCAAAAGAAATGCTATACGAAACAATCTACATGTAAAAATAAAATCGTTTCCAAATGAAAATATTTATATTCATATTCAATTCAGATTCATATTAATCATTACATTTGGTGCAGAAACATGGCCAATTTAAAAACAAAAGTTGAACGGAAATGCAACCGCACAGTACACTACCGTACCTTGTTGAAAGATAAAACATACAATTGATTATGCATCTCCCTTTTGTTATCCGTTGTTATTTAACTTTAAAATCAAATCAATAATTCATTAAGTTATTAGTTCATTAAGTCAGTAATGATAAGTTAAGTTACAGGAGGGACATGAAGTGGTCTGTAGATATCAAGATCAACAAATCATGAGATTTTGTTTCCACTGTGAACACTTCAGAATGTGACAATGAAAACATGAATGTTAATAATTCCCACTTCTGCTTACTTCAACGAGATAATACTAAATGTGAAGGATGTGTCACTAAAAAAAAATGACTGGAAGTTCTGCCAATAAGAATATTTTGGTCGAGAACAGTCAGTCTTCTAAAAAGCAGCAACATGAGCATAGCGCTTCCTGTGTTAGGAGGTAACTTACAGTTTCACACAATTTTATGCAAAATTTTGGTTTATTCTGTACAGTTCTTTCCCATAACTTTAAACTGATACAACCACATTTTTATATTGGAATATGAGAAATAATTAAGGGTACAAAAATTATAGTAATTAAATCACAATAAATATATTTGATATATTTCAATCACATTTTGTTTTGTTTTAAATAACAAGCACTGGGAAAATCAAAGCTAACACACATATTTCAATAAAAAAAACAATGAACCAAAATTTTCAAAAAATACTCAGTGGTCTTTTTTTAACTTACAGCACAGATGATACAAAATATCTTAATTACATCTTTTGCATTTACTTTTTGATCAAAAGAAAGGATCAATCTTGTCCGAAGGTACAGAATTCGTACATTTATATTTTTTATACAAATATGTACACAAATTCCATTTATTTATAGGATAGTTTCAGCTCTGTTTATCAAAAAATGGGGAAAGCCGTGAAGATCATCGGCGCTTTCACTAATACGGAATAATATGACATTGTGGAATGTGCCGTTTTCTTTAACAAGTTGTGGTGCGTTAAGGCCACTCAACTAACAGGATTTGTTTCTGGTTATGATTGATTGATTGTGTATCGAATGTTACTGGATGCAAAACTGTCCAAATGCATGTTTGATTTGTAATTATTGTTTTAAATTTGAACAAAGTAAATGATTGGAACGGGGTTTGAACCTCTGTGAGTACCGTTCCGGTGCTCTACCAACTGAGCTATCCAGCCTTATGTTGGCAGTTCCCAAATTTGTCAATTTCTTTGTCAAGACGTTAGTCAGAAGGGCGCTAGTCAGAAGCCATTAACCCATAAATGCCATGCAGCCAGGGATCACGCCCAAAGTCACGAAGCTAGCAACATTAGCAATGCTGCAAACCTGGGAAATAGCAAACGGAGATCAATCAGAGAGGATACGGCTTTTTTATCATAACTTTTTCATTGAACCACAAAGGGAAACTGACTTATAATTGTTCGAACAATTATTATAATGTTCCTAGTCAGTTTCCCTGCGTGGTGTATTTGTAAATTCTGATTAAGTCTTTAGATCACAGCAACATTTGCATTTGTCAAAAATGTCTTCCTATAGGAGACCAGGCGGCTTCACAGGGCAATACGTGATCAGAGGGTTGAACGCACACACACACCCAGCTAAGCGTGTTTACACCGTCGATCGTGGACGTCCTATTGTCCCTCTTTTGTTTGTACTCTTAACTTTTGAGGAAGACTCCCATAGGTTTTGTGCACGACTCCAATCGCGGACGTATGCTGGGAATCGTGGACGATATTGTTCTCTTTTGTTCTCTGGAATTTTTCGTCCAAGGTTTGAATAGATGAACACGCCCAGACAGACATGTAAACATTGGCAATCATTGAACCCCTGACCTGCTTACTAGTGCAGTTGTGCTTCTCATGAACTAAATTCCAATCTTCAGGATGATGTGGTTTGGAGCGCCTCTAGACAGTGATGCAGTGATAGATAAGCATTCTCCATCCTGTTTAATTCCCAACAGTCTTTTCCCAAGTACACTCACGAAACACAAACACGTACATACGATTTCATTCATCATAAAATGCATTCTCGACATAAGGCCACTTGTCCCTTGATGTAGGTCCTACACGGACATATCCGTCTGAGTTCCGTGTCTTGACTGGCACAGCTGTATAGGAGAGGTTTGGACTGGGTCTTGCAAGAGGAACGGACTGGGTTGATAGCGGGGACATAGACTTCCTCTATCTGTTCTGATGAGGAACACGACATGCCAAACCTTCTGAATAGGGATAGGAAAAACATAGCAAGAGTAGTTAATGGTTGTTTTGGGAAATTGTATGTGGTCATATTCAGTACAAAGTCACGTCAGTAGTCAAGTCAGTAGTCAATCGCAACTAAATCATAAGTCAAGTCAGTAGTCAAGTCAGTGGTCTAGTCAGCAGTCAATCATAAGTCAAGTCAGTAGTCAATCACAAGTCAAGTCAGTAGTCGAATCAGTAGTCAATCATAAGTCAATCGCAGGTCAATCATAACTCAATCAGTAGTCACTTAAATACAATCCAACTGCAAGTCATCATAATTCAGATCACAAATTACAAGTAGGGTCAAAAAGTAAGGCTGAAAATCTTTTGCTAGCCTACTTTAAATTCATGAAGTTAAAATCTTGATCCTCTTTCATGGATTAACTTACTTTTCTAAAACATCTTTGTAGTTCAGGAGATGAAACCATGCTGGTTCGCATATTAAATCTGGGAAGGAAAAAAGAGAAACTCAATCAATGAAAAAGTGTACAAGCCATATAATGCTCCAGCTTAGCATTCATTATACAACTGAAATAAGCGTTTCAAACGAAGTGAGTATCCAGATGTCCCCTTTCTGCAAAGTTTCTTTGAATGACATTGAAAAATATTACTGTTTTTTAAAGTTAAGAAATTGGCAAGAGCGGGTTTGAACCTGCGACCTGCTTCACCAACTGAGCTATCCAGCCCTATGTTGGCGGTTCCCTAATTTGTCAATGTCATTGTTCAAGGGGCGCTAGTCAGAAGCCATATACCCGTACATGCCATGTAGCCAGGGATCACACCGACCTCGCCATTTGAAAAATGTTACACAAGAAGTCCATAAGGACAGTGACTTACCATCTTTCATGCATCGTTTGCTGCAGGATTCATTGATGTCACTTGTTCTGATGTGCATGGCAGACTTTGGCGGCCAGGACTTGGGGCGACTGCAGAAATCCTGCAAGGTAAGCAAAGTGTGGTTAGTCATTGGGTCAAAAATTATTATCCGACGTACTGACTCCCTGCTGTACATTACAATATGCAGGGCTTCTGGTGACCAGAGATCAGAGTCTTAGTTTAGTCCATCACAAGTCTATTCCAAGTCTGCTCAAAAGTAAATCACAAGAGCTTTCACAAGTCAAGTCACAAGAAACACGGGATGAACAATGACATCAGGACTGCTTTAGTCACAGTTCATGTGAAATGCTTGTGACTTGAATTCACTTGAGACTGGGGGACTTGTGAGGACTTGTAGGGAATCGTTAGGACTTGTGAGGACTTGTTAATACTTTTGAGGACTTGAGTAATTGTGAGGACTTGTGATGGACTTTTGAGGACTTGTGATGGACTTGTGAGGACATGTGAGGACTTGTGATGGACTTGTGAGGGCTTGTGATGGACTTGTTAGGACTTGTGATGGACTTGTGATGGACTTGTGATAGACTTGTAAGGGCTTGTGATGGACTTGTTAGGACTTGTGATGGACTTGTGAGGACTTGTGATGGACTTTTGATGAACTTGTGATGGACTTGTGAGGGCTTGTGATGGACTTGTGATAGACTTGTGATAGACATTTGAGAACTTGTGATAGACTTATGAGTACTTGTGATAGACTTGTTATGGACTTGTGGGGCCTTGTGAGGTCTTGTGATTGACCTGTGATAGCCATGTGAAGGACTTGTGAGGATTTATGATGGACTTGTAAGGATTTGTGATGGGCTTATGATGGACTTGTTAGGATTTGTGATGGACTGATGATCCAAAGACAAAGTTTGCTAAACCCCCAGTGAAACCACTGCCAAAAGTCATTGAGACTTGGAGACAATTACCTGGTTTTCTATATAGACACTAAGCCTCTGTAGCATGCCTTCACACTGGAACTCATAGGGTAGGTACGGGGCCGGAGCATCTGACTGGCTGATTGCCTCCACCGTGGCTTGCAGGGCAGAGAAGTTCTGTATGTCGATGGTCTGGACGTGGGGCTTGCCAATGTACACCTCAGCATACGGGTGTTGAGATGTCAGCTGCAGTTTGGGGTGAAATTGGAGAAGGTTTGTTGGACTCTATGCATGAATAACAAGAGGGCGCTATTTGCTACCAATAGGAAGGATGTTTGCACTTTGCTGGATCATGCATGCTGTTTGAAGTTGATGGATCCTGGGCACCAGTGACCCTCCACGTTTACCAGGAAGAAATCTACCTGCAGTACTTGGAATTATTCCCCATGGCCAGCTATTAGCCTATTTGACATATAGCAGACACAATAGAGGGCGCTGTTTGGTTTGGGTAAATACAAAAGACTTTACCCAAATCAAACAGCGCCCTCCTATTGTGTCTACCCTATCACAAATAGGCCAATAATGAAGACGCTACTGCTCAACAAACTTGATGTGCTTAACAAAAGTCATAAAGATTTGTCAACCCCTGCCTGTATAACTAACCTCTCTGTCCGTGGGCTTGTTCTTGAAGAACTTGGTGTTGACTTTACTCTTTGGTGGATCGAAAGAGGGGTTTAGGAATATACAACCGTTGGCGATAGCCTCTAAGGGCGCTGGGCCTTCATAGGGGAAACCGAGGCCAATGAAAAGCTGAAAGAAAAAGTACAAGAGAAAACTCATGAATAAGTGTCTGTTCTTTAACAGGACACTGGGCTGTTTCGGAAATATGTTTGAAGCACTAGGGCTGTTTGGGCTGACTTGTTGAAACAGCTAAAAAAAAAAGGGGGGGAATCTTACCAAAAACAAAAGCTGTTTCGGCTGAACTGCCGAACAGCTAAAAGAAAAAAAATCAAAGGCTCCTTCGGCAAATTGCCGAAATAGCCAAATATATTTCATTGAAAGCTTTAGGTCTTTGTGTCTTAACTGCCAAGTCTTGTGTGTTGACAAGAGTTTTGGAGTTTTGTGCGATGGATGAATGTCTTTAATCAAAACTTGAGTTTCAATTTAGAGTAAATAAACTCTGGATGTAAATTGAACTCGTGGTCTGTGGGTTGTGCAGGTTGTGGGTTGGAGTCCAGCCTGGGGTCATGGTGCGTGTGCCCTTGGGCAAGGCACTTTGTCACTCATTGCTTCTCTCCACCCATGAGTAAATGGGTACCTGTGAGGGCAGAGATGGTTAGTGTGGTTGATTTTAGCTGCTTTATGCCGAAATGGCAGCATTGAGCTGTATACTCCCCAGGGAGCTGAGATGGTGTTAGGAATGTTTCATTGGCCCAATGAGCAGGGTAATAATGATGTAGCGCCTTGAGCACCAATAATGGTTGATTCTCAAACACTGATTGTGCCTACCTTGGTTTGTTGAAGAAGTTGCTGCAGATCCGGTCCCATCAAGATGCCGTGGTTGTGAACATAAGACGGCACGGCTACCACTTCCTCCGTCTGATTCTGGTCAATGTGAACGGTAGCATGGATCTCAAAATACTGGTTGATGATGTCTAAAAACTTCATGGCATTGGCATTCTGGACAAAAGGGCAAAAATGTCAGTTATTCATTTCATCATATGGACCATGTGCAAACATTTGCCCTTTAGGTGAATAAGAGAGAGAACGTTGATGGATACTAAGCCAGAAGTGCAGCTATGCGTCCATTCTCGGGTGCAGGGGTGTGCTGTTACAGGTATATTTGGATCCAGGGACCAGTTGAAAAAGGGTTCGTACACAAGTACCCCGTCAATGGTTAGAAAGGGAGAGTTGGGGGGGACCACTGGGAGGGACATTGGAATGCATTGCCGGTGACGCCTGCGCCTGGCGCTCATGTAAAGATGCTACGGCTTTGTGTACATTCAGAACAAACTAAGTCGTGTGAACTTTGCGCAAGGCATGGGGGAACCAGTTCATGCACACGGTACATCCCATCCGCAGGGCTCTTGAAAGTGGTTGAAAAGCGCCCTCTACTGTCTACTGTTTGCGCATAGAATCCACACCGTTCTCCATTTCTCCAAATCATCCTGAAATCGACTACAAAATAAGTTCCGCAATGTTTACCCCCAAAGTGATATGCGATGTAGGAATTTGGGGGGAAAGGGAAATCCAGCGAGCAGAAATCTGAGAACAAATCCATCTTTATTCTGCTTTAAAGGAAAATAACTTCCCGACGTTAAAACACACACTATTGTGTATATATTAACGTCGGGAGTTTCCTTACTAGCAAAACCCACACTCAAAAGATGACAGTCACTGTAGTTCTACAGTTGCCTGTGATGCTAAACTATTCCGGCAACTACAAGCTTAAGGTTTGAATAGTAGAGAATTAAAAACTACTGCAAGTACTCCCCAAACCTTTGCATGATTGTAATGCTAATGCCGAATTCCCCTTCAAATACTAAGATGATCCAAGATGCATGTTGTGTTTGTTGAATGTAAATGAAGGTAAATGAAGGTAGGATTGGAGAATTAATGAAGTCAATGCAAGCTCAGAGATTTGAAGAGAAACTGCTTATTACCTCTGACGATTCTTTATTTCCAAGTCCCGGTATTAGCTGAGCCAAAGGAGACGGATACAGACGATTTATCATTTTGTGAAAATAATGTTTTTTTCAATGTTGTATTTTTCTACACACTTTCTGGCTTTGACTTAATGACTATCTAGTCTATGGAATATCCTCTGGGACAGGAAGAGTTATGATATGTGAGCAGATTTGGCGATTAATTATGCGAAACAAGACTTTGTCTTGACCTCGAGATCCTGACCATTCAGTGGGCACCTTCTATCGGGTCTTCCGTAACCCGTTGTATTAAAAAAAAACATGGCATCCAATTGGCCAATCCACAGCCGAGTCCACATTTCTGATCGAAAGGATGCCATAGTTTCTAAAGACCACTCTGATTGGCTGAAATTTACATGGTCGAATATATCAGACGTTCGTTCCGTGGCTCTGATCCTCAAACTAATGACTGTCTAGCAACAACCAGAAATACATGTACGAACAGCTACATGTATTTCCGCATGTTGATTCATCAGTCACAACCATTTCAGATTGGAGTTCTATAAAGTCATGCAAAACTATATCATTCTAAAGATTTGAATTAAGTTTGGGTTCTGCAATAATTAAGGGTCTAATCAATAAAAAATTTAATATAAAGTTTGACCGTCTGAAACCAAAATCTAAAATTATTTAGTTCGGTTGAATCTGGACAGCAGGTTTGAAATGGTCCCTTCTTCCTGGCTTATAGACTAATTCAGCGACAGCTCCTTTGTGAGAAGGCACCAGGCTTGCGCAAGTCGCACTCAGGTAATATGCACACACTCTGGGCTGAAATCGCGTGGCATGTCATTAAGAATGCGTGCGGCATGCGCACGAGCGTGGCACCACCGCAAAAAATGGCTTCTAATTTTGTTCGGCGAATTCCAGTTTAAGCGTTGCGAATGCTGTGATATGTTGAATGGACAGAGCACACGACACACTGGTACAATGGGCACGCACGGCAGAAAATGTACCCGTTTTTACCTTCCACATGTAAGACATCTTGCCGTAAACCAGGGCTTTGTTGTCCCGTTTCACGGTAGCATCCATCGCAAGTCTGTTACTCTCCACGACAAAACCCATGAAGGAATTGTCGGGGGTGTGGGCTGAAAAACAAAAATGGAAACAAATGTCACTATGAAAAACGTTCTTTAAAAGATAATCTGGGAATCTGAAAACCATTTCAGGTGGAATAAATTAACAGGCTATTTGGTACCAGTCCTATCTTCACTTTCAGCAAGGATTACGCTGCTGGGTAATTACAAATGTTGCTACATGTCTTTGCAGGCACATGTAGTGACTAACAGCTTGAAGTGTTACCACCGTATATACTTTACTGTGCCTCTACTTTGCATAAAAATAAATTATTAATCCATTTGCTGTCGTGGAACGGGAAAACATAGCACATCTGTGTTCCATATGCTGCAAATGCACTACATTATTCAGTGTTCCATTCGCCTCCGGCGATAATCAATATCGTATTGTCAAGCAATGTTTTACGATACACTGATAAAGACTTACATGTGGGTCATTCTATAATTCTGAGTCCAAAGTGTGGCATTTTTTTTCCTGTCCCTGTTACCTTGGTACTTTGTAATTTGTCATTCAAGAATCATTAAAAATGACTTCAAACAATTTCTCATGTGAGGTAGTTTGCTATTCGTAATCACTCTTGGAGGAAGACAGCATTAAGGAGTGCATCAAATGAAAAAAAAATCATAGATGTCAGATGTAACAGGGACAGGAAAAAAAGTGAACCCAAAACGTGTACAGTAACCCATGTATCAATCAATCGTTCCCACCTCTATTGGTAGCAATTACAATAACCACCTGTGAATAAAAACTTACGGAACATGGTAAAGAACTGTTTAGGCAGCAGTTCCCAGCCACCCCAGTCTGTCTTGCGACCCGTCCTCTTGGAGTAGCTTCGGATATTGTAAGCTGGTTCAGTGCCGAAGGAATCTATCACTCGCAGCATGCAGCTATACAAGAAAAAAAAAAGATCGAAGAGGGTTTGGCTATTATTCTTTTCAATATCAGGTTTGCTTTTGCATTTTACCTACATTGACAAGTAGATTTCAACAATACTTGATGGTTTTCAGGAGTTGTAAGAAAATATTCACCAATTTACTACGAAGAGAGTCGACCCACAACTGCCTGTGTAAACTTCTCGTCACTAGATGACAGACTCTGCTGTGGTCACTAGCCTATTCCATCCAAAGTCATTAATGGCAGCGTAAGTTGCTGTATGAGATTCGAACCAGTAATGCAACAAGTAACCTATTTTCACTTACAGAAACCTTTTGTGCGTAGACGCTCTGTGAGCATGGCTCCTTGGCCCAATTTCACGGCCCTGCTAAATCAGACAACAATGCTTAGCAACTTAATGCGCTATAAGCCAAAAACTGCTGGGAATCCAATGTATTATAAACGGCTGCATCTCTAGTTTAGAGCTGTTGTCTAGATCTTCGCTTTTACAACTGCATGAGAACAAGCTGCCACTAAGTATAGCTTTGCTGTTTTGGATTTGTTTAGTTTAGAAGGATTTTATGTGCTTAGTATCATTGCATGCTTAGTGGCACCCCTTCCCCTTAGCATATAAATTCACCAGCTAAGCACTATTTTCTGGTTAGCAATCCCTGGGATTGGGGACCTGATCTTACTTGAGTTGTTTCCAGAGCGGCCCCGCAGCCTTCTTGAATTGTTTCAGGCCGACAATGTCGATGTAGACCAAGTCAAAAGGGCGTTCCCCTCCGATGGGACAACTCTGACTGACGACCCCCTTGCCTTTCAGAAAGCTGTCAACAAAAGACAAAATTATATTACAAATTAGCTGCATCCTCCCTTTATTCACAGTCACTGTTGAAACAGGAATTTCCTTTCACATTAGAATTTACCTTGACTGTTAATATTTGTCCAAATTTCCTTAGCTGAACTAGATACAATGTACGTGGCAGCCTCAATACAACTCCATGACTGGGAAAAGCTGCAGATCATCCTATGTATGCACACACTCAGTGTTAACATGGGCGTTCTCTGTCATTATCGCTCTTGCAAATATGAACAACTGTTCATATTTGGTCAAATATTTCTTTAGCTGAAGTGCACACGTTCAAACCTCAATATTACATTTTGTATATTAAACGTGTCTTTTTGTGTTTGTATTAAAAAAATCATACAGAGAACATTTGCAGTACTGATTAAGGGAAGTGCGTATAATTGTTCACGCCAATGGCAAGAGTATGCCACAACAAGATGGTGGTGTTTGTTTAGAGATGAAAGTACGTGTACATGTACTCAGTCACATGAAAGAAACTGTGTCTAAAGCACTGTTGCTTTGGAAAAATCTAAATCATGTAAATACCTGTACATGATTGAATGACTTGTTTTTTATGAAATGCTGGGATTTAAATACATAACGCTCATATTTTTGCTTGAAATTTGAGGAATACAGGTATTTATGTACACGGTGCCAATGTTTTTTTTTCACAATTTGGAAAAAAGCCTGAATTCAGGCAATTGCAGGAGGACTTATATCTGGCAGTTTATTCTCTGTGCTTCTAAACCAGTTCACGCCGGGATTATTTTGATAAGAATGGAACGAGGCAAGGGATTACTTTTCACTCAACCTCATGCCAGGCGGGTTGAAGCCATCACCCTCGGGCAGCGCACTCATATTTCTGGCCCCGCTTGCTGCGAGCGGGTCGCTGACAGATATTTCCGACCTCACATCCTGTGTGTTTATCTGTCATCCGTTCCGAATACTGCAAAACCGTTGCGGTTATACACGTCATCAGGCGCTAACTGGTCAATGAAGCACCGAGATAAACTTTCATGGAAATTCATCATGGTTTACGAAAACTCGACTCTTTACGAGAGAGTTTCCAATCTACATACTAGAGCCCAATCAAGACCCAATTTTCTTGACTCTGTCTGAAACAAGTATGAGCTGATTGTTACCTTTTCAAAGATGAATACATGACGGAAACCTCTAGGTCATGTCCCAGGATGTAAAGGGACGCGATGATGTCACTCCATTGGACGAGCTCCCCCAGGGGTCCGCCGGAGAATGCGTTCTCCGCGATCTTGAACCCCGACTCTTTGGTTAGTAAACCCATGTGAACCAAAATCTGGCCAGAAGAAAAACAGATATTTATACAAAGCAAGGAGAGTTAAAGGAATTGTGAAACGTCTGGTTTGCGCTTGACTTGAGTTGGGGCTAAATATACACCATTCGCATTGCAGCAATGTTTGAGGTGTCAGCTTGGGGGACTACAGTGAGTAACAGGCAGGGCGGTTTGGGGCAGTACAGGGAGTAATAGGCAGGGTGGTTTGGGGCACCACAGTGAGCAATAGGCAGGGCAGTTTGGGGCGGTACAGGGAGTAATACATAGGGCAGTTTCCCCAGTTCAGTGAGTAACGGTTCACAAGATATGAGCAACTGCATCAAGACTTCATTACGCCATCACCTGATGAAATTTCTGAAAGTGATTTTGGGACATAAATTTCAGAGAGATGTTTCATCTTATCAAAATGATAATTAAATCCCCTCTAGCTCCAAAAGTGTCTGCGTCAAGCTCATACCAAAAAATCATTACATTCATTGATTTGTGGTTGAATATTACTCTATAGTATACATGTACATTGATTTCAATGCAATTCTGAATCCCTTCTGACATCAGAAGTGACGCAAAAAAAAATTTCACGAAGAGAGGTTTATCCCCCTCAAAAAAAAAAAAAAAATGGAAGTTTCTCACTTCAAAATTCAAAGTGGGTGGGGGTTTATTTTGGTACAGATCTTTTTTTTCCTTTCCTAATCTGACTTTTAGCTCACATCCAGGATTTTCATGGAGTAATGCGATTACCAGTCTTGCTATTTTAAATTTGTAGCTTTCCAACTCTTAAAAGGATCAAAGCCGCAGAAATCCCCGCCACCAGGAATTGCATGGGATAAAAGAAAAATTGCATCCTGTTTGGAAATTTCCCATCTCGACGTAATCAGTCGGAGGTTCTTTCATGCATAAAAAGGCAATTGATACAAAATGTCATGATTTCCTTTTGCCATATTCTTTCATTCTGTACAGTTTTCTATAGGTTTTGTGCCCATCCTTAATTTGGCAGTTTCATGATCACTTCGTAATTAAATTTCATTGTTGGAAACGAAAGGCCGGGAAAAAAAACAGACGTCACTGCTCAAAAAAAAATAATACACTCTTACAATCTATTCCCTGTTGAAAGAAATTACTTTACAGTAAGCAACAAAGGCTTGAGGGCAATACACAAGGCCTTCTTCCACTTTCATTACCCACGACAAAAAAAATTAATTATTAACACACATGACCACTTCTAATAACACACCGCAATGTCCCTGCTCCTTTGAAAAAAGAAAGAACAATAATTGAAGCTAGAAGGATAAATATTTTGTAATGTATTCATATCGTTGATTATACACTGTTTATGTTGAAGCGAGCAGTTTACAGGGGAACCAATAATACTGTCAGTTTTAATTGTCTTCTCTCAGATATTAGAAATGAGAAATTATTTAGAACATTGAAGGAAATATTACAAGATAGAAGTACATACTGTACATGTACATGTACATGTACATGATGTACAATACAATCAATGCAAGTACAGAAAAATGGCTTTAAATACATAAAGCAGCATATTTCAAAACGGAAAGAAATACAAAGTCACAGAAATGCCCCTTCACCAGTTATATTTTAAACAGATGCAGCGAAAACAAAACATAAAATGTATTTATCAGAAGGTTAGTAAACCTATTATCCCAGAATTTTTAATTATTTTTGTTTTTTAATAGAAGCATTATAAATACAAATACATGTAGTTTAATTATTAAATATGGTTCAGCGCTCCACACAAAAAGCCGACAACAGAACAGCACCGTAATTACAGTGCCATTGCCGCGATACCATGGCAACCAATTTAGTCAGAAACCATTAAGCAATGCGTATTGAGAAGTCCATAAGTCATGATTTTTTCAATGCAAATGCTAAAGATCAGCAGTACAAAAGACCCTGCTATGCACGGACCAGCATACTGTAAACCAGCAACACTTTCCAAAAAAACAAACATTTGTGAATGCTTGTGGGCACTTGTATTTGATTGGCACCGGTATGTCTATGTACTTTGAAATGTATAAAGTACTCATCATAAAATGTGAGATTAAATTGTCTGTTAGAGCAACAATGATTACTTACAACACTGGGTAGATTTTTCTACAGCTGTGTTATGTTTTGGAAACAGAGTTATTGGCATGACGTTTTGTAATGTAGTTTCTGTTTTCAAATGCCATAAGTCATAAGTGTGGTACCTTGCTCTTTCTACCACTATTCTTATGGTAGTGTCTAAGGCACCAGTTTGAATGTTACATACCAGTATTGAGTGTTGTAAATTAATGCGGGAAAATCCTACCTTTCCTTGTTTAATATTTTTATTACTTTAATACAATTTCTGTACAATCATTTGATGTCCTTGACAGAAACGTCAGAGAGAAAAAAAAAAATTATCAAGAATTAAAGAAGACATTTTTCAGAGATAAGAAGGGATAAGATTCACAAGAAACGGTTGGATGCAATATTCCCTCTTGCGTTGACGCACAAAGTTAGTAAAGTCTTTGCAATCATGGCAGATAATAAATTAGAAGCAAGGGGAATTCCCAACGAAGCTGGCGTTTAAAATGTGACAAGACAACTCACAGAACTTTACACACAACAGAGTTGGCATGTTGTAGATGACTACATGTATGCTACGTACACAAAGACTGCAAAGTAGTACAAACGCAGCAGAACATATAAATGAAGCTGTTTTAATTTTAGTGATGCGGAAGTCTTGAATGCGACAATATAACTCACAAGTACCAATGATGCTTTCGGCATTTACTAGAAGACCATGCTGTGTACATAAAGAAAACACAATGCAGTCTACAACTGTCAATACACGAAACTAGCATAAACAGGTTTTTGGATCGTTAGACTTTTTGGTCATAGTTTTCTGAAATCTGTAATTTTGACAGCATTATATTTTTTAATATTTTTTTTGATAGTTTTGTCTGAACTTACGTTTATCACTAGCATCTGTCATAAATATCAACATATTATTAGACAGTTGGGAATACGTGCATGCAAAATGACCACCAACATAAACAAATATTCAAGATTAAGGCATTTAAACACATGCATGAAAGCCCTATGTCATCAATTAACCAGTTATCTTGATAATTCTGTTTGAGATTAAACTATTTGTTGCGAGGTAAATTCCTTGTTTGTCCAAAGTCGTACTAGAATTGTGCACCACACTTGTTATTCCCACGTTGTGCCTACACTTACAATGCATTCCCTTGTAACAATTTCTCGAGCGCGCAATCCCTGCATGCACAACTGGGACTCAACGCTTTTAGTTTTAAATAGACATATGGCTGTGTCTGAATGACATGGCTATGACTTGTAACTACACATGCACCTATGGGAAACGGCTGCAGCCATTCCCCATAGACTCGCATGTAACAGCAAGGTATTCAGACACAGCGTAGTATTTACCTTTTTCTGTTCGCTGTTGGTCAGGTTCTGCTTCGTTTGCAGCGCCTCGATCGCGGGGATCCATTTGTCCTCCCACATGCGGTCAATGCGGAGCTTGACCCACTCCAGCTTGACCGCGTTGGCCTTGTTCAAGATGTTCATCAGGCCTTGCTTGTCCGTTCTGACCATTGCCTGATACATGCATTGGAAAGGTTTTTAAAATAAAATTTAAAAATGCCAAAAATTGAACCTAGAAATTTTTGTATCATACTTACAGAGTCTGAAACACAGTAACTAGACAATAAAATCAGAAGAACCGGGGTCAATTTACATGTATAAATTTGGGGCCCACTTTTTCCTGTCCCTGTTACATCTGACATCTATGATGTTGTAATTCTGATGCATTCCTTAATTCAGTCGTCCTCAAACAGTGATTATGAATAGCAAACTACCTATCCAACAAACAAAAACTATATGAAGTCATATTCTCAATGATACTAGAGTGACAAATTACGAAGTACCAAGGTACATGTAACAGGGACATGAAAAATGCTCAATTTGATAGAATGACTCAGTTACATGTCAGTCTGAGTATCACCCGTTATCCACGGAGCCAAGCCTCCTGTATAACGTCTGATATGACAAAGCATGCAGATTTTTGCGATCTCGCACCTCTGCCAATCGGAGTCAACTTTACTAAACTGTGACGTCATTTCATTCCCAAATCAGGGCTAAAACTGTGATCGAATGCAGTGTTTTGTAATGCAGTGTCGCGTAACATAATAATGACAACATCCTTCGTTGCTGTGTCTAGGTGTATTTTTTATCCATGTCTACGACGTAACAACGGTGAAAGACCGAAGACTCGATATAGAAAGCGCTCACTGACTGGTCAAATCTAGAGGTCAAGATGCAGTTGTCTTGCATAATTAATCAGCGTTGACTGGTTACATGTATGTATACCTATTCCAAAGGAAGACTTGCTAATTCTTAAGCAACTTTTTCTGATGCTAAAATCTGACGCAGAATTTCACACGAACAACATTTTTGAAAAAATAGCTCTTAGATGCAGTTTTGTCCTCACAAGTTAATCAGAAGTCATCCTGTCGCAAGTCAAGTCACGAGCTGTTGAAATTACCCGTGGCAAGGGGCATTCCTTTGTCATTCCTTATCGCCTGTTTCTTGTGACTCGACTCATAATTTGACTTGTGAGTGACATGTGATTCGACTTGTGATTGACTCTGCCACAGCTCTAAATTTACTGGCTCTGAAAATACAGAGAGGAGGGGGAGGGGAATAAAAGATGAGATGAAGCTTTAAAGTTTCAGGAAAGGAGAGTCGATTGTATGATGAAGGAAAACATCCTTCAGAGAAGCATACATGTATGTAGTTTAAGTAACAAATCATCACCACAGAAGGGAAGAGACCAACGTCCATGACTTTTATAGACTGTATGCATTCAGCCGCCATGTTTGAGGTGTGTTTTATTCATTTACTTCAGTAACAATTAATACACGAGAGGTCTATGCAACGCATGTCCCTGTTGACCAAAAGCCTGCACTTCAGAGATGCTGCAATGTAAACCATGTATTGAAAAGAAACTGCTCAAACTTTCTGAAAACAATTTAATCAATCGAACATTGCTTTTGTTTGATTGAAGCTTGCGTGAAGATTCAGCCTTCACATTTTTTGTTATTCTTTTCACTGTCAGGGCCACACAGTTGTCAAAAATCGGACGTTTAATCTCCAGAATTTCGCGTGTAAATGGAACTCCATATGAGATATTGAGCAGTCTATTGTCGACTAGATTGTTAATTTCACTTCATACAATTAAACAGCTGTGCCTCTAGATATCCATCACTTTATGATTCCGATGGCAAAAAAATAGAGACATGTGTTCAGGAAGTTGGCAGACAATTATAGACCTGTGTATGCAACTGCTTAGTTTCATTTCCCGGACAAATTTCCACGCATCCTATGCAAATAAAAAATCTGCAGCTTGCATCTTTGTATTTTTTTTTATATAAAAACAAATTCATATATTCATACATACATGTAGTACCGGTACATGCATATTTCTCTCAGAAAACCAATTTTAATGACGACAATATAATTCCCCAACAGGAGATAATTATGGAATATGTAATTTTCCAAATTAAAACAAACACACATGTACATACACACATGTTAACGTTACACACCAAGTGTGGGCATTAATTCCCTTGGTTTCATGTAGTTAAGAAAAACCAGTGAAAAAAACTCATTTTCTCAAACTATGAAAACTCTTTCAACTCAATTTTTTTTTCTATGATCCCCTTTAGTGTTTCTCTTCATTTTGCCACTGATAAACCTAACCCAAAAATGCCTCTAGACCTGTTTCCCAGAAATGGGGAAACACTGTGTGGACTTGCACACAACATCGCCTCTACCTGGTTTATGTGGACCTCTTTTGTTCGGAAGTCCACACAGTGAATGTACATGTCATGCTACCCACACGAACAGCCCTGAAGGTGTACATGTAGTAAACCAAAAGCTTGGCTATATCATGGTGAGAACTGGCATCTTTATTTGTCAATACTTTTCATATTTTATCATCTACATTGTACCAGTGCTACATGTACATATGACATGTATGAAGCATCTTCACTTTACATGTACGTTCGTACACATGTACATGTATGTATACATAAAAACTTTTTATGAAATGGGAATTCTAAAGGATTTATACCAATGCAGATCTATATGGAAGTCCAATGACTGTTCATCATCAGACATGAAATTTGACACAAAAACTGTCCCCATGGTCACATGCCAAGTGCAAAATTCCTTTGCACTAAAAAATGCATAAAAGTACATTAATATTTAATATCAATGTGCATTTCCATTTCTTCGCAAAAAAAAAATTGGTAAACGCTTGGAAAATGTCTAACTGTAATTTTGTTTTATCTGGTGAATGAAACATCTTTAATGAGCCGTACTAAAAGTTCTGTACGTATTGCTCACAATGCTGAACCTTTTCAACGTTCAATTACTCAATCGGGTGTTCATGAAATATGATTCCTCCATGTAATATATGCCTCACAGCAAGTGCCGTCAAACCAATGCACACCACTATAATATAATTTGGGATTTGCTGCGCAATATGGGCACCATTAAATGTTAATGAAGAGTCCAATAGAATGGTTGAACGAAGCATTCGTGCATGAAAAAAGCATGGATTTTCCCGAAGTTATGTAGGCAGACTGAAGGCTTTAATACTATGTTGAAGTAAAGAATAGAAGCGTGATCATTGGCACGACACTGTGCACTCAGCCTGGGGTGTATTTTGACAAAGCTGAGGGGAACGGTACTGGGTGGGTAGAGGAGAGAAACACAAACAAACACATCCTACATTCCGAGGAAAAAGGAAAGCGTGCCGAAACAGGCCGCCTGTCAGGATTATATGCGTATGTAGGGCAGGAAAAACAATATAAAGGGGAATTTGCAAGAGGGGAAATGCACCATTAAATAAGGGATTGAGAGGCTTTAGCCCACCCCCCCCCTTAAAATAATCACATCTCCCCCCCCCCCCAAGAACATTTATCTTCGTGTACATGTAGACCCTGAGAATATAAAAATAAATTGTGAGCAAACTTTTTTTGTAGATGCTTCATTTTCATTTCAAAGTTTCTTAGCTTAAAATTACAATTTTCAAACTTTTCTCAATATTTTTTAACTTTTCTCAATAGATTTCCCAATCATCACAAATTTCTCAGAATTTTGCCTTTTTTTGAAAATCATTTCCTAATAAGCTTGATAATTTCTACATAGCAACAAGACAAATGCTACTTTTCAGGAGTTCCTTGAATGCTACTTTTAAGACTGCCTTGGACTGAAAACATGTTTGCCCACCTCAGCTTCCACAATTTTTTCTCAAATGAACTCCCCACATGTAAAGCTGATCTTGATTTATTTCTACTTAAAATCTAAATCCAATCCGAAGCAAATATACATAGAATTGATTGAAGTCCTAACGATTTCCCCATACTCCCACAAGACTTTTAATATTGCTTCTTATGCCTGACAAAAGCTTGACAAGTTGGAGCATCTGCTTTCTGTTACGGGTAATCTTGACAGATGCTTTGGACAGGATTTCCTAACTAATTTCCCTGACCATACACTTACGTAGAGCAAAGCTAAGAGTTATTTCAAAATCAAGACAAGTACATGTACATTAACAGCCAAACTTACATCAGGCTTTGTGTTAGGGTTAAGCAATGACCTGGTTTAGGGTATGGCTTCCAAATGCCCATTAAGGTTGCAGTTGACGTCATTGTTGCATTTAGTGGCTAAACACCAATCCAAAAGAGATGAGCAGCCATCGATACATCTCTCTTGAAATTGTGGCTGTTTGATTCTGTGTTGAATTTCTTTATGGCAATCAGCCAAGGAACCTGGCTGATTGAACTGGGTCAGTGTGTAGTGGTTCCTTAATTAATCACATATCACAACAAATGCATTGGAAACCTTGGAGAATAAATATTTCATCTTTGGAAATAAAAGTACATTTTTCGAAAATATGATTTCTCATTTTGACAATTCAAAATGATAAGTGGAGTATGCAATCTGAAAAGTTTGCAATTCTTCCAACAACAAAAAGAAGAAGTTGGAGATGTACATTTTATTTTGAGTTTTGCCCTTCGCCAACATATTTTTTGGGGATAAACAGTGTGTACTCGGTGTTGTCCAAGGAATTGCAAAAAAAAAACTTGACAAGCTTAATACTCGGGTGAGACTTGAACCCACAGCCTCCTGCTTAATCTTCCCTACACACCTTGGGTCTGGTAGACTTGGTCAGGAGTTGCTTGGGTGATTGCGGCCTCCATTGAAGCATCGGACACCACGACTCAACCTCACTGAGGTATATGAGGAATGAACACTCGCTGCCATCCACCCCGTACCTGCCATAGCACGGGTCAGACGACCACATCTCTCTCATCCACTGAAGGGGTGGGGAGGGTAGGGTAGGGTAGGGTGGGGGAAACAAAAACAGCTCAAGTTATGACACCCACAAAGGACACCAGTAATTACGGTCACTGATTTGCATGTGTATGTAAATGATACAGCAAGCATTGTTGTAGTAATCATACTTCATACTCATACTCGCGCTCATATCAAATTACATTTTTCATACTCTTACTGCTACTTGAACAAGTGTACTCACACTTGTAGACAAATATTTCCTGTACTCATACTGATGCTCTACTCCTAGGCTTACTCGGACTCTTATGGTAAAGTGCATAAGTACAGGGCCCAGGGTGCTTTTGAGGAATCCTTGGTTTCATTACCAGAAATAAGTCATAATAAATTGTATTACACATGTACTTGACTATAAAGTCCGGTGAGTGATTTCTACATGTGATGGAAACATGACTGCAGGTGTATCTACATTCATAAGGTGTGCAGACTTTTCAATTTTTCTTTTAAATTTGGATCTTTTTACTTCTTTTGGAGGTGTTTTTTTTTTAAGAACACAGCTTCTAAATGGGTGTCCCTTCATATTCCGAATTCCAGTTTGTGTGATAAGCCAGAGGATTTCAATGTATTGGATGTCTCTGTTTCAGTTATACACCCAAGTTACATTTTCTAGTCTAGAAAAATGAATGAACAAATGCTACGAGGAAATTACAGTTAGATGCTCAGTACCATAATTGAACTTGTTGAAATGTGCTAAATGACAAACGTGACAAATGGCAAACAGGTGTGAACATCCGACAATGAATATCAAACAGTTTCAATAAAAAAAATTCATACATAATTGGACATTAATAAATGTAAATTTCTTTGACTTTGTGCATCATGTTGTACATGTGGGTTACTTCCTGTATTTTCAACTTACAGCAACTTTCCTGTCACAATCTGGGTAACCTCGCAATTCGTCCCGAGAATACGAGCACTTCATTTCTGGTTGCATAATTAAATCTGCCAACGAAAGAATTTAAAGTTTACAGAAATGCACATTTTGGATGTAATAATGTACTCAAGGGCAATTCCACGGTTACTCACGTTACATTTTTGATGTACTTTTGAGATTCTTTGGGCTGTAATTAACATACTGAAAAGGTTTAATAACTGTTATCCCAATGGTAGATAGAGTAGACCTAGACCTACTTAAGCACCAAAGATGACATATAGAAAATGTGTTATGTACGATAAACAAGACATACAAAATCGGTTACTTACGTTACGAAAATGTAACTCTATCTACCATGGGGATAACAGTTATTAAACCTTTTCAGTAAGGTAATTACAGCCCAAGGAAACTCAAAAGTGCATCAAAAATGTAACGTGAGTAACCATGGAATTGCCCTCAAGCATGGAAACAAAACGACTGAAACTTATTTGTTAAAAGAAGGTGTACCTATTACCATGGATACCCAAACCACAAAAACAAAAACGGATTTGAGACATTTGAGACAACTTTAGAAAATATTCATTTTTAGTGTACATTGATGAATTTTTAACTAAATGGAATTTCCAAGGGCGACATTAAGGCTACTCTCATCCAACAAACATGTACATTAGTATTACACTAAAATTAAATGTTTGTGCATGGTTATTTTTAATAAATATGGCAAAAGTAGAAGCCACAAAGGATAATTGCATTTGGGCACTCACATTACATTTATAATTTTATATACCATGAGGCTACTTTGGCCACTCATTGCTTTAATAGTATGTAATTAAATGTAAGCTGAATCAAACCAGCCGTGCAACAACCTTGGAGTAAGGGGTACTCAAAAATGATAGAAAAATTCAACCTACAGATGGGGGCAATCACTTTTTGAAAACATGTTTTGTTAGTCGTCACTCACGTCACCAAAAAAAAGACATGGACAATTTGTTAGCAATTTTGTTGTTAAAATCCCCACAAACTGTAGTCTGCAACACAGAAGTTACACTGTCTTACTCAAAGATCTGTTATGAATCAAATCAGTGTGTACATGAAATGCAAGGGACATAAGATTACAGGGAGGTACCGTCACTCACGTTACGTCACTCACATTACTTCCTCTTCATCGTCATGATTTTAAACACAGCAGAAAATCTGAATTTGATGAACTTCAACTTTAAACTCTTTTCTCGTAACATACGAACCTTTCCCTCTGCCTTAAAACAAAAACTCACAATAAAACTTGCATTTTGCATGTAAAAACAAGATACCAAAATGATTACCTAAAATCCTTAATTTTATCCCAACAAATGGTTGACCATATTCCATCTTACTACCACATCACTTAAATGAAAGATCTGGTTTCTCCTTTTAATATAATACCGCATTGGAGATTGTGGAGCTTGTAGTTTGAAACAATTCATACATTTTCCACTTTTCAGCCTTGTCCACTTTTGCGAAGAATTGCCCATTTCACTTTTCTTTTGTTCCTTTCTTTTTCAGCTCCATAAAATTGGTCCAGGACGAAGTATCTACACGTGAATCTTGCCTTTTACTCAAGAACACACTGTGCAGTGTAGGTATGACCAGCTCCATGGTGTTACTAGGTGCCCTGTGCGACCCGTTTTACCGGTAAGTCGTCTAGATTGTCAGTTCACCATTTATTATCCCCAGACCCAGAAGAGCTGGAAGTAATTTTCCGTCATAAATTCACGTCTTTTATGCCAGTGCTTCAGACGGAATTCTTCACAAGGTATTGTTTTTTTCTGAGTGATGATCTCATGCTGAGCAAGCTTTTCCTTAATAATTCAGAAGATTGATGTTTCGGATGATTGCAGATGATCCTAAGGGCTTTTAGACGCACATGGATAATCCTAGTACGTACTTTAGAAGTTCTTATGAATAATGCATTCGCTGTTTCAGGTAATCTGAATCTGAAGTGATCCTGTGCGACTCAACAAAATAAATCACAGCTCCCAACACCCCCCCCCCATTTTTTATTACAAAGTCTCTTTGATTTAGTGACTACGAAACAGGGTTGAGTTCAGTCTATCACAAGTAAATCACAAGCCAATTCACAAGGCCAGTCATAAGTAACAGCGGATGGACAATAACAAAGGAATGCCTTTGTCAAAGCTCATTTGAATAGCTTGTGATCTGAAGTGGGACTGGAGGACTTGTAACTTGCATGGACTTGTGATAGACTCGACTACATCACTGTTAATAAAACATTAAAAAGATGAACATTTATACTTCTTGGTTGGTTCTTCTCCTAAATACTCCACGTGGGAGTTTATACAGGAGGCCAGAAACACCGGGGCAAACCCCTTCTCTTAGCGATAAGTATTTACTGGGTTCTTTTACGTGCATTTATACAACACATGGGACCTACGGCTTAACGTCCCATCCAAAGGACGAAGCAATAATGGTTAAGTGCCTTGCTTAAGAGCACAAGTGTCCGCCGGCGGGCTCGAACCCACGTCACTGTTGCCTCTGAAACACCAGAACATGAGTCCGGTGTTCTTAACCGCTAGGCCATGACACTCCACTATACATTTGTACCCCAGCCACAAAAATATGAAACGACATGTATTACTGAGGTGTCACTTGTCCTGTGCAGGTGTCACACCCATTCTTAAATTTGAGGCAAAGTGCACCTATGCAGGTGTACATTGTGCAAACACCCCATTGGTCAAAGGAGCACTGTTGATACATTGTACATGTGACCTGCATACTGGTATGGTACAGTGAACATCTGTACCACCCCTGTATGGCTTGTACTCGTGGTCAGAGGATTAATCAATAGCTTTTCTGACAGACAATACTGTTAGATACAGACATCTGCACCACGACCCACGGACCGAAAAGACGTCTATAGTTGGAGCAATAATCGAGTCCTGCTACATGTATATATGCCAGAGCTGTATGCAGTAGGCCTACATGTATGCCAACATGTATGCTTCCTCCACCATACACAGTTTAAAGGCACGGCAACCCGTGGTCCGATTTTTAGGTTTTTGGTATCAAAAGATTTGCAAGGCTCGAGGCTAGAAAGTCGTAACAGCTCGGGTATTACTTAACATTTTCCATTGGGCTCTAGGGTTAAAGATGGTTTTAGGGTTAAAGATGCATTCCCCATGCTAATTCAAATTTCACCCCTGAAAAAATACATTTTTTTAAAAACTTTTTTCAACATTTATTACTGTTTTTCTGGCAATATATAAGTTATTCACTTTAAAAATATCGTTTATGTTTAGTTATTGAATTATTTCTTTACAAAATATTTTTTTTTTTTTTTTTTGGTGGGCTGACAATAATTCAGCTCTCACGAAATGTAAGCCGTTTATTGCAGATGCCCAAAATAATAATGAAGTTTGTTTGTTTTTTGTTTGTTTTTTGTTAAAATTAAACGCATAAATTGAAAATGTTTTAGGAGAAAAGAATTCTGTGCTAAATAAGAGCAAGGGGTACGCAACTCTAAAGAGAGTTAGAATTACGATATCACACATTACAAAAAATCTCAAAGTTAGTAAAACCATCGTCAAACCATTGTTAAAAAAACACAGGAAAAGAAAAAGTGCGAGAGAACTGAAGTATTTATGAACTGAACAAGGAAATGAGTCACATTCAGACCATGAATAAATTTGCAATTCATTCATGAATAAACGAACGGGCAATTCACAGTCATTTTTCTTGAAACCTTTAACAGGACACTCTGTGATGAAACACCCCCAAAAAATATCCACAATCTGCATAGACTTATTTCTCTTGATCAGTTACCATAGTTACATGTGAACAAATCCACCTCAATCAACAAGGCAATCATATCTTTTTAACAACTTTTTTTTGGTTTTTTTGGTTTTTTTGGTTACATGTACACCATAAACTTACATGAGGTACAATTAGAAGGGCACATTCCGGTTTAGCATCAGAAATGTGGAATGTACATGTATGAAAGGAAGAAAAACATTCAAATACACAATAATGTACATAATAATTATGAAAGCACTGGCCAAATGTTATCAATTTATAATACCATAGGAATATCTCTGTATGGTGACTCCACAGAAACATCAAAAATAAATGAGAGCGCTTTTTAATATATATTCATCAGTAGGATCGGATGGCAAATTAACAAATATTTACATTGAAGTTATTAATTTTTAAAGGTTTTGCCCGCCGCATCATAAATTCATAGGCACTGTAGGCTGCTTTCAAAGGATTGGAAGATAATTGGAACAACAAAATTGAACAAAGAAACTGACTGGAGCGGGGTTTGAACCTGCGACCTCTAGATTACTGGGGAGCACCGGAACGGCAATCCAGAGGTCACGGGTCCCAGCACTACTCCAGTCAATTTCTTTGTTAAATAAACTTTAGAATTATTTTGAACTTTTTTTTTTTTTCAAATCCCCTGACTGAAAAACATTCGTCACTGATTGAAGTACACATGTACATCTGAGATATTGGGTTCCATTGAAATATTCTCCAGAAAGTGCAGAGGTTGGTGGCTATGAATACCAGCAATGTTAAGGGAGTGGCTCAAAATGTTTGGAACATTCCACTGGGACTACCAGCTGTGCCTTGGCAATGCTCACTGTCCCCACTCCACATATGTTTCCAGCTCGTCTTTACATGCTACAAATAATTTTCCCACACCCGAGTGGGACCAGCTCACCAAAATATTATTTGGGGTGTGGGGAATTTAAAATGGCGAATTTAGACAAAGTTTAGGGTTAGGGCTTTTCTGTGACAGTGGGGAAGTTGAAAATATAATTATTTTTTTCCATCTTGCTGAAATCTTCTTTGCAGACTCTGATGTAACCTATGTGGGAATGAATGTTGCATCCTAACGGCACTGTTTTCATCATGTGAAGGTCAGTCATTGCAAAAATTCTCAGGAAAATAACCTGTTAAACCACACCCCTATTTCAACTTGGAGTCTAACTTCACAAAGAAACAAAACGCATGTCACCAAAGATCATACGTTAAGAAAACAAATATTCGTACCTTTAGCCAATAACGGTCTGTCATCTTCATCAACTTCGTCATAGTCGGAGAGACCTTTCCTTTTCCCTTTATTCTTTTTATTGGTGTAAATGCTGTCTTGTGGATCCTCAGACTCATTCTTGGCCAAGTGTCTCTGCTCGGCCGCAGCGAGGCCGGTCAAGTTGCGGAAAATCTGACTCCCGTTAGTGTAAATTATTTCGACTTTTTGCTCGACGTTGCCGAGCCGCTGGAGAATGTTCTCCAGAAGGACGGCCAGAGTTCGCTTCAGGTCTGTGTGAAGGAAATGTTAGGAAATGTGGGTTGATTTTTGTTGGCACGTATACTGGAACACAGTACAAACAACATACAACAACTGCACAAAGGGAGCGAGCAGAATAATGTTACATGTTACATAGCAAGAAAGTGCAAGACCATTTGCATCTCTGATATTACAAATGAATCCTGCTCATGTACATATTATACATGATGTATGCATAGGCACATACATGTACCGGGATACAGCGTACAATGTTTTTTTTAATCCTGACAACATATCAGTTGGACTAACACATGAATGTCTACATGCCGGGTACATGTTTTCCCTCAGTAGAATACCATACCCGTACATGTATATCGGTACATGTATTTTACAGTCACATACATGTACTGTATCATGTAAAGCTTCCAAACAAAATATTTTAACTGTACAAAACAGTCAGGTAGTACTCATATTTACACAAATGTAGTTAACTTACATATAGTCCTGATGCTTACAACACATGATGTATTGAAATCCACTTAAAGAAGTATCCCCATGGGTCCCAGTGAGTACGAAATAACATTTTTCATGGAATATGACCAATAGGAAGTTACTCCACACCAAATGTGTTTTTCATAGATCTTCATATCGTTTGAAAGTTAAACAGCAATATTAACACGATCAATATGCCCCTATGTATCAAAAGATCAATACATGTATGAGCTGGTACCGGTACATGTACTGTTCATTTGTGGGAATAAGCCAAAGGCAAATGTACATCGTATGTGCATTCGTGTTGGGAAATATATTTTATAATCTTTTCAATAAAAAAAAACACCTTATAAATATATATACATTTAGCCAAAGGCAAATGTACACCGTATGTGCATTCGTGTTGGGAAATATATTTTATAATCTTTTCAATAAATAAAAAAAACACCTTATAATTATACATTGTATATACATTTATGGCAAGATGTTTTTTGAAGAGGGTTTTTCCTTCTTTTTACGTGACTGTGAGACACAACTGACTATCTGCATACCGGTACATGTTTGTTAAGTTATTGTGACTTTTTTTCTCTTCTAAATTGAAAAAAAAACAAAAAAAACGAACAAATGATCAATTTTAAACAGTGACATCATTGTGGCCTCTTTGTCTGTTGCATCTAGCCCATATAAAGCTGGTATGTCATTTCCTGAGTCCAAGTGCCAGCCATTTAAAAAAAAAGACGTTTTGGAAAATGGGTCGGGCGGCCATCGCGGAAAAAAAGGGCCTCCTCCTTCCTTTTTCTCAAAAAGGCAGGACGCTTAACATGTTTTTTATTTGAACTAAACTGCAGATCATTAATATTCAGTCAATAAAAATTGAGAGGGTGAGGCAAGAGCATAGTTCATGCTGAGATGACAATGAATCCAATGATAATGAATCATTTAGCACATGTGGATATTTCTGGCCCTGTTTAATTTATGTATGGTACCGGTACATGTAGCACCAACATGTACGCAGGAGAAAAAAATCCTCCGGACCAACTCACAACATGTACCGTACAATACCGGTGCATGAATATTGCACACATGAGAGCACTATAAATAAACTAGCCCGGGAATTTATAAGAAATGGCCGATTTTTTTTCCCCTGTATTCAAATGGACTGAATTTGTATTGTGAATTGACAGAATTGTGAATTGACAGTTACACAAGTTTACAGAAATCTAAACTAATGTACAGAATACATGTACCATTACGTTTTGTCTATTCCAAACACACTGTGATGTAATATCGGTAAATAAAGCTTCATAAATTATTTTTTTTAAAATTAGGGGAAAATTGTTTCATTCATCTTCAATTGACACAATGAACATCGAAGAGTTTTGCACTTTAAACATATTAAGTTGTTCTTGTTCAGTTTGGCTGAAATTTAAATTTTACAACCATCATGAAACGAAAATCAGAATTCAAACATTGCTCGCACATTCGCATGCATTCATGTGTACACACAACACAATTTACTTGCAATGGTATGCACAGCACATACATGTACTTCAACACTAGCACGTACATGTACGATATATTTTGCACCAGTTGTCTGAACCAATTTGGAAAACATCCAATGGAGTGGACACATTCATGACCAACCAATCATGTTGTCCAGTCCATAGCAGTGAAACAATTCATTTGAGCCAATGAAGTGCCAACCCTCACCCCCTGGGCTATTTTGACTGACGACAATCTCAAATTAAATCCGCCCAAAACTCAATCCACTTCAGTAAACTCCATGGCACATTCCTACGATTTGCACTAAATCGGCACACCAATCCGTTAGTAACCTGATGTTGGCTCCGTCGTGACACTCCAGTATTTTTATCCATCAAATATGCCGCAATATGTGAGAAATTGGCTTTCCGTGGATGTGGGCAATAAAGGGTGATGCTTTTACTGATCGCAACATTATCATCATGACAATGCAGGGTATATGTCATTTGTCTGAAGGAGGCAATTTATTTAATTCAAGGTTAACTGTATTGTCCTCCAAATATATGCCCTTCGCTTATTACCGGTATAAGCAATTTTACACTTGTCTACAGCCTCATTCATGTGTACACGGACATAATTTAGGGTCCAAAGAGTGACATTTTTCCTGTCCCTGCTACCTTGGAAACTTTGCAGTTTTCCATTCAAGTATCATTAAGAATTGTTTCAAATGATTTTATATTTGTGTGGTAGGTACATGTAGTGTGCTACTCATAATCACTCTTGGAGGACGACTGCATTAAGGAGTGCATCAGAATTATAAAATCATATTCAAAAGGGGAAAAAAGTGGACTTCAAATTAATAGAATGACCCAAGGACAAAATGAAAGACGTTTGGCAATGTTGACAAACGGATGTTGACTTTTTCCCATGATGCATTGCAGGTAAACATGGTAAAACAGGATTCACACCCTCAGTGGCATATTGCGCATGCTATCGGCAGTGTTGTAGCCATGGTAGCTGAGTCCATCACAAAGTCTTCGCAAGTTGTCAAAAGTCAATCACACGTCATCCTGTACCAAGTCAACTCACAAACTATTCAAATGAGCTTCGACAAAGGCATTCCTTTGTTATTGTTCATCCATGTTACATATGACTGACTTGTGATTTGACTCATGATTTACTTGTGACAGACTTTTGATTTACCGGTAGATGGACTTGTGATGGACTCAAGTACAACACAAGTTATTGATTAGCTCTGTACTCACCATACACAACTCCTGAGCTCTGCGCGTTCAGACCATCCTTCTCCTCATTGGCTAAAGCCTTGACGTAAAGTTCGCTATCTTCAAGAATTCTCTGGCGTAACCGATCGCTCTCCCGTACGCCGGGCTGTGCCCGGTACATAGCGTAGTTCATGAACGCATACACCCACGTCAGCATCAGAAACAGTAGGAAAATGCCGATTCGGCTCGACGTGATCACGCGACAGCTCTTACGGCCGAACATGGTGGCTGTCGTTCAGACTACATAAATGCAGACGATGCGGCCAATTCTCTGGGTATCATTCAGTCATGACGTGAGTTCACAGTTTTGTCATACACCTCAGCTTCAGCAGTTGTGGCTAACGAGTTTTCGCTCCCTTCGCGGTGCTTGCCTCATACCTTTTGTGCTACAGTATACTGTAATGATCCTGTGTTGGAGGAAAATGAAGACATATTACATTTGTGTTCAGGTGCACAAGTTATTAATGAAGGTGATGGATGACAAGATAAATTGATGGAGTTTTTCAGCCTGCGATGTACATGTACCAGTATCAATGACCTACGCGGTATTTGGAGCGGTGAAATTTGACACAAAAACAGCTCAGACAAAAATGAACTTGCGCAACCAATTTAAAGCTGCTACATGCACTGGTGTACAATGCCCCAAATGGAAATCTTGTGTAAGGAATTCAGTATTTACTGCACTTGGATTTACCAACCCTAATGGCGACTGGAAGCTTGTCATCTTTTCCAGTGGTCACGTCAAGGTTTTTTTAAGAACTTTGGCAAGAAGAAATACCGGTACAACACCTCAACAGGACCATACATGTACGAAGTCTGGCATATCACTGACATTAGCTGTTTATGTACAATATGGATAAGAAATTCTAAATAATTCCAACAACCTTCTTGAGTACATGTGAAATTCTTCATGCGTAAGAGCCAACTTCCTACAATAAGTCATTTCACGTACACGTGCATTAAAAAACATGACTGCCAACCCAAATATTTATGACTGAGAGTCACTAGAGACCATTGCACGCATACAGGTAATTAACGAGTACACATCTCTCGTACGAGTTTGCAAATCTGGACAAATTCTCAGCGGATCATAAATTATTTGGAATAGCTTGCCACAGTCAGCGGTAACTGGGGACTCAGTTAAAAGCTTTAAAGGAAACCTCTACTTATTTTTTTTAGCATTACATAAATTTTAATAACACTGGGTCTTCTGAGAGAATGCAAACATGCACAAAAGTTTATATACTGTACACAAACAAATGGTACACATGCAAATGGTACACGTATACATTACATGTACATTTACAATCATGGCAAATATGCACGGGTAATTTTCTTTTTTATTTGGACTGTTTCTTCTTAATTGCAATTACAGGCATTCAACCTTCATTTTCAAATTTTCCATCAAAAGTGCTGATGAACTGTACTAAAACCATTTCATTTTTAGTATCTACATGTACTTTGTTCTTTCAAGGACCCATTGAAAATTAAAACAATTAAGGGGACACTGGGTCCTGGAACAGCCCAACTGGGCTACAAAACGCGCTTTGAACGAGATGATGTTAATCGGAAATAACATTTAAAAGTAGGATATAAACATCCACACAACTATCCTTTAAAAACTGAGCATTTTTGTGTTATTCCTGTATTCAGGGAACGTGAACGAATTTCGGGGTCCACTTTTGCGACCCCATAAATTCGAGCTGTTTGGATGCTAGTTGTGATTTCATTCGTAAAGTGTTCGCCTTTTGCGGACGTTGAAGAAATCACGTTGAAGAAATCACCCTAAGCTAATGTTGTTCCTAACCAAGTGCCGTCTTTATTCATCATTTGTCATGTGACGTCATCTTAAAGGTGCATAATTTAAATTTCTATTTTGAGAGTTCTAGCTCACTAGACAGTATATTACTTGTGTGAACACGACTTGGAACCAGCGTGTTTGTCACACTTGGTTTGTCACATGTACAGTGTAAGTTCCATTCCACTTGGCTTCGCCTCATGGAATGAAACATTCGTCTGTCACCTCATGAAATTATTCTTAAATTGCACTCACAAATATTCATATTCTTTTTACTAACTTAAAAAAAAACCTGTCTTTTATGCAGATTACATGTAGGCTCTATAAAACAAATAGCCTAACTCCTATATTATCCCTGCCCGCATCATTTTACTACTTTATTTTTCCTGCCGGCATCGGTTTTGCTGGCCGCTGACACAAAATTTGATTGTTTATTTTTAAAAGAACTTGTGAAAAGACAGTGTCATCGGTTGGCACGCTGCTCACGTCGCGTTGTCTTGTGTGAGCGTAAAATAAAAACCTCGAAATAACACGAAGACTCAGAAATCTTCATTTCTACATCGCTCCAAACGTACATCGTTGCCAAACCTCAAAAAAACATGTGTGCATCAATCAGTCATCTATGGATATTTAGGTGATGGGATACAAGTGCACTGAAAGCACTGCAAGCACGAACACGCACATGTACAATCGAGTAACGATGAGAATGTGGCCATGCGTGATGTATGAGTATGTGTATTCTCTTCTCTAACGTTTAGTTCGAAGCCGGGTTTGCATAGTTAATTAATTAATAGTGAATATCTATCTAGCTTTAATAAAAGGCAAGATCTTTTGAAAAATTTCTGTACTGGATCACCACTTTTTTCAACTAATTTTCAAGCGCCAAAAGTTGCATCTTTTATGGTTATTTCCTCCACTTTCCCTCCTCTACTCTCACCCGCTCCTTTCCTTAAATTTCTTTTATTAATCAGTCACTTACTTCATCGAGATTCGAACCTCGGATGCTTGCTTGAAACACGAGACTTTTAACCGCTAGGCTGCGCACGATCACTGTTGCAATGATCAATCTGTGTTTGAAGTATCCATTGAAATAAACTAAATATTCATGAGAAAATAAATATTCATAATAATGTATTGCACTATCATTGGCCGGCTCATGCGTTGTCATGGTTGTCGATGTCATGCGTATAACGTACCGCTGTCTTCCAGACACTTCAATCAGTTTTGACCGGCTGCTTCAACTTAGTTCTGCACGAAGTGTGCATCCAAAATGTGCTCTAAAAACACATTTTTCCTAATTTTTTTTCCGCATTTACAGAGCTTCCTGGATTCCTCTTGGGTGAAATCACAAGGTGAGGTGAAAATTGATGTGTTTGGCGGCAGGTAAGTTGGTGAGCCGGTAGGGAATTTTTTCCTTTTTCAGCGGCGATTACGTAATCCAAGTTGGTAATAAAAAGGCCTACTCGATGTATCGGAATGCGCTTGGGACCCGTTTAATGTTTCTGTACTTTATTTTATTTTAGTTCATTTCGTTTTACCAGGGTAGCCCCATCAGTTTTCTGAGATTCTGAGATCATGATCACGTACATGACATAAATTGGACAATCATGTATTTACGGGCCCGGTCCCCTATACTATAGAGAACAAAATCCACTTTTAATTTATTTTACTTACCAAATTAGTTGGCAACATTTAAGAACATATAGGTACCAGTATGACTTCGAGTACGAGGCCTAGAGGGCAGCATTTTGAATTTTAGAGGGAAATTCGGGGATAAAATGACAATGAAAATGCCCAAACGCAACATGAAAATAAAGGTGGCGATCACCGCATTCTACCACGAATGTGCAACATGCACAAGGCACGCTGAATCACACAGCACCAACCATAATTAGGCCTAGGCATAAACATAACGCTAGCGCTAGGATCATCCTAGCTAGGCCTAACCCCCTCATCCGGCCGCGTGTACAAATTGTAATTTTTACCCGAAGATGCAAGAAACTGTTCAAAACTTCAAAGAAGGTGTCATTAGAATTTAGAGAAGTCTGCTTAAGGTTAAAATAGTCGTTTTTGAATGATAAAAATACACCCTTGCCGCTGATTCGATTGAAACTAAAGGCGGGCCCGTTACTACACGATCGCCACGTCTTTTTGTACACAGTGCCACTGCACTGCACATGCCATGGGGCCAGTGATTACAATCACCGGTCAGGGTTAAGTAGGCTAGACTTTAAGTTCTCCCACAAAATATGTGAAATTCATGAGAATTCATGAGAATCTGCTCTTTTTATCACTTGTATATTGCAGTATTTCTGTTTGTAAAGCAATTGCCTACGCTATAATGTTACGATCAGAGATAATAACTTACCATTTCTTACTTGGCCAATTGATTGTTTGCAAACTACAGCCTACATCACTAGATCTGCTGCCGTATTATGATCAAATTAATCAGCTGCAGCAGGCCGCGCGGTGGCGCCCTTCGAAACAAACCGGAATGATAAAATGTACGGCAGTGCTCTTACATATTGTTTCTTGTTTTTGTTGTATTAATTTTTGGCTTCAACGGTTTCTGTCGAATTTCAAATATATTGTCACGTAAATCACAGTCAATTATGAGACGCAATTTGAAGTCAGTGCAATGTGTTTTTCTGGAGTTATCGTCTCCACAAAGAGTGCTTATGAAAAAAGTGTTCCATTAAAAGTGACTGGAATTTGAATTGAACTTTTCGCGATTAGTACACTGTATTTCCTTACATCATATTAAATATATTCTTGAATGGTTCTCGTCGATTTTCGTTCCATTTGTGTCCAATATCCCAAACAATTATTAAACGAAATTTCAATTCAGTGTACTGTGTTGTTCTTGAGTTATCGTCTCCACAAAGAGTGCTTTTTTTTGTTCCAATGAAAAGTGACTCGAATTCGAATCAAATTTTTCGCGATAAGTACACTTTATTTCCTTAAATCATATTAAATTTATTCTTCAATGGTTCCCGTCGATTTTCCAAATATTTGTGTCCCATATCCCAAACAATTACTGAACGAAATTTCAATTCAGTGCACTGTTTTGTTCTTGAGTTATCGCCTGCACAAAGAGTGCTTTATTTTTGTTCCATTAAAAGTGACTCGAATTTGAATTGAATTTTTCGCGATTTAGTACACTTTATTTCCTTAATTCATATTAAATTTATTCTTGAATGGTTCCCGTCGATTTTCTAACCATTTGTGTACCATATCCCAAACAATTATTGAACGAAATTTCAATTCAGTGCACTGTGTTGTTCTTGAGTTATCGTCTCCACAAAGTCCATCACTTGATGCCAACTTCGTTAGGGCAGATCGTATCCACGCAACTTCTGTCAACGTGGATAACTCTATGTATCCACGTTGACAGAAGTTTTTGCGGTGTAACACGACAGCCGCGCGGTGGCGCCCTGTAGACAACCCGAAACTTTAAAGACATGAAAGATGGCAGCCTCCGCGGACTCACGTGCGGAATCCAAATCCACGTTATTTGTGAGAAATTTGCCGTTCACGACAACTAAGGAGCAGTTGGAGGAAGTGTTTAGTGAAGTTGGACCCGTCAAGAAGAGTTTTGTTGTCACAGAGAAAGGTACTGTAGCCATGGAGCTGTAGCATCTTTCGAGTGTTATGCAGAATTTTGGCAATGTTTGTTTTACTTCTTTGGACAATGTTGGATGGAGGAAAAAAGTTTGCGAATAGCGCCCTCACAGTCGGTCCTACTAAAGCGCGTCAACAAGCGTCAACAAGCGTCAACAAGCGTCAACAAGTTTTAGTAGTCGTTAAGTGCGCGTCAACAAATTTGTATAGGCCTTTGAACAATAAAAACAGCTTTATATGGTAGAAAAAGCAATAATGAACATCTTCTGCATATCAATTAAAGTTAAAATTATTTTAAAACTTGGTTTTTTGAACGCGAAATGTACGACGAATTTGTCGATAAAAGGTGGCCGCCATCTTGTTTATGTGTAGCTAGCCGTACTAGCATGCGTGAAGTGTAAAGAGCCATACTACGCATGCGCGAAGTCTACAGCTAGCGCCATCCAAACAAGATGGCGGCCTACTTTTATCGACAAATTCGGCGTACATTTCGCGTTCAAAAAACCAAGTTTTAAAATAATTTTAACTTTAATTGATATGCAGAAGATGTTCATTATTGCTTTTTCTACCATATAAAGCTGTTTTTATTGTTCAAAGGCCTATACAAAATTTGTTGACGCGCACTTAATGATGACTAAAACTTGTTGACGCTTGTTGACGCGCTTTAGTAGGACCCCTCACAGTGAGTCACTGTTGACGAACGATATTTTGCTTCAAAACGACTAGTAATCAGTTTTTAATTAGCTATCCTAAAGTAATAGTAATACTATAGTAAGTAGAGTCAAAATATTAAACATGTTCTAGGTCAGGCTGTATACATGATATACATGATTACATGATATATTTTTAAACTTAAAGTGAAATACAACATGTACAAGCATGACAATAACAAATAAGCTTTTGAGGTGAGAATTTTTTTTTAAAGGATGCGGCTTCAAAAAAGCATGCAGGCGGGGACGACCAACTGGGTTTTTTTGTTACTTGGCCTTAAAGTTAAACCTTACATGAACTTCAGTATTCGTTTTTGGCCTAGTACTACTAGTAGTCCGAGTAACTAGGACTCTACGAATCGCTTTTTTTCCAAATGTTAAAAAAGGTAATTCGTAGAGTCCTAGTTACTCGGAGTAATACTATAGTGGCTAATGTGATATAAATTCTCAATAGTGTTTTTTTCAGGTAATTTTGCAACGATAGCAGCTGAAAATATTGTTACGGCTGCTGTAACACTAACAATAGCCATAGCCAATAGCCCTCTCCATTTAAACTGTAGTTATACACATACTTTTGTTTTTGCTTGAATACTTGTTGTCTACTTGCAACATAATAAATGAAAATGAGTAGCTTAGAACTCTGTCCTTTTTTACTTGTTCCTTTCAAATTCAAAAGTGACTTTTTCAAATGTGTGTCAAATTTTCCGAAATGACTTTTGCAGCCCAAAAGCAGTCTGTTTTATTGAGATTAAGTGTAGGTTTTGTTACTTTGATTCAGTGTCTTTTTGTTCCCTTTAACAGGGTCCTGAACTACACGATTACCTGAAATTAAATGAAAGGGAACATACTTGAACAATTTTCATGAGTCCTGTAGACTTCAGATACAAACACCACAGTGACCTTATGATATTACATACATGTATACATACATGTATACATACATGTATATTCACTCGCTGGTGGAAGAAATCGGACAGATTACTAGGCCTGTTTCTTAAACTGAACTAAGGCCACTGGTTTACTCGGATAGTAATTTCCTTTCTTACTAATTGCAGGTGTGAAAGAGAAATGCAGAGGATTTGGATACGTCACTTTTGCCCTAAGGTGAGGTTCACTTTTTTTCATTAATCCTAACCTTTCCAGATCCTCCAAAATTGAGGATTTTGCAAGATTGAGGCTATATGGCAGACCCACGGCTGATTTTGCAGGATGCACTGTGTCAAGGTCTTGGGCCGAACCTTGTGTTGTATATGCTCGGCCGTGCATAAAGTTAGATTATACATGGAATCCTCTGTCACTGACTCTGCCTCAACATATCGATAGTCTCCCATTGTTTATCACCTGACCTCAGACTGGATTAGCCATGTGACTTGTGTTGGTTTGTGATACCTTGTGATACTTTATGATGGCTTATGGTGACTTATGATACCTTGTGATGACTAGTGATAACTTGTGATGGCTTGTGATACCTAGAGATAACTTGTGATGTCTTGATTACAACTTAACAGAGAGGATGCAGAGAGGGCCATGAAGACAAAACTCTCGCTCGGCAAAAGAAAGCTCTTCCTGTCCTACTCCAGGAAGAAAGCACCCAGAAAGAAGGAGAAGGCAACAGCAGAGCAGGATGAGGAAGACAAAGTTGATAAATCCCCAGAGGATGCTAGCGGGACATCAGTAGAGGCAGGGAAGAGGATACAGGGAGAAGACACTCCTACCAAGACGTCAGACTCACCGGAGAGAAGACTGGGTTCGGCTAAGCTTGATAGGAAACAGGGGACTGTCAAAGGAGAGGCCAAAGACAAAGAGGGTCGACTGATCATAAGAAACCTTGCTTTCAGTGTAAGTCCACACTCCTGAGTTTCTACACATGTTTGCACATAATCGTCATTACCCAAAGGCACATTTTATTTGTTAAACCCCAACTGTGCCATCGATCCCAAGTTTAGCATGGACAGTCTCAACTGAAACTAGGCCCATCCCAACTGTAGTGATCCAAGGAGAACACCTACATATGAGTTGGGATGTTCCCAGTTAATAGTTTGGACCATGGTCTAGTTGAGGCATAACATATTTAAACATTTAAGGGGCAGCAATGTCTGTGTTAAGATAATAGAGATTGTGCTCTTCCTTCCTCAATCCTACAAAACCCTTAGAATCCTTCCAATGGATTTTAAGGGATCTGAAAGAGTTAATGTAAATATACAAGCATTACACAAAAAAACTCTAAAATCTTTTTGAAATCAGAAGCAAGTAAAGTTGAGGTATTTTTTCGAAGTTGTGGTTAATTTGAATAAAATTCCCTTTATGATTTATTTGAAGAAGATAATCTGATGTATGTTAGATTGTTGTTTTTCAGTTCACAATATCTGCACAATTTCTGTTTTTGTTTTGAACAGTGTTCAGAGGAGAGGTTAGCCAAAGCCTTTGCCCGGTTTGGAGACATTACGGAGGTTCACATACCCAGCGACCCTACGGATCCTAGCAAAGTCCGAGGCTACGGCTTCGTCCAGTTTGACAGCCTGGACTCTGCTTCCAAAGCAGTGAAGGAGATGAACGCTAAAAAGATCATGGGTGAGCAACTTCAGCTGCATCTTTTTCTAAACCGGCAGTGAATTATTGGAATTCTGGTTGCAAATCATTTCATTGGTGCAAATATTTCTTTTAACCAGTTCGCGTTGGGATTATTTTGACATGACCCAGGCGCAGGATTGTTTTTAATGAACCTCGATGCCAGACAGATTCAGGCCGTCATCTGCGGGTAGCGCACCCTGATATTTCTGGCCTCACTCGTTGCATGTTTATCCCTCATCCGTTCCGAATACCGCAAAAAATTTGCATGTACACACGTCATCCGACGTGAACTGGTTAACAGAATAAGGCAATGTGGGCCAATCTATCACAGGTAAATCACAATTATGGGTAAATCACAAGTCCATCACGTGTCTGATTACAGATTAATCACTTTTTGAGATTAGTGTAGTGGTGTTCAAAAAATGCTGAACATAGTCAAAATTTTTCTTTATTTCTGAAAATAACAGATCCAATCAGATTTTTGCTGTCTTTTAAAAAAAATTTCAACAAAAAAAAAGAGAATAATTTGGTATTCAAAACATGCCAAACATAGTCTGAATGGTTTTTTTTATTTGAAAAAAAGAGATCAATCAGATTTTTGTCGTCTTTTTAAAGATTTTCTTCTGAATCTAACAAAACTCAACCAATCAATAATATCCAACATCTAGAACATAATGTTCTTCCATAAACTGTGTACAGCTGCAAGCTAATTTGAAATCCAAAGGAGAGAGTACACATAATCAACATTGTGACATTGATTTGATTATTGTTCACAGGGAGGCCGATCGCTGTGGATTGGTCACTGTCCAGGGACAGATACTTGGCAGCAGCAAAGACCGTCCCCGCAGGAAAACAAAAGCCTAAAGATACAGGTAAGAATATGCTCAGTAGTTATCCAAAAAATATTGACAAGTTGGGGTGAAAAAAAACGGGGTGTGCCGAATATATTGAATATTGATCATCAACCAAATATCCGAATAGCATTTTTAAAAAATTGAAATATTAAAAAATGTGAGGTGTCTGGAAGTGATGATGCAAAAATGTCCATGATGTTATTTTGATCGTGTAAGTTGCATGGTCTTACTGTTGATGTCAAATGACACACTTTTATTGAAAGCAACTTTCACACATGAGTTGAGAGCTCTATGAGGGCTTTTCTCAAATTTCTTGTTTAAATTCGGTCAAATATTGGCCGTTCCACTACCTGTTCTGTCTACTATTTAAAAAAGCTCTTTGTCAATTTTTGACAAGCAAAGGTGCACATAAATCCCGATTGGTGGATGGATGAGGCTGGTGCATGCTTAACGTGATCAACTGGTGCATTTCAAAATTGAATATTTGATCAATTCCTAGTTGGAATGATCAAAATACTAAATTATTCGAAAATGTGGAGCTCTAGTTAAAAGATTATTTTCTGATTGTAAGGGGATCTGTCTGAAGTCTTTCAGTTGAATGAAACACAAGGATACCTCATTTTGGCTGTGCCAAGCCCATAAAAGTGATGTACATGTACTCTCTTCTGTTCACAGATGAAGAGGAAAAAAGTGATGATGAAGAAGATGACGAAAGTGATGATGAATCTGGAGTAGAGTCTTCATCAGAGGTTGAGGAAACGAGAGATGATGACGAAGATGATTCTGATGATTCACCTGATTCAGACGATGATGATGATGAGGAAGAAATGGAAGAAGACACTAGCAGTGAAGATGAGGGCATGGCATCCAATGAAGATGGCAAAAGAAAAAGAACTCACAAAAACACAGAGCAAGAATCAAACATTGCAAAACGGAAGAAACTCTCAAATGACGTTGGTGAAGGAAGAACAGTCTTTATAAGGTAAGGAGATTTACAACTGATTGTGCCAAGTCATAAGTCCCTGCAAGTCCATCACAAGTCCCTGCAAGTCCATCACAAGTCTTTCAGTCTCAAGTCCAGTCACTAGCTATTCAAATGAACTGTTACAAAAGCATTCTTTTGTCATTGTTCATCCTGTTTCTTGTGACCAGACTTATGAAAGGACTTGTGATGGACTCGAATACAACACTGGTCGCTTTCATCTTTTATCATTTTATTCAATTTTTTTTTTCAGGAACATTTTGTTTGAGACCACAGAAGAAGAGATACACGAATTCTTCTCTGAGTTTGGTCAGATAATGTACTGCAAGCTAGTGGTGGACAAAGCAACGGAGCACTCCAAAGGTAAGCTGCCATCTTGGTCATATCCCCTGAAGTCTTCACAATGATTACAAAAGTATTTAGTAGCATTACTGGTGGCATCAGACTGTTCTTGGTCACTGGTCACAGGCTATTCATGTGAGCAAATAGGTTAAAAATGAATGTCGTGTTGGACTTTGTAGTTCTCAAACCTTTCTGTTTCTTTCTTTCTTTCTTTCTTTCTTTCTTTCTTTCTTTCTTTCTTTCTTTCTTTCTTTCTTGATATGTTAATTTATTTATTTACATGGGGTTTGTTACATGTTTTACTTATTATTTTGTTTGTAGGAACAGCTTTTGTACAGTTTGCTACAACGGAGAATGCAGAACGATGTTTAGAGAAGGCTAGTAAGGAGGTACATATTTGTTGTCAAAATTCACAAATTGAAGACTTTGTTTCCATAAACGCCATTTTGTTCCCTTTAGAATCCCGCTCTCTACTGGCTGACCAAAGTCAGTGTCAACAGGTTGGATGTAATTAAAAGCAATTTAAGAATACCATAAAGCAAAACATGTAGTTTAAAAACAGCTGTTATACTTTGCGTGTTTATGGTGTAAATCAAGGACACACACGTGCAACATCGTTGATGAATCGAGGACAGAAACCAAATCGAGGATTCCTCGGTTGGAAAACGTGTACAAAACCATTGAGAACTGTTGCGAAAAAGTTATAAGTGTAAACAAAGGAAAAGGGAAGAGAAACAGAAGAAAATCCTCAATTTACACATTAGACAAACGTGTATGTACATGTTCTATAAGTTTTCAGAACTGTGCAAGTTTTTCACTTTTTTCCAAATGCGTTTATCGTAATTTGAAAAGAAACTCAAAAATCTTGTGATGGAATCTGAAGGATTTAGTATTTAAAGGCAAGGGGTAAGGATGATAGAGCGTGATGCTCCGTTAAGTTAATATCCAAAGAATGTGCAATTGGGTCCATGCAAAATGATACATTTTGTAGGATTTGGGAGGATCCAGGAACATTCTCAGCAAAAATACTTTGAGTGTTACGGTTCAATTGAGTAATTTGTTCTCGTTGTTGAAACCTCACAGGGTGACGAAGGCTTAGTTCTTGGAGGCAGGCAACTTCTAGTCTCGTTGGCGCTACCCAGGGAGCAGGCATCCAAACTCAGAGAAGTTAAGAAGGAGAAACAGAAGATCTTGAAGAAAGACAAGAGGAATATGTATCTCCTACAAGAGGGATGTAAGTACAGATGATGTCTGTTGCGGATACTAAATGTTCACAAATTATCTTCTTTAATAACTTTTTAAAGTTGAACAAAGAAATTGACTGGAGCGGGGTTTGTACCTATGACCTCTGTATTGCCATTCTGGAGGTCGCAGGTTTAAACTCTGCTCCAGTCAATTTTTTTTTTTTCCAACTTTAAAAAATTTTTAAATTTTTTTTTTAATTTTGAGTCCATGTGATTTTAAATCCAGTATATAGATACTTTATGCCCGCTGCTATGTATATCAGATTCGAACCGGCCACCCGATCCCGTTAGCTCGGTGGTCGAGTGGTAAGACATCTGCACTAGAAAGCAGGAGGTCGTGGGTTCAAGTCCCACCCGAGTGATTTTTTCCAACTTTCACTCGGGAGGTAACACACTGAGTATACATACAGTGTTTAAAAAACGTCGGTGAAGGGCAAAACCTAATTTGACAATAGTATAGCTGTGATGAAAAAAAAAAATTGTCAAGGCATTCTAGGAACCCCCCTGATTATGCCAAAAGTGAAGAATTGTCAGTGATTCAATTTTAAGTACTTGGTTGCATGTGAAAAAAAATAATTCCATTTCTAATTCCATCAAAATCAAGCAAATACAATGTTTAGTGTTGGTGGATTTTAGTGGATTTTGTTGGGTTTAAATAACCATTTAATTTTTGGTCTTTCAGTCATCAGACCAGGAACCAGTGCAGCGCAAGGCATGACCGACGCAGACATCGCCAAGAGGACCAAACTGGAATCTGTCAAACGTTTGAAACTCAAGAATATAAACATCTTCGTCTCGCCGACGCGGTTAGCGATCCACAACCTGCCCAAAGCAGTAGATGGCAAGAAGCTGAATCAAGCATTACTGATAGCTGCCGGAGACAAGAAGGCTAAAGTCATCGAGGTCAGTGTTGAGTCATTCTTAAATGTCATGGACATCATTTGCAAATATTCAAAAACAAAACTGCCAAAACATGAAGTATCCTACTTGATGATGGAATACAAATAATGAATGTTTCACGTTCGTGCAATGGTAAGAATAATTTCATGAGGTGACAGATTAAATATTCCATTCCACAAGGCGCAGCCGAGTGGACTGGAACATCTCATCTGTCACCGAATGAAATTATTCTTTCCATTGCACGAACGTAGAACATTCATTATTTGTTTTATATAACACCTGAATAAATCCTTGTCATCTGATTGGTTGACTTTTAATAGCCAATTTATTCAGGTTAAAAACTGTTTAAAAGTTCGACAAGCTCATCATATTTATATTAATGCAAACTGTTCTTTTCATGGTTTTAGGCCTCAAAAATGTATTAATTTTTCCAAGATTAAAAGTGGACGGCCTTTTTTTGTTTGTTTAATGTCTCATTTAAAAAATTGAAAAATAGACACACAAAAAAGAATTACATTTTAAGGGATGAAACTCGCAAGAATCATGGGTTGAGAAATAACTAAATTCAATTTCAATACCATATTTCTTTGTTCCAGATTTATTTCATAATTCTGAATTATAAATCTTAGGCCCCCCCAAAAAAGTCTCCGGTTTCTGGTGCGCGTCGCCGTAGCCATGCGCGTCGGCAAAATGAAAAGGTTTTTTTTTTCAATGAAAGATGATGTCTCAAAACTGCCAAACCCACTGGTTTGACTGGAATCCTGCTGCTGCACAATTTTACCATGTTTTAATATGGGGTTATGATCGAGAATAAGCTTTATGTGGCCTCTCTGGACTCCCTTATATTTGCACTAAGGATGCATACGTGCAAATAAACTCCCATAGACACTAGTGCTAAATGCCCATACTTCAAAATTCTTTTAAAAATACTCAGAACTCTCACAGGTATTCAAGCTGCAGGGAAAAATGATAATCAACATGTCATCTTTCGTTTTCTTTTCAATTTTTGGTGGGTTGACCATTGACTTTTCGAGATATTTTCACCCAAAGAAGACGACCCCTATTTTCCTCAAAGCGGAAAAGTAGCCATCTTGAAAAACGATCCCTCCACAACATGGCAAAATAGCACCACTTTCGAGCCCAATAGCATCCAAAATGCTCAGAATTGGAAGCCCCAAGTCCAGTCCAGAGGTTCATTACCATATCTCTTCAATTCCCCAATTTTACAGCGCTCAGAACTCTCTAATATAGAATATTTTGAGGGTATAACTTTTATTCATGAGCTTGGCGGATCGATTTACCGGTGTGCACCCCTAAGTTTAGTCGGGCACCATTTGCAGCCATCAGCCGACATTTGAAGCAAAAAAAACAGGTAAAAAAAAAAAGCCGCGTGGCCACACCACTTTTTGGGCAAGCTCCATACCAGACACCGGAGACTTTTTTTTTTTGGCCTTAGTTGAAGTAACATTTTCCCTCCTTCTCCCCACATTTTATTTGTCCAGTCTCGGGTCATGGTTGATATGAAGAGCCCCAATGCCGAGGGTCGAGGTAAATCACTTGGGTTTGCGTTTGCCGAGTTCACGAAACACGAGCATGCACTGGCAGCCCTCAGAAAGATGAACAACAGCACCGAGTTCTTTGGAGGATCCAAGGTTAGTCAGGGAAAATCTTTCCTTTTTCTTGTGGGGGTTGGGTGGTCTTTGGATTATGATTTAGATCACTCATTGATCTCAGTGTAGTGGATAGTGCACGCAGCCATTGCTGTGCACAAATATATGAAGCCACTGCATGTCACATTTTGGCCTCCCAATATGGCCATCGCTACATTCACCAATATAGGCACTAATTTTGCTGTAGAGGTTAGTGCATACAAAAGAGTGTCCTGATTTGTCAATGTTTGGCCTCTCAAGATGGCTCCCTAGTGACCTCAACACACTGTCAAGTTTGTATATTGAGATCAGTGGATTGACTCACTCAGGGCGCCCTCTCTTGGCTGACAAGAGTCAGCTCTGCAGCTGCACCTGATGTTCTCAGACGACGTCAATGAATATTATTAAAGCAACATGTTTGTCTCTGCAAGGTGTGACTAGAGTCAGCTTACTCACTCCTACACACTCAATTTCCCCCACTTTGCTTTTGTTAAGATGCATGCAGTCATTGCACTGCCATCTATAGTTCATGTGCAAAGACAATAGGTCTCGTTCAAATGATATCATTTCCTACAGACCAGCCACATGCATCAGCATTTTGAGCGTCAACTTGCATAACGCACATCGACTACATCGTATTTCGAATACATTTCTAGCAACAAGCGCGCGTTTGGAACTTTTTCAACACTGCGCAATGCCTGCTTGATTGTGTAACATATGCAGTTGCAGTTCTCCTACAGAGATAGCCATCTTTGAGAGAGACCTATATGTAGAGAATGGAAGAGATAAACGAGGTTATGGCTTAGAGTAGTACACATGTCTATGGATAGTGGCTTCGGCTACTTCCCATAGGTGCCTGTGTAATTGCAAGCCGTAGCCATATCATTCAGATTGAGCTTTATTAAACTGATTTTCGATGTGTGTTGTTTCTCATGTCTTGCAGAGGCCCATCGTTGGATTCTCACTGGAGAACCGTCAAGCTCTGGAAGCCAAGCAGCGAAGAAAAGAGCGATCATTACTCAAGGTATTTATAATGAAACCTTATTCTGAAAATCAGTTCCCTAGAAATACTAGTGTCAAAACATTCCAGAAGATAAGACCTGAACGCCTGCTTCAGACTGGTCTTCCAAGGTCGCACTGAATCAAATTATTTTTAAGACTAAAATCAAGTTCTATGTTTGAAAACAATTTTGAGCAACTACAAGAGTAAGTTATTGGAAGATCAAGTGTTGCAGTTGTTTAGAATGACGCAATGTTCTTAATGGAGTAAAAATACGTAATGTTTACGTGTCTAAAATTAAATCTATTTGAGTCATCCAAGTCGATCCTAATACTTCATTGTTCGGCATGATTCTGAAATCTTGTCTGAAATTGATGTCAGTTCAAAACTTTTATAGAATTTTTGTTTGTTTTGAAAACTTGAATCAGCAGAAAACCGTAAAAATATGTGCCCCTCTTTATTGACTATAAAACTTAAAACTTTAGACCGACTCATGGTGCGCAGAAAACTAAAGTTTTGTGTCTCACTTTCATTGACTTAAAAAACTGTGCTCATCAGAGACACTGTTGGTACTTGTTCATCGTTGTTTGAGTAATTGTTGTTGTTTTGTGTCTAATTTCATTCTCTTGAACTCTTCTCCAACACTCAGACAAGACAGATTCAGAGCATGCAGAAACCTAAGGACAACAAATCCAAGCAGAAGGACGGTGAAAGCCAACAACCGACTCCAAAATCCAAACCTCAACCCAAGACTAAGAAGGGCGTGTTGCCTCCCCCTCCCTCCACCAAACTTGAAAAACGGATGCAGTCAAAGAGCAAAATGACTGTCCATGTAGGAGCCAAGAAGAGATGGCGGGATCGGGGGAAAGAACAGGAGGCACAGAAGGAGAAACGAAAGATGAGAAGGAGGCAACTCCTTGGGGAGGTGGGGAGGAAACAGAGGGAGTCGGCCAAGCCAAGAGCCAAGAAACTCCAAGCAGAGGTGAGAACAAATTTAAAAATAACAGTGATGCTGTTGAAACCCCTCAGCTGAAGTCAAGTTATCATCTGGAAACCATTAACCTTCAACTCAACATGGTGACCTTGACCTTTGAACTTTGGCCCCAAAACCAATCCCAACTTGCCTGCCCATAACCCCCTACCGAAGTTAGACATCAAAATCGCATTTCTAAGTCAAGTTATCATCCGGAAAACATTACCCTTTAACTCACCACACTGACCTTGACCTTTGACCTTTTGACCCCAAACTAATCCCAACTTGCCTGTACCCAAGGGCAACCCCCTACCGAAATTTGACACCCAAATCGCCTTTCTAATTCAATTTTTCATCTGGAAACCATTAACCTTTAACTGACAACGGTGACCTTGACCTTTGACCTTTTGACCTCAAAACCAATCCCAACTTGCCCACTCCCAAGGGCAACACCCTACCAAAGTTTGACACCAAAATCTCATTTTTAACTCAAGTTATTATCCGGAAACCATTAACCTTCAACTCACCACAGTAACCTTGTGATGGCCTTGTGATGCATTGTGATTGGCTTGTGATTGGCTTGTGATTGACTTGATTGTATTTCCAAAAGGGACATTCAACAACTCCAAATTCATGCGCCAAATCATTTTTGTCCAGTAGTATTTTGCATTTAATGTCAGTCTTTATGCATTTTCTTGCTAGTTTCTGGCACCTTATTAAAGAGGCTAGGAGAAATTCTGTGGGTTTTGTGAGAAATTAATTGAATCTTTTATTTTTCTTTCCAATTTTTGTCAAGGATGGGACGCAGAAATCCAGGAGGCAGAAGGGCAGCTCAGAAGATGCCAAGTTTGACAAACTTGTCGCAAACTACAAACAAAAATTGTTCAGTCGTGAGACAGCCGGCCAGACGCTAAAAAAATCCAAATGGTTCGATGAAAGTTGAAAGGTTAGGATCCATTATTCTTCTCTTTTTTATCAAACCCTGAGCATCAAAAGTGAGCACTTTATATTGAATCCTGTTTTTTTAATAACAAATTCCTACTTATTTAGAAGTTGAATTCTTTATAAATTTCACAAAATGGTTACAATGGTGTTTTTGTTTTGTTTTTTTTGTTTTGTTTTTGTAATAGTCAGTGGCATAAAAACAATTATTTTGTGCGAGTCAAAACTTCATTGTTTGGAGGATAACTCAAGTTAAAACTTTTTTACAGACTTAAAACTTGGCACATACGTTGGTTTTGAGGTCCCTCAGTAGCCTATTGGTGTTGGGTTCCATAGGTCAAAGGTCAAGGTAATGGCTAAAAGTCTTCAAAGTTTTCAAAGTTTTGTTATCAACTTCAAACTTTGTTGTTTTGAGGTCCGGTTGATTGGTGTAGATGTCTGTTTTATATAAGATGGCAAGAACACATTTGATTTGTCCTTGATTTTTGTCATTTTGGGTTCATAGTGGAGATGCTTAAAGCAAACGTACTCAAACCTCATTGTAAAATGGTTTATATTAAATGACCATATATTGTGTTTTTCTGTAATGTAATATTACCCTGAAAATGTAAGACTGGGTAAAGTTGAATTCCTTAAATAATTTTAATAATGATTGTTTGTTTGTTTAAAGATGAATTCCCTGCGCTTTTTGAAACAGGAACAAATGCTCCCATTTTAAGAGGGTTGTAAGAACCCAAAATTGCAAAAAATATATATTTCTTTTTGTCACAACAAAATACCAATATACAAATTGAGAATTAATTTCTTTTAAGAGTACGGCCATGCATCTTTAAGGACCAGGTTGTGCTTGAAATAATCTCTCTATGTGCTCCAAATACAAAGTTAATTTTTGTAATGTACATGTACATGTTGTAGCAGATATGCCATATTATTTCATGTAATTATAGCAACAATGTGTACGAACTTGGTGTATTTCAGTATTGTAAATGCAGAAAGAGTAGCCATTGTATCTGTAAATACTTTAATATTCCACGTATAATTCGTATTCGTTAAATTCCATAATTATCAGTTAATTCAATTTGTCCCATTTTCAACTTGGATTTTAAGTAAAATCTTTGTAATAATGTAACTATGTACTTTGATGTGCATGTGCTGCTGCTTTGAAATTCAATGCAGAAATAAATTCCTAAAACCTTGGTATTGCAATTTAACTTTGTTTGAGTCTTGTTCCTGTGTGTGTTTGTCTTGAAAAAAAAACACCCTCCAATTCCCTGTAAAGTTACATCTAATCAATACTTCCCTTATAACATGATTGATAAATAATAAAAAGAAGAATAAGTACAAAGTGCAAGTATAAAGTTTGTTGAAAGTATAAGTATAAACCATCCAGCTAGTAAATTCCCCAGTGAGTTTATCAGCCCAAACCTAAGTCCCAAGTTCCTACCCCAGACCCAAGGCCTCTACCCCTCAGCTTCCAACTCTCTCTGGAGACTAAGTCAGAAGAACCTAAGGGTTTTAATTACCGGAATCCTTACTTTTTTAAGAAAAACCCGGTGGTGTAGTGGTAAGAGTGTAAGGCTACATACCCAAGGGTTCCCGGTTCAAGTCCCACCCATGCACAATTTTGTCAGAAAACTTAGTATATATTTTAAAAAAGTCTAAAAGCTCCTCAGGACGGCCCAGGATCTGAACCGGGGACATCCCGGTTCGGATCCTGAGCTCGTCCTACTGAGCTAACTGCTTCTTGATAAATTTGTTCTCGGACGTTATATATAAACCTTAGGTTAACACATTGCGAAATTACCCAGAAGCCATCTGTATATGAATATTCATTAATGCAAATTAATATGTCAGCCAAACGAGGGCGCTCTATCCACTGTAAAGAATTATTGTCAACACGAGAAAAAACTGCCTAATTTTTAGTCAACTTTAAACAACACACTTGTTGTCCAGATGATAACTCAAGAAATATATGTTGCAAATATTCAAAATTCGTCTGGATGTCTTAAAGAAGCCTATTAAATTTCAAGAATTGTCAAACACAAAGTAAAATATAACCAAAACAATTGAGTCTGTTCAGCATGCAAAGTACAAACTGAATTAATCAGTAAAATAAATTAGACAATCTCTTTTTCCCCACATCAAAATATTTTTATTTTTCAATATTTTGATCATGCTGGTACAAGGAAAAAACACAATACTTAACCAACGAAAGCCAAATTTGCAGTTTTAGTTTATACAAAATGAATACGGACATGCATTGTTTATAATTTTTAACTTAACACAATGTAAAGGTTTATATGCACATAAATAAATAAGTAAATGAAGCTGTTAATTGGTAACTTTAAAAACAACAAAGAATGTATGTTACAATTAAACTGGATTTAATTGGCAAAACATCATTAGTGGCACAACACAAAAACAAATACGCATAAAATAACAGGTGATTTTTTTTTCAAATATATTTAAATGGTTAACATGATTAATATAACAATGTACACGAGTCTGTGCAAAGGAGAACAATTTTAAAAATTAATAGCGATATTCAGAAATGTCTGTGAAGTTGTAACTGCGGTGGGTTGGGAACACCCAAATCACTGACAAATAATGGATAAAGTTATTTAATTTAATCCCTTCAAAGAAAACAAAACTAAGTTAAATATTGGACTAAATTAAGGGTGTAACAAAAAAAGTTGTGGACTTTTCAAAATTAATCCGTTTCTCACAGCTGCAGTTTATGAAAAATAAATAAACACAAAAAAAAGAGAAAATCTCACTCTAACTTATCTCAAATGCCGAGCGCAGAACTGAACTTCGGAACACCGAATTGTATATTAAAGGTGACCATGCTTATTTGGGTCAGATTCGATTTCTGCAGCTACCGGTACATGTATGATGCATGCTTCTTCAATGGAAGGGTGCAAAGGGTGCACGCACCTTTAAATGTTAATTAACCTAATTGCCTTAAGTAACAAATTATGAAATTAAAGGTGCCAACTAAAAATACCCGGTCGCATTCACGTGTACATGTAACTATTGGCAAGATCAAATATAGAATATTGGCATATTAACTCTTTCGGTTATATTAAATCAATATATTTATACAGGTAATATTTAAAAAGGGCTTATTCCCCAACAGCATGGATCTTGGTGTTGGATAAAGCAAATGGATAAAAACAACTGGAATTACCTTTAATACTGTTCAAAAACCAACCGTTATAAATTAAAAGGTTTCTACATATATGACGTAAAACTGCATTTTTAAGGAGTTGTAAATATCGAAAATTAACATAAACATGATAGGTCAATATGAACTACCATATCATTACCGTTTCATAATGAAGCCATTAAAAGTACATTTAAATATCAATAATTAATTCAGATGTGCAATAAGATTTGCAGATAAATAATGGCATTGATAACCTAGTTCCCAACATCACCTTTGCTGTTTAGAGCCTCACATGTAATGCTACACTAAAAAATATTGCTTTCTTACTTCACTGTTTACTGTCAATAAAATCCAATTACGCATTGTGCATTTTAATTGGAAGTTGACCGAATCCTTCAGAATCTGACATTGTTAATTGGTGGTATTTTCTTTGTGCAACTTGAGCTTATGAACATCAAGCCAGATAGACCTTATGCGTTGCGGGTGTCTCTGAGGGCGCTCTTTGTTATTTGAATTCAGTAACAATGCATGCGCATTAGATTCACACATGCCTATCCCAGCGATACAAAACATTGCCCTCTTCTGCCTTATCGCAAAAGGTCTATTCAAAGTAATAGGCAAACCTGTAGCTTTAACATTTTAAAACATAACTGCTTTAAATGCCACTGTACCAAAGACAAATTGTTCCATCAGACATTGGCATAGATTCAATCTCTCATTCTCTCACCAGCAACTCTGTGTCGGTCTTTCAAAATAAACACTATGTACATCACATATCTATAAATCGCACTTCTATCAAAATACAGGTATCTTCATTCTATAGTAAGGTAACAAGATAAAATTCAAATTTTTCTTTTTGAGGATACGGAAAATACAATTGAGGATTTTTTTTCCCTTTTCTCCACCTACAAAAAAATGTATGTATTGCTCTTTCGCATTGCACAAATTATGTACGAAAGTGAAGACTAGTTTTTTGTACATTATTTTTACTACAGGACATTGAGGTATATACTGGAAAAGATTTGGTTGTTTGCGAAGACGAACAGATAATTGAAATACTTTCAAAGATCTGTTCAGTTTTACACACAAAGACACCAATTTGAGGTCACTTTTATACACTATTTGGATTAAACATTCCTCTTTATCAGAGCTTTCTAAAAAATATGTAAACCTTTTAAGTAATTTCTGCCATTCAAAAGTTGAAAAGAATTTTCCCCATGATCTTTTAATTTAGTCAGTGAGAACTTTCCTAAAAAAAATTAAAGACAGAGTAAATTCATAAGATTTCATAGCACCATTGTAATTCTCAAGAAAACTTCAAAATCTCAGTCTTTTTTCTCCAACAGGATCTGTTAAATCTAACAGTGTTACAACACACTGAATTACAGCAATGAAGGGTCAAATTTTCATGATTTTTTTTATCTGCAAACATTTCTGATATTTTGATCAATTATATTCCAAAGAGAAAACTTACTCTGTTTTCTCCATCTAACACTTCAGAAATCTAAAACTATCTTTAATTCCAGAGTTTCAAATACAACCATTACACATTGGCCATAGGGAGGAAGAGCATTTCTCGTTTCTAAAAACAGGAAGGGGGAATATGTAAAGATGCCGCTAGATTGCGAAATTTTTCTAAATCCATCCACTGTGGTGATAAAATCTCTAGGGGAGTGGCTAACTTGCCTGCTGGTGCTATGTCTCCACCCCCTTGCTTTAGCTCCACCCCCTTTGTGATGGAGGTCTCTAGGGGCGTGGCTAACTTGATTGTTACGGTTTCTTAATACATCCCTTGATGATGAAGGTATCTAGAAGGCATGGCTAACTTGTCCACTTACCGCCTGACTACTGTGACTCCACCCACTCGCTGTAACTCCACCCCTTGCTATAACTCCACCCACTTGCTATAACTCCACCCCCTTGGTGATGGAGGACTCTAGGGAGATAGGGAACTCATCCAGCTGCATCAGGAGATTGACAAGGAAGTCCAGAGCGGAGGTGCAGTTCAAGAAGGAGAAGTCTTCGTACATTGAGGCAGCGACAGGCGTCTCAGATAGGACTGGGAGCCACCAATGCAACATGTGATCCCTGCAGGCAAAACAAACACCACAGAATAGAAAATGCATAACGAGAAATACAGAAACTTGCCTTGCATTGGTGAGGAGGATCCAGCACTTAAGGATATTTTTATTTTGTTGATTATTTATGTGGGATCAACTGCTCAGGCAACAATATTGGCTACCTATTGTCTGGCTTGCATTGTAGACTCTATCAACTCAATCCTGTAGCCACTCCCCATTTTGAGTTCACCAATCCCATCTGTGATTGCTCAACCAAATGGGCAACAAAAGTCTGACATGCATGCACTTTTGAATGACAAATGTAGTTGGAACATGCATCGGAGAGACACACATATTGTTGCAAAGTGGGCGGGGCATAGTGGACCGCTCCATTATCAATGAGGGGCAATGAATGAATGAGGGGTGCATACCTTATTCCAATGCAGACAAAGAGTTGGAACTTTCCGTCCTTGCCTGCTTGGGCAGCTCCTTGGTTGATTTGATGGATGGTGAAGCAGAAGGTTCGTCTGGCTCGCTTCTCCTGGACTGACCCCAGTCTGCCTTCGTCATCCTGGTCAATACTGTCCAGGTACTTAGCAACTTTCTCTGTGGAAATCAAAATAAGAATTCATTGGTGTTTATTGTCTCTTACTTCTGGGATGTTTCAGAATCTTAACAGTGTGCAGTAACAGTTGTTCATACTTACACATAATTTGACCATTATGAAGCTGTAGTTTTCATACACTAAAGAGGATCAGAAGGTAGCTCAAAATAAGTTCCTAAGAAATATTCACTCCATGGGCCCTTTAAGAATGGTTAATTATGAGTTGCAGGGTGTAAAAGCAAAAACTGGAGAAAAAATGGGATCAGGTTTCATATCTTGTTCCAATTCGAGCCCTCAATTTACCCAGAATTCCAGCATTAAAAAAACAAACACATGTTTTAAAGTCATGGAATAGACTTATGCCTAGACTTGCTGAGCTAGCAAGTGAGTTCTTAAAACCATTTAGACTTTCAAAATATCATGCTGGAGTTCAGAGTAAAAAATCAACTGGAACTCAAGTCAACACCAGACTAGAGCCTATTTTTCCAGTTTTTGACTCACATAGACTTGAAACCTAATTTTTGCTGTGACTGCCTGTATCTAAGACAAGGACTCAATGACATGACTGCTGTTTTTTACCTAGAAAGTCCCAGATGAAGAAGTTGTTCCTGAAGATCCTTGCTGAACGGAAGCCATACTGTAGGACAATCTCCATGCACTGGACGAGACCACGCTCTCCGCAAAGCAGCACAGTCAACCGACCTCGCTGTTAGAAGACAAAGAATGGATTCATAAAATGTTCATAAAATCGGCTTCAAAATATAAAATATAGCTAGCAAAGAAACTTGCTAGGACTAGTTCATACTTCAAATGAATTGGCCACATTGATTAAAACAAAAAGACATGTCAAAATTATTTTATTTATGTGGAACACCAAATGTAATATGTGCAATTTTGTGACTCACACAATCTAAACAACTATTCTTCCCTTCACAATGACATGGGATAAAAAATATACCGTACATATTTGAGCAAAAGTTTTGTACACCATTTGAGGTGCAATGGCAAAAGCCATCCTTGTATAAAAACTGCAAGAGCTACATCATGGGAACAACAATTGTATTACGTACACTTCACTAAAAACATGTATACACATGGGAAAGCTAGAGAAACAAAGCTGGCAGTCTTATCTTCTAAGAAAGAAAGAAAGAAAGACGAAAAGTAAGGTACTAACCTCCTTCTCTGGTTTATAGAAATGCTTGACGATATTATTGACAGCATCAGTCAACATCTCCTGAATCCCGTCTCTATCCAGCTTAGGAGCCTGACCCTTAGCTTGTCGGGAGAGGATCGGGGAGGTGGATCGTGGTGGGGTACGGGAGCCACGGGCTTGTTCCTCACACTCCGCAGGGGGTGGCAGCAGCTCACCGACTAGGAGACGTTCTAGACTGTCGTCATCTACGCCCCGGCCAATCCATCGACCACAGGGGAACCTGCAGGTGGAAAACAAAACACACGTATTCAGACATTTGCTAGATTGTATTACCAGGGACAGATATTTTAATAAAAGAGTACATTTGAGCAAAGGTCTAGGGAGGATTTAACGGATGAACAGAAATGGAAAGGGTTCGTACTTGTAGGTGTGTCCTGTGATCTCGTTGCGCACCAAGATGTAATCTACCATCCACCGGGGTAGCAGGCCTGTGTTGTCATGGCCGATGCGCACCGTCGTTAGAATGCCCAGATTGCTATGCTGTAAAACAAGTCAGGACACATTAATATCGAAAGTCTAGGAAACAAATACAAAATCGGGAAATGAATATTGTCGTTACAATGAAATCATTTAACTACACATATACCAAGTTACATCATATATATGCGACATCAACAAATACATGCAAATGACCTTATTTTAAATTTGCATTTGCCTCTCGTGCTAGTGTTAGGAGGACATACCTGGAATACAAAGTCCTGAGAGTTCTTGGGAATAGAGATCATCTTGGAGTCGTTCATCTCGCCTGAGACACAGATCCAGGTGTTGGCTGAGGTGGCTGCTTGGAACTTGCGACTTGTGACGACAAGGACTCGGTATGAGACAACTGGAAGGGTGAAGATTAGGTAAGGGTGGTGATTGAGGACATTGAGGACATGATTGAGGTAGTTAAGGACAAAGGATTGCCTTAGTCACAGTTTATTTGAATAGCTTGAGACTGGACTTGAGACGGGATGACTAGTGATGACTTGTGACTGAATTGTGATTAACTTGTGACTTACTTGTGAGGACCTGCCAACTCTGGCTTAGGATGTCCCAATCTGTATTCTTCAAACATAAACTGTACTATTGCCTTTTTTTCTATGAAAATAAACTTATCCAATAAATAAACAAATATATAACAGCAAATCTTATGCAACAATAACAAAACAATATTCTCCAAACTGAGAAAATATTTGAATTCCATCAATAAAATGTTTTAAAAATAAACAGACAGAAATTAGGGTTTTCATCTGAGCATCTCTTCTGATGGGATTGTCGCTGCATTTTACCTGTGCTAATGAAAGAGTTGGTGAAGCAGAAGTAATCGACAGCGTTGAGAGACAGGAGATGATACAGGAACTGCTCCTTCTCTTCTTCAGTCCTCAGGAAGGCGTAGCGCTTGTAACGTTTCCTGAAATTCAACAAGCAATTTGGGGTCTTAATAATTAAACTTTACAAAAAATATTTTCTTAAGTATGACAGTTTACTGAATTGCATTATAAACGGTTGAACTTTTATAAACCCTTTTAGCATTGGACAAATAGCATGTGAGCCAAAACTACTGCTGTTATTTCTGTGTAGCTTAAATTACAGGTTCCCTTTATTTTTGCCTTAAAAAAAGTTTGGGACACGATAACTCTTGCAAACAGTTCATACATCTATGCACGAAAGGTTGTATTGCAACAGGAAATTTGTGGAGCTCATATTACTGGCATGACGGGATAAAGTAGCCTTCTTTCATGACCGAGCTAATAAATTTGAGAGAGAGAGCACATGCAAACCTCCAAGTTTCGAAACAGCAACTACAGAATTCCCTCTTTTTAAAATCTCTGCCCCCCCCCCTCCCCCCGGGAAAAAAAATCACAGGTGACTCATGTCTGAAGCTGAAACTTTTTCCAAGCAAACAAAAATCCCATGTTTTGTCAAGGACTTACTTGCAGAGCTCATAGTCTGTCAGCAAGAGCTTGAGATGTTTATGCAGGAGTTTTCTCTCTAAGGCAAGGCGGACAAAGGCACGGGCATTCCCTACATCAGTCTTGATCTGGCTCATGCTCTCCACGTTTCTGTTCAAGGGAACGCCAAAAACAAATGAAGAAAGTTTAGGGGGAAATTTGTGTGACAGTTAGCAATTAGTGAAGGAGTACGAGAAGACAGATCTGGTATGCATATCTTTAAACTATTGAATGGTGAAATAAAGCAGTGTTATACAGTACAGTAAGTAGAATAAGAGACATTTTGGATAAAATGTTTAGCCTTCCTGGTGTAGAACTGGGCCTCATTGATGAAATAGGACTGTATACATGTGCTTTTTGAGGGCTTGTGAACAAATATTTCATCAGGTGGGACTACAATCATTGACCACCTGCTAACTAGTATAGATGTCTTAAACCATTTGCCCACCTAACTTGTTTAGGGGGCTGGCTGATTTCAATCCAATTCATCAGCAGGTATCATACATGATTTGGAAAGCACTATAGACTTAGCTTTCATAAAACTGTCAGTGAGGGGCTAAACCTAATAGTCAGTAATGATGAGAATGATGAAGAATACAGTGTCTGACTTTGGATATTTCTAGTCGACCACTCACCTGACATCAAAGAGCAGATCCGTGGGTAATGGGTTGAGGGCCGGGTCTGCTGCTGAGCTACTCCTACGTCTGACCTCTGACCCCTGGGGTGGGACTGAAAGACTGTGCTCAGGTAACGTCTCTCTCTTCTCCTTCATCTTACGGTAGCCCATCACATGGGACCAGAGAGCTGATTTCCCCTATGAGAGAATGGTACAGTCCAACCTTATAATCAAATACATGAAGCTTTTCACACTTAGCAAAATCTTGGGGAAGACTCTTGTTGGACAAGCAGGAAAACACTCTACACAAAGATTCAAAATCTTCAAAAAAAATAATTCAGTTGTACACTTCAGCCTTGGAAACCTAACTTTTTCTTTTGTGGCCTCCACCCCAAATTCTTCCTCAGACCAACCTGCTTCCTCTGTACATATGACTGAAAATTATTTCAAGGCTTTTAATATTCCGCCCAGGAAACACCATTTTTTTGTGTTATGGCTTGTGTTCCCCTATTCCCCCGCAGACCAGCCTGTTATTAACTGTATACCATGAGTGGAAATTTTCTCCTGTAGGTCTATGCATTTTGAACAATTATGCCTTGGAAACACAACTTTTTTCATTCATGGCCAGTACACCCCTATTACCCCGTTAGACCCACCTGTTTCTTCTGTATTCCATGACTGAAGATTCTCTCCAGCAGGTCACAGAGTGATGCAATGAGTGTGTTCTCCTCCACTCCTGATCGGTTGACGTCACCGTGACCCAACTCTACCGCCTCCTGACCCATCTTACTCACTAACATCTTCTTGGTCTGAGAACAAATTATTGACAAAGTCATTTCATTATTTACATTTTTTGTTTATTTTAATTCATTTTAGTAATGAACCAAGAACCTCTGTGCTAACCGACACCCCATATGGTTGGAGTGTTTCCCAATAAAAATGTTGACAATATCTTTTAGTCTACAGGCAAAAAAAAAAATTCTTCAATAAAAATGAAAAGAATATCTTAATCTGATATTTCATGATGTTGTCAATGAAGACAAATATTTACTATACAAATGGACAGGGAATACATCTTGATATCATTTGGCAGAGGATGTGGTCGATATTTTTTGACTGACCTTGACTTTACACTCCTTTAGAAGTCCCTCCACAAACTTCCAGTTGGTTTGTTTCTGGTCTAGGTGAGACAGGACTGGCTGGGGCACTGTTCCCTTCCTGGCCTGCTGAATGATTTGCTGATGTAACAAAAGACACAGAACATTAAATTCAAAGATTTTCCCTCACAAAATTGCTCAACGTGTGTTGCTTGCAACCAATCTGGGTAAATATGCAAAAGCATACTGTTTATGATGAACGAAAAACAATTTGGTTAACAAAAATAATAAAGATAATCAAACAGGAGTGGTTCTTACCTCTCGTTCCTGCGGAGCCAACTGAAGATGCTCTGAATGCTGTTGCTGTCTCTCCTTCCGTCTCCAAGGAGCGTTGTTCCTGTGCTTGTTTCTGTTTAAAATAAGAGTTTGATTAAGTTGATAAACTGGAAAAACGAACTTACTGCAAAAAATACAACAAATAAACTGCACATGGAGTAAGGTTTTCTCACATTCAAATTCGATGGTCTATGCTCGGTACACAAGAAATCAACTCTTCAACAAAAATCTAACATAAATAGAGAGTCTTAGGAACAGTGCCTTTTTCCGTTTTTTTCCCCTCAAAAATCTAAAGCCGACATTCCTTTCCTTCATATGTCTCAATACGACGATGAGACAAGAGAGAAAACAGTGCCAAAGCACTGATCGATACGCCAAGGATAAAAACAACAGCGATAAGACAGACAATAAGACAGACAGATAAACAGACTGACTCACTTTGGTGTGAAGGGTTCCTTCAGTAGCACCTCCTCCTGTAGTTTTGGGAAGTAGCCAGGCTTGTGATTGTTATCAGCTGGTTTGCTGGTCAGCTCATGGGGGCTGGGGGCCGTGTAGTCAATGTTCACCGCTCGCTGCCTGATGTTGGCCTCTGTTGGTTGCAGACAGAAATATTTCAAAACTGACAACATGCAACGGGTTTTTAGGGGAGGTAATTTTCTATCGCAATTTAAAATAACTTGATGTCATATAATGGGAGAGATATGTTAAATAATGCTTATCTACAAAATAAATGCGGCCTGACGTTGGGGCCGCATTAATTTGTTTGATTTGTATATTTCCGGTCAATCCAGTCAGGAAGCAGTTTGCAGCAGTCCTATTCATTTTTTTACATAATGCTTACAGGAAGAGATTTCACAAAAAAAGCTTTAACATAAACAGCAAGAATGAATAAAATATACTTCCAATTGCAGTCACCAGGTCACCCTGTCATCATATGATCACTCCGTATTCATGGACAATGCATTTTTCACCAAGGCAACGTGGCAGCTTCTTAGATAGTTACAATTTATACATTCTTACAGCAAAATTGATAGATTTCATTAGACGCCCTCAACAAAGATAAAGGTGAGGTCTAACCCTTATGTGGAAAAATGTTTAGGTATACACAGTATTCGGCACAAGAAATGTTATCTGCAAATAAAAGAAGGAAAACCTGTTGAAGCAGGACTTGATGTTTTTACCTGCGTCGCTGATTAGCAACTGGTCAATCTCACAGTCTGGTGTCTGGGGGTTACTGGCCGGGAAGTGATCGATCCGACTATCAAAGATCTTAAGAGCTTCCTCCTTCTCCTCCCAGTTGGAGATGATCTTGTTGTCGATGAAGGTGGCAAACATCTGGGTCTCCACGAAGGGGAAGAGGAAGGGGAGGTAGGCCTCTGGCTGGTCTGAGAGGAATGAAGCCTAAGAAAGAAATTGGAAGACATTTATTGAATATGGCATGATTCTTGGCTGAGTGTGTTCAAGGATGGTGTCATATTTTTACAATATTTTTCAAAGAAGATTTTAAAAATTAAAAATATTTTTACAATCACAGAGATTTAATGGTTTGGCGCAGGAATAAGATTGAGGTTTGCAGATTACATGTCAAGAGTTATGACTTCTGTAAAACAGTACTGGTTTTAAAGATAGATTTTGATGAGAGATTTCGTTGATTTTTCTGACAGAATAATCTATCTGTCCTCATAAGAATACAGAGCATTCTGTCCAACAAAATCAGGAAAAGTCCCACAACCGGTACTTTCAGAACCAATACTTTATCACAACAGAGAGTGATAGTCCAATGATGTCAACCACAAAACTCATTCATGTATTCGTTTCACCATGCTAAGTTTCAAACCATACTTGATAATGTTACGTTTCCATTTCATAACAAGAACTCAATGTTAAAGGTTTTTTTACCTTATCAAAATTTTGCATGTGTTCCCTGTTGGCAAACCAGGACTCAATGCTGTGACTGGTTGGCTGGATGACAAACGTCTCATAGTGCCTGAGGAGTTCCACCATCTTACTCAAGAAGAGTTCCCTGATGGCTGAGTTCAAACTAAGTTCCTCCACGTCCTTCTTCAGTTCTGGATTCCAAGTTTCGGGGTTCGTGTCACCATCGGGCGACGTGGTGTTACTGTTCCTGTCTTCCAGTTCACTGATGGACGTTATGACCCCTGTACGCTTTACAATCGCTGCTACCTTTGAGACAATCTCATTATTACGTAGAATGTCCGTTTTGGATGGCGGGATTGATGTAGGGGATTCCCCACGACTCGGTGAACTGAAGTAGGAACTGTCCTGGTCCGCCTCGATGGAACTTTCCAGGTTCCGGCCTGATCCACCAATCAGAGTAAGTTCTGTCTTGAGAAACGACCAATCAAAACTTCCCTCGCCCCTTGTTGGGGTCCGGGTGGGAGTTTTTTCAGTCAGGGGTTTGGGGGAAACGTTGAATCGTTGTAGGACCTGCGTGAGGTCGTGGACAACGTGGTGTCTGTTTGGAAAGAGGGGGAGGTCTTCTGGGAGATCTATGCAGTTGTTGTCGATGTCTACAAAGCACAAAGCAGCCTGGCAAGAAGATAATCAAGAGGACAAGTTACGAGCCGTCAGGGTTTTTTGGGTCACAACACTGTCCTGTATAATTCATTTGCTATCAACCCATCAAATTTCAAATACTAGGCACAAAGGCACACGACTCGGCTAACAGGCATGCAACGTTTCCTCAGATCAGCTGATTTCCTTTCTTTCTTTTTTTTACTTCCCAGGTGTGCCATTAAAAATAGAAAAACACTGTACAAGCTCTTTGAAAGATTTGAATTTCCTCTTTTTTGTGACTTCCCAGTTGTATGCCTGGGCTAAGGTTACACTCTCATCCCAGTAAAGTTGTGTCCACACTTGGGAATTGGCTTGTAATTTAAATGTGAGTGGACTAGTGATTCACCTGTAATGAACTAGACTACAAGACTGCTTGATTACTTACATGGCTGGGAATCTCCAGCTGGTTAGTCTGATCCATTCCCTCATCTAGGTGTAGCCCCATGATGAAAGGAACAGGTGCATCAAGGAAATGCATGAGGTTGGCTGGAAGGATAGGGACGTAGACGTGCTGCCACTGGAACGGGAAGAGCAGGGCGGATAGGCATTCTGCTACCAGCATGAGGCGATGATACTCTGTGGGGAGGAAGGGAGAGTTTTTAATTATACAAACTGGAATGGGAAGAGCAAGGCTGACGGGGATTTTGATACCAGCATCAACACTTGATGCACTAAGAAGAGGACAAGGAAAAATTAACCCACTGAAACTTAAAGAGTGAGGCTGACAGGCATTTTGATACCAGCATCGACCAATGATACTCTGGGAAAAGAAACTCAGGAAACATTAAAAACCACTGGAAAGGGAAGAGCAAGACAAACAGGCATTCTGATACCAGAATCAACCGGTTATACTATTTCCCAGACTATACATTTATAGTTATCCCCTTGGGATGGGAAGAGCAGGTCAGATAAGCATTCTACTACCAGAGAGATCTAGGGCCTCTAAAACACCAGCATTGCTGTAAATGACACCTTTTTCCCAAAGACTGTCCACATACCTCTGGATACCAGAAGTATCTGACTCTCTAGCAGGGCACAAGTCATCAGTTCCATCAGGTGCTCTACCCCCAGTAACTCCACACACTCCCTCATTGAGTTATCACACAGAGGCAGCTCTGTTGAAGCCGGCCGCTGACAGACGATGGTCTCTCCTGGAGCGCTGAAGCTGAGGGTCCGGCCTGGAGGCAGGGAAGGGACCTCATAGAGGATGTTGAAGATGTAGGATTCTAGTGGAAGGGCCGGGGCGGAGGGGGAATTGATTGCACTGTAGACGGACTCCAGGAAGCGACGGCAAGGCTGGATGAAGGGTACCTGGATGGGATCAAAGGTTACAAAGTCTGAGGTCAAGGTTCAAAGATTTACATGTTGAAGGTCAGGATTACCATAAGATAGCAGTAATACTAGGATAAATATGTTTAATGTGCTTCTAAGTAATCAATGCATTCAGTTGTTCGTAGATGTTCTATGTGTATAAACTTCACCACTATTTTCTGAGTTTATACTATCACAAAGTTTTGAGTAAATGACTTTGTCTGGGTGACGGACAACATCATAGCGAGACTATGAGTGGAATTGTTGACGTCATGAAATTTGCTTTGCTGTTTCACATGACATACAAGCTGACCCTAAACTAAGTAGCACGACCCTTATTCATATTAACACTGAAAAAGAGTACATAACAGAGATTTAAAAATTGAAAATTTCGTCTGAATTGATGACATATCAATGTGCCATTATATTAAAGTCTGACACATGCATGTTTAAGTCTGACACATGTATAAAGTACGCCAAAGAGCACCTTATACAGTGCTGGAACAGATTATATAAGAACTGAGTAGCCTATTCAACCTACCTGCATGATCAGGCATATGCATTTGGCCACGTAGAGCGTATCATTCAAGGGGTCAAAGTTGGCCACTTTCTTCTGTTTGGGTACGTGGACGGGCGTGGTCTTTCTCCTCATCTTAGGAGACTGCATGGAGATGCCAGGACTGGAGGAGCGGCGGTGTTTAGGGGAGAAGCCTCGACGGTCCATCTTAGGAGACAGGCTCTCTAGGATGACGTGGGAGCGGGACGGAGACTCGATGTTGCTGAGCTTACGGTGCAGTGAGTCCTCCTTATACTTAATCTGTTGGAAATGAAAGCAGAAATGCAATCTCTGTTATCTATCAAGGCTTCTTAAATTGCTTATTAATTAATTATCTCCATCTTTAAATTTCTCTTGCTGGCTTAACCCTAAGACTCCTTCATCTTTTAAGATTGAGCCAGAGGTTTTGGAGGATTTTTTCAAGGCTTGAGGAACGTAGAGCCAAGCTATTGTTTACTCTGTTCCTTTGAACGTTCAAATTTATTTAAGTGTATTGATTTTCTACACAAAGATTGATTTTGTAGGATTCAGAAATGTCCACAGCAAGATGTCCCTGAATCTTAACCAAAACTGTTTGAATATCTTGAAACTGGTTAACCTACTTGATTCAATTGCCCAATTATAAGGCAGCCACTGCTCAGCAAAAATCCACCTCTTTTCTCCAAAAAAGTCACAGCACAAAATGGGAACATTTTGAACGTAACTGATACACGTTAACCTTTATTCCTTCAGTGATTTACCAGGAACCTTCCTCACTCTTGCAAAATCCAACACCATATGGTAAACTCAACACCCAAACTGTTGGACTCTAATTATGGTGGTATGCCTGTAAAGCATAATCAGTTTACTAGTGCAGTACTCACTCCAATAGATTCCAACAAAATGTGCAGTTGGATTTTGAAGGGTTGGGGTTAGTTAGGCTTAAGCTAAATTATTCAAAGGTTCATACCTGCAAGACTTCCATTCCTGCACAGATGCGTGGGGACGTCGCCTGCTCGTAGAAGGTGAGCGCTGCACCATAGGTCCTGGATCCATCCTCCCTGGTCATGAGGAAGGAGTGGAATTTGGGCTCACGGTCTTGCTTCTGGGTACGGACGGTCAGCCCTTTGGGCATACACAGCTAGGAAAAGGGGAGAGAGAAAATGAAGGATGACAGTGTCATTCACATCAACCCTCAAATTCCACTAGGAAATTTTGGAAAATTCTGTAGGATACTAATGTTGTGCATGAGGCTTGATACCCTTTGAAAGTTTTAGTGAAAAATAGTGTTGTTGGATTTCTATGCAGTTAAGGATTTTGAAAGATTTAGGAAGTTAGGGTCATAGCTAGAAAAAGGGGAGAGATAAACAATGGATAACTGTATCATCGCATTCAAAATCTACCAGATTTGGAAGATTTTGAAGGATCCAGGAAGTTAGAGCCAAGCCACTCTACTGCTTTGCATGGGGCTTGCTTCCCGTTGAAAGTCTAGCGAACATGCCATTGGGTTCCTATGCAGTGGAAGATTTTGGAAATTTTGGAGGATTGTGGAGAATTTTGGAAGATTTTGGAGGATTTAGGAGGATGAAGGAAGTTAGGGTCAAGCTTCCATAGGATTGTTTACAATTAACAAAATATTGACTGAAGTGTTAAGGAAATCTTTCATTATGAAGATGGGCCTTGTTCAAACGTTTGGAGTACCAGTATAATGTTTAAAGAGAAAATTCATTAATTTAAAGACATACACATTTTTTGAAAGAGAGTTGGCTGCCGGAAAGGTTTAGTAAAGTGCATTATCCAACCAACACCACCCAAATACATGTAACTAACTCAACACGATATATATAATTTTTTTTAAAGATATGTATAGCAAGTACATAAATGAATGAGGACATACCGAAGGTATGTACACTAAAGACGTCTAGCAAAGACTCGGGAAAGCCAGTTAATACCCAGGAATGCAGTATACAAATCCAATTTTGATGCACTAAAGTTTTCTTTATTTCACCCGCCCCACACTTCTATCCGCGTGACATTTACAGGATTAACTCCCACACGTGCCCCAGACATGGATGGCCGATCGCACTATATTAACACATCTTAGTGGAGCCTAGATCATTAATACAAGTGATTTCATCTCCGCCGAATGTTCTAATTGCATTTCCAGCTGCAAGGCATCACAAAGAAGCCTCACAGAATCCTGCCGACATTAGCGAGCGTGGTCTCACCGGGCCCTTTGTACCCAAATCCTGAAATCAGGTTTCCTGCTGGTTCGCCAACAGATTACAAGGGAGCTCTTTTCAGGAGGTACTGGGGTTTAAGTTTGGCAATGGACGTCTGCTGGATGAGTTGAACTGTGGCCTTTTCCCTGTGCATTGCCCAAGCAATTTGATTTTTAATGCAGCAGATGAAATATGAATTTGTGCCTGCACTTTTCTGGAAACTTTCTGACATTTTGTGTCGCTGTTTCTGAAAACTACGCTTGCAAATATTGTTATGATTCAGAGAATGGTCCAACAGAAGGGCTGCTGTAATGAGAACTGAAAATGAAATCTGTCATTCTTGATTTATAAATAAAATCTGTATGAACTGATTTTCATAAAACCTACACGTATATAATTAAACTTAAACCTTTAGAACTATCCACTTATACATCAGATGGACTGGCTAGTTCAACTACATGTGGGGCCTAGAAATGTACAGTGACCTAGGTCAGGAGGTTTAAGAAAATACTTTATAGCCTAGGCATATAGCCTAGGGCTCTTCAGACTTTAATCAACCACAAAACTGATCCAAGTAAGTCCATGTTATTACCAAGGTAGCCCTGACAGGATCCTATTTAGTTTGGATGAGAGAGAACTGAGCTTTCACTGTTGGAGTGGTGGCTATGGTTAAGTACCTGCCCAGAGGCAAAGGCTGTGGCCAAATCTCAGCAGGAAACCAACCCACATTCTTTAAGTTGTGACCACAAGAATGCCCCATCTGTCTCCTTTATATTGTTTGGGGCCATGACACTCTCTTGATGGGAGCCGAAGTTCCTTACAAGATTGCAGGATTGGTAATGTTTCAACCACTCATATCTGAGTGGTATCAATGCCATGAAACAATGTTGTCATCCCATTCAGGCAAGGTTGTCGAAGAAGAGGAGTTTAGCACTCCAAATATCAGAAACAGTGTTTCCTTCAATTTTTTTTTGTAATTGAGCAAATATTTCTTTGACTTCAATTGAAATCTCTAATCATTTCCAATTCGTATTTCAATTTTTTTCCAACAAAATAAAAAGGATTTCTGGACATTTCCATCAGTTTTGTTCAAGTTTCTGAAATAAAGTTAAGAAGGCAAAAACGTCCATTCCACATTGGGTTTGTCATTCACCAACATAACTTATGAGTACTGTATAGTCAGTGCTGTCTCAGATCTTGTGAGAAAAAACACGCAAGCTTGCTTGTGGAGACAAATCCTGCTTGATCAATAACTTGTCAAATCAAAACAATAACAAAATATCAACTAGAAATGTGTTTGTGGACAAACACTGAGCTGTTTCGACCGTTTTATTAATGACTGCCGTAAAGGAGTTTCATCCAGGTCGAATGAACATGTACATGCGTATTCTATACAAAAAGTGTCTATCCTACATCCCTGACTATGCATGAACATGAAATCTGTCAAAGTTAGCCGGAAATCGGCTAAAACGGTCACTGTGGACAGGATTGACCTCAGCAACACGTGCGCTGCGCGCGGGCTGACTGACATACGATATGTACAACGTACGTGCATGTACATGTACATTATGGACTGTGCATGTTTTAAAGCAGAGTTATTGTCAACCTGAAGTTTTAAGCGTGCGCATGGCATGTCCGAGTTTGCTTATTGCCTCGAAGCTTTGAAATATTTTAGACCTACCCTTAAATAGACAATTAAAGTAAAAACTAATATAAAAACTGCCATGGTTGATTTTTCAGGAATTTTTTAAGGAAAAAGGGTCTTTTCATTATAACTTCCGGTCTGATGACGTCATACACCTTAAACTTTGCACACGTCTTAAGTGGGTCAAGGTCATTATATACACCAATATTTAGGCCATTCCGACAAACTTCGCCACAGACATCTATTCAAAATACATTTTTGAAAATATTCAACCTGTCGCTAGAGGGCGCTCGAAGATTGCATGACGTCATCGGTAGATGATTTGAAGAATACTATCAGCCAAGAGACTAACACCGTTAAAAGCAAGATCATATCTATTACCACTTTTAAATAATAAGCCACTTCCGGTTTGGGCCTTTTTCGACCGGAAGCAAGGGTCACGTGATTTTACGCACACTGAATGAAATAAAGACCTTAACCTACTCTACCACTTGCCGGCAACAGAATGCTGCGGACGCGTACGGTTGATTTCTTATGCATTTTTAAATATTAAAAGTGTCACAATTAAATTGCCCATAAATAAACACCGGATGACGTCATCATGACGTCATCGTTACACAATGTTGTTTGAATTAGGGTTATTGCTTGCACAAAGATTGGTGTAAATGAATTACTGGCAAAGTGTCGAAAATGCCCTCTGAAAATTGACATTTTTTTTTAAATTTCTGTGTACAAAGTCTATGGGAAAAATTAAATATTCAAAAATCTATAATAAATCACGTGATGACGTCAGCATGACGAAAAGTTTCGGCGCACATCTTCAGATGGTGGTCTAATTGTGTGCCAGGTTTGAAGTCGATCGGATTTGAAAAAAGTCCAAAAGTGCGTTGTAGAACGAAAACACGTGTTATCCTATGGGAAAAAAAGTGGAAGAAAAAAAAACTAGAAATGTGTTTGTGGACAAACACTGAGCTGTTTCGACCGTTTTATTAATGACTGCCGTAAAGGAGTTTCATCCAGGTCGAATGAACATGTACATGCGTATTCTATACAAAAAGTGTCTATCCTACATCCCTGACTATGCATGAACATGAAATCTGTCAAAGTTAGCCGGAAATCGGCTAAAACGGTCACTGTGGACAGGATTGACCTCAGCAACACGTGCGCTGCGCGCGGGCTGACTGACATACGATATGTACAACGTACGTGCATGTACATGTACATTATGGACTGTGCATGTTTTAAAGCAGAGTTATTGTCAACCTGAAGTTTTAAGCGTGCGCATGGCATGTCCGAGTTTGCTTATTGCCTCGAAGCTTTGAAATATTTTAGACCTACCCTTAAATAGACAATTAAAGTAAAAACTAATATAAAAACTGCCATGGTTGATTTTTCAGGAATTTTTTAAGGAAAAGGGGTCTTTTCATTATAACTTCCGGTCTGATGACGTCATACACCTTAAACTTTGCACACGTCTTAAGTGGGTCAAGGTCATTATATACACCAATATTTAGGCCATTCCGACAAACTTCGCCACAGACATCTATTCAAAATACATTTTTGAAAATATTCAACCTGTCGCTAGAGGGCGCTCGAAGATTGCATGACGTCATCGGTAGATGATTTGAAGAATACTATCAGCCAAGAGACTAACACCGTTAAAAGCAAGATCATATCTATTACCACTTTTAAATAATAAGCCACTTCCGGTTTGGGCCTTTTTCGACCGGAAGCAAGGGTCACGTGATTTTACGCACACTGAATGAAATAAAGACCTTAACCTACTCTACCACTTGCCGGCAACAGAATGCTGCGGACGCGTACGGTTGATTTCTTATGCATTTTTAAATATTAAAAGTGTCACAATTAAATTGCCCATAAATAAACACCGGATGACGTCATCATGACGTCATCGTTACACAATGTTGTTTGAATTAGGGTTATTGCTTGCACAAAGATTGGTGTAAATGAATTACTGGCAAAGTGTCGAAAATGCCCTCTGAAAATTGACATTTTTTTTTAAATTTCTGTGTACAAAGTCTATGGGAAAAATTAAATATTCAAAAATCTATAATAAATCACGTGATGACGTCAGCATGACGAAAAGTTTCGGCGCACATCTTCAGATGGTGGTCTAATTGTGTGCCAGGTTTGAAGTCGATCGGATTTGAAAAAAGTCCAAAAGTGCGTTGTAGAACGAAAACACGTGTTATCCTATGGGAAAAAAAGTGGAAGAAAAAAAAACTAGAAATGTGTTTGTGGACAAACACTGAGCTGTTTCGACCGTTTTATTAATGACTGCCGTAAAGGAGTTTCATCCAGGTCGAATGAACATGTACATGCGTATTCTATACAAAAAGTGTCTATCCTACATCCCTGACTATGCATGAACATGAAATCTGTCAAAGTTAGCCGGAAATCGGCTAAACAGTCACTGTGGACAGGATTGACCTCAGCAACACGTGCGCTGCGCGCGGGCTGACTGACATACGATATGTACAACGTACGTGCATGTACATGTACATTATGGACTGTGCATGTTTTAAAGCAGAGTTATTGTCAACCTGAAGTTTTAAGCGTGCGCATGGCATGTCCGAGTTTGCTTATTGCCTCGAAGCTTTGAAATATTTTAGACCTACCCTTAAATAGACAATTAAAGTAAAAACTAATATAAAAACTGCCATGGTTGATTTTTCAGGAATTTTTTAAGGAAAAAGGGTCTTTTCATTATAACTTCCGGTCTGATGACGTCATACACCTTAAACTTTGCACACGTCTTAAGTGGGTCAAGGTCATTATATACACCAATATTTAGGCCATTCCGACAAACTTCGCCACAGACATCTATTCAAAATACATTTTTGAAAATATTCAACCTGTCGCTAGAGGGCGCTCGAAGATTGCATGACGTCATCGGTAGATGATTTGAAGAATACTATCAGCCAAGAGACTAACACCGTTAAAAGCAAGATCATATCTATTACCACTTTTAAATAATAAGCCACTTCCGGTTTGGGCCTTTTTCGACCGGAAGCAAGGGTCACGTGATTTTACGCACACTGAATGAAATAAAGACCTTAACCTACTCTACCACTTGCCGGCAACAGAATGCTGCGGACGCGTACGGTTGATTTCTTATGCATTTTTAAATATTAAAAGTGTCACAATTAAATTGCCCATAAATAAACACCGGATGACGTCATCATGACGTCATCGTTACACAATGTTGTTTGAATTAGGGTTATTGCTTGCACAAAGATTGGTGTAAATGAATTACTGGCAAAGTGTCGAAAATGCCCTCTGAAAATTGACATTTTTTTTTAAATTTCTGTGTACAAAGTCTATGGGAAAAATTAAATATTCAAAAATCTATAATAAATCACGTGATGACGTCAGCATGACGAAAAGTTTCGGCGCACATCTTCAGATGGTGGTCTAATTGTGTGCCAGGTTTGAAGTCGATCGGATTTGAAAAAAGTCCAAAAGTGCGTTGTAGAACGAAAACACGTGTTATCCTATGGGAAAAAAAGTGGAAGAAAAAAAAAAAAGAGAAAAAAAAAAATAACAAAAACAAGAGCTGTTTCGGTGTGTACACCGAAACAGCTAAAAAGAGAAAAAAAAAATAACAAAAACAAGAGCTGTTTCGGTGTGTACACCGAAACAGCTAAAAAGAGAAAAAAAAAAATAACAAAAACAAGAGCTGTTTCGGTGTGTACACCGAAACAGCTAAAAATAAAATTGTCCAGTATTCAGTGAAGAACTACGGTACATGTGTGTCTGCTCTCGATGCCAGCTTGCAAGTTTTCTCGACCATTACTGACAAGCCAATTTCCTTCAAGACCCTTCACAATTCTTACCATGTTAATTCCATCACTTTCAAACGTGTTGCCTTCCACGGCCGTTGGGTAGTGGGATAGGACCGCCGATTTGTACCCCCTGAGTAGTGGGTGCACATGGTGTGTGTTCTCACCTGAAAAAAATGACATAAAACATAAAACTCAATGAAAAAATTGTGTCAAATTTGTTTTTAAGCACGTAAGAAATCACCCAAGTCCAAACAATAGACAAATAGTGTCCTAGTGTTAACAAACAAAAACAGACCTTGACACCGGTAGCTGATCTACCAATGAATGAACGTGTTTGTGGCAAATTTAATTCATTGACCTATATGAAGCCATGTCACTCATCGAAAACTACAATGGGTCTTTTGAAATACTATGGCAGTAAGTCATAAACTTACAATGCATTCCCAAGCAGTGGTTGATTGGGAGGGGGGGGGGTCAGGGGTCTAAACCCCTCTTGGGCCACCAATTCCTTTATAGGAAATCTGTATACAAAATCACAGCAAATGCCTGCTAAACTCCCCCCTTGGCAGCTTAACACCCTCTTGATCCAAAACCTGGATGCGCCCCTGATAAGGTAAAGCCCCCCTCCCTTTAAATTTAGGAAGGAAGGGAAGGTTCGATGAAGGGGCACCACAGAATCACATGTAGTGTACTCCAACCTTTCGTTTCCAAAACGGAGCACAGTATATTTAGGCTTTTTCTAGCAAACACACTATCAAATACGTCATTCAGATCTCGCGGTCGCGTTTTAGCTGCACCATCCCTGCTCGCTAGCTGGAGAAGGTTATGTTTATCTTTGCGTATTATTAGCAGTGGAATTCCTTTGCCTCTCAAATTAGCAGCTTGTGAATGATTTACGGAGCACCACACATCGCAGAATGATGACAGCTAACCCAATTGGATCAGCTTAAAACAACACATGGTTTTGAAAAAAATATCTACATTGTACAATACTTTATTTGGCTTTAAACATTATTTTACTTTCATTTTCCCCTGGTATTATCTTGTTAGTACATTCCATTCATTCACACTCAATTTACAGCAGTGTGAACAGTTTAAATCAACAATATTTGAAGGACACAAAAATAATAGAGTTACCGTAGTTGGTTTTGGTCTGAAGTTGGTTTTGCTTGTTAAAATATCTGTGTTTCTGGCGCAAGACATCCCTTATCAAAATAAAGTTAAGTTCGTGAAATATTCGGGTAGATCGAGGGAGGTTCAAGATGTCCAGGTGTGAAGGTTAAACAAATTATTAAAACAGTGAAAACTTGAGTATGACGCATACATGTAGATCAGGATGATGTACAATACATGTACAAGTTTAGTTTTTATAATGAAGACTAAAGCGGAAGTTAAGTTTTACATAAACAGTACAATGTGTTGTTGAACCAACATAGAAAGTTTACTGACGTTGATCACACAGCATTTTGTCCAGGATATCTCAAATATCTGGGCAGGCAATTGAGCTTTGTGACCCTCGACCTGCTTCCTGCTCCGTATCCTGAATATCCTGAATCCCTCGTCATCAACTTGTCCGGTTTCCCGGAAAACTTTCCATCACGGAAACCTACGCATGGGACAGTTATCAGGAAATGCACATGGCTAACTGCAGTGTGGCTCTATAATAATAAACTGTCACATAATTTAATAAGTGAATAAAGTTTGTCACAACTGCTAAAGTAAAGATGTTTTGCCAATAATTTTTCGAACAAATTGTACCCAAAAAATCTAACAATGACTTGAAAAACATTTCGAAGATAGAACTAGAAGTAACCCTGTACTGTAAACTACAAGTATAATATTTCCTCTACGCAAGAAATGTTACACTGGCTCCAGGCTTTTACTTGCGGCGGACAAAAATACAAAAATCTTTAAAGTGTCCTCGGGATTCATTGATTGAGCTGCGTGAAGTGTGAATAATTTGTTATGCTGAGTCTTCACTGATCCCTGGATGTACTGCATGCATGCGCATCTGTTTCAAGGGCTTGTGTCCTTAATAATGCTGATGGTTTCAGCTGGGCCCTGGGAAAAATGACTGGGTTCTCTCTTGGGATTTCACCTGGATATTGGAGAGGGGGGGGGGTATGTGGCTCACAGTTTAAAAAAAATTAATATACTATATAGTTCATTTCCATTTTTCAAATACTCGGAGCCTGCTAAGGTAATAGTCTACACATGTTCTTTACATGTACATGTAGGTATGTTCAGGGCATCGCACTCGACTGGCCTTGCTGTTTGTTGGTCCTATCCATCTTGATGTTTTAATACCCCTTTCTCTCACAAATGACGGTATATTTGTTATGCTTTATGCAGCTTACTGAAGTGATAATTGTAGTTTTTGTTTTTGCCTTGAGAAAGAAATAGTTTGAGTCAAATAAAAGCAACGCTAGCCTGAGGGAAATGTTGACTGCTGCTCTGCAGCCACATACTTTTTTTAATTTTTGCAACTTTTCAGTGTCTTTTTTAGTTCTACTTTACCGTACAAGCCTCAAGCTTTCATTTCTCAAAAATTGTTGACTTGGAAAGATTTGTGTAACTGGAGCCTAGCCATAGGGGTCAGGTGTACAGGGGAAGTGATTGCATACATGTGTTGCTATTCTTCGTTTTTCGTTTGACTTGATTTGAGGAGGAACTTAAGATGGGTCCCATGAGCGCACAGATTTGGCACAAGTGCATGCACACTTAACAATAGCACATGACAGTGTCCTGCAGTAGCGCAAACACTGTGCATTGTACTCCTGTTAATTACTGGGGATGTTGTATTTTTTCTGTACCCATCTAGCACCAGAAATTCGATATGTTAAGTACATGTACTGCACACATATTGGTCCATTTAAACCAGAGCCATGGCCTGCATGGAATCACTATTCTGGGAAGGAACATTTTCAGGAGCCTACACAGACTGAATGTACAGTGCAGATGTACATGTACATGTACATGTACGTGCATATGTGTGTTTTCAATATCAGGGAGGTATCAGGGAAATAATCTAGGCCTAATGGATATCACAGGCCAGGGCAACTGGCCAAGGCCGCCTGGGTTCATATTTGATGTAGTCAAATGCACACTGTACATAATGCTCATATTGCAATAATCATCATCTACATGTAACATAACCCCTCATCAACTAGGTCCAGAATACTGAAATGTATTGTACAGGGACTTGTATGTAAACGTGTACACATGTACATGCATGCCCAATTTACAAAAACCTCTGAATGCTAGCGGTACAAATAAAAACTCTATTAGTTATGATAAAAAACAAAATGCACATGTGTACAGTACAGTCAGTATACATGTACATGTACATGTGTACATGTACAACCAACTTGCATAGTTCATTCCACAAATAGTACAATGTATGTCACTTTTTGTATAATTTCCCAAATACCATAGAGCTGAACTTTGGGTACGTATGCTGTAACCACGCACCACTTCACTTTGCACCACACAGGAAATATTGAACTTTGGTCGAGCGTAACTCTTGCTGCCCGATAGTTAGGGGAAACGGTCGTGATTCATCATTGTATCCCTGGTGTTCAAATTTGATTTGTAGCATCGAGAACCCACCACTCTCTCCTCAAAACTGCCCACACGTGTAACTTGTTCACAAATTTGCGTTATTACTCACGTCTTGACATATTAAAAAATGGCAAAACTAATAAACGATTGCACACCAGAAACCAATCAGTGGCTGGGCTACGTACTTCTTTTCAGTCAGTCTATTTCTGACAAAATTGAAGTAGCTCTACAACCTCTTACAACCCCAGCTAGTCATCAAGTACTTCCTTAATTAATAATTTAAAAAACATTCGCAAAAAACTGTTAATCTTTAAACCAAGCATTACAAAATTAAAAATATTGCATGATGATGTGGTTGCCAACAGCTTTGTTCATTCTGACTCCTATTATTTTGAGCCAAAATAACCCAACCAGTTTCAAAAGAACAGATGCCGGTAGTGATGAAATGACGTAGGCAATTCGAGACAATCATATGACCTGAATATATGCTACCGGTACACTTCCAAGTTGAAGTTGGTCACAAGCCTTGTGCACCCAAGAGGCTGTATAGTGCATGCATATAAACACACAAGTGTGTAGTACAAGGAAGGCACGATTTCCTAGGAGCAAGTTATTTTGGATGACAGTTTGTTATCTCTGCCAATCTGACAGGACATAAATAATGGATGCCATGCTATGATAGTTATTCAGTGACTCACATAACCACCATCAATTTGTTACCATTTTACACCCTTCACAGTCACACACAGCTATCGTTCATCGGAACTTTTTATTCTCATGATGTGACCTGAAAAGTGAAAGACCTTGATAGCATTTCCTGTGCAGTTTTTATCAAGATTTGATCTATTTTTTTTTTACTTCCTCATATGTAAGCCTCGGAGCATGTACGGAATAAAAGTGGAAAAATTTAAGGGAGGGGACGATTTTGAGTACAGCGATTGCCAAATTTGGAGCCAATACTTGAAATATTTGAACTTTTTTTCATCAATGTTATAAATTTAGATAAAGTGCAGTTCCATGGAAAAACAAAACAGTGAGGTCACTTATGAGGTAGAATTTTTTGCTGAACCCATTCCATGGTCGTTCAGTTCAATCTAAGCCAGATTTCACTTTTAGTTAATTAGGAGAACACGTGGGAAACATTCTGCAGAAATGAGTAGCATAAAATACACACATACACATATACGTGTACCATCCACCTATAAACATCTTATTCTACATTCTGCCAACCAATGTTGGGACGTTTTGTAATGTGCGTACATGTACAACCCTTAAGACACAAGATATGATTAAAAGGTCAAAGGCCAAAGATATACAGGGTGTGCACTGGAATGCAACTGAGACACTAGTAATGAGCCGTACATCATGTAATATCATACAGGGAATATCTTGATAAAAGCATACCATGATGCCTAAAAGATTACAATTTCAATGAAATGATACCCTCACATAGTGTTCTTGACCTTTGTATACATCAAGGCAAATCAAGAGAAAAAAGGGAAATTCCTCATTTCTAAACTAATAACAACAACGAATCCTCAATTATGTGCAACAATTGCAACTGCATGTACATGTACAAGTAGTTTCTATGCATTAACAAGAC